CCAAGCAGCAAAGATATGAGTCTGTTCCAAAACTTTCCAAGTGAAACTACCAAATCATTGCCCCAACGAACGATTTCCTTATATTTATAATTAAGCTTACTGCAGTCGCAGCCGCAGCCGAAAATATGCATCACACAAGAAATACGAAATACATAAATTGTAGAAAGTTTTCTGTAGCCGAATGTGTCATCTAACTATATTGCCGTTTCAAAAAACTGTTTTGGCGTCAATATAGTAACGTGAGTAACAATTACTGTAGCAATAATATCAGCAGCATAAATGCATTTTTTACACCCGCTCCGTTTCCCACCCCCGCATCACTGGCTTTCCACAACCGACGACGATTTTCACAGACCGACCACAACACACACATACAACAGGCTGCCTAAGGGGGTGGGGGGTGGTGGAGGCGGTGCTATCGGCCAATCCCTGCCTTCCGTCCACGAACGGGACACTCGACGGCTAGGGGTGAGAATAAACCACCCCGATCGGCCGCACTATCATAGCGAAAACTACCTTCGGGATAGATAGACACATTTTCAGCCGGTATTCAGACTGTGCGTCGATTGTGACGCGTCGTAGACTTTTTATAGTGCGTTGTGATCGTGACACTTTTTGGACTTTGTGATTTTCTAGGAGGGTGAAGGTGCGTTAAATTTTGTGATTTATGTAATTTAGTGGTTGAGAGTGGATTTGGTGTCATCGAAATACCTTATGTCGAGGAACTGAATTTGGAGTTCCACAAGGCTCAGTGCTGGGTCCGCTTTCTGTATCGTCTATTATAATCGAAAGATACCCACATACATTTCTTTCACTACACGCGAAAGTCAATTTTTTCCTAGAAATGGCTGTCACATAGGTACGGCAGTACGGTCGCAGGACCATTTATAAAGAAAAACTGAAAAGAACTGATAAAAAAGAGACACTTACATAGTTTTACCTTTACCAAAATCATTAAAATATTAATAGCTATCTTTGTCAATTCGTTTGGGTGTTTATGGTCAGGTGATTGAAAGTGACCATACTTTGGAACTTTGGACTGGAAATTTCTAAAGTGGAGCAGCGGAGTCAAAATTATGACGTTCATAAGACTGCGTTATTTATCCTGCTTTTCTAGAATTAAATTAATCAAAGAAAATGTTTTTATGATCCAACGCAGATAAAGTATTAAAAGGAAACAATAGGAAAGGAATTATGATAACAGTGAGTATACCATAAATAGTATATCAACTAAAAATGAAATGGAATCGTTTTGGAATCATTCAATAATTTCGATGCATCAGTGAGCTTGGTGCTTCGCTGTCTAAAATATTTGTTGCTAATAGTTGCTCGTGATATTCTTATTGCTCATGTATTCCTAAAACCTGAGGAGGTATTAAGATGAATGAAACCGTGAAATTATATTCCGAAGAAAACACACGGTATATGTAAAGAATGGATGCTTAGGCATGAATGAAAAGAGCGAAGACTGGTCACACTTCAAGGCACGAGCCGTATGATATCCTTCGAATGATGAGGCAGGGGTGCTTATACACAATATACATTAAAATCCCATTTCAATGGGTCGTAAAATGGGCTACGGCTTTTTGCATATAATTGTACAGCAATACAACTGTAATGATTGTGATTATCACAGATGACAATACTATCACCCTCTGTGTTTTTATGCATTATACAAAGGTTTTTTTTATTGACAGGAATGCTTAGAATTAATTCAAGGGGGAAAACGAGCCTTGTCAATAAAAAATAATCCTGAGCAGTATTGAATTTATTATATTTTTTCCATTCGAATTATAATACATATTATAATAACTCATTGTTAAGAAAAACCTGAACATATTTTACTCTGGTCGCATGGTGTAGTTCATTATTATTCGGTTTATGCCATATTTACGTAAACACGATGCAGAAACTTCAAAGTTCATGGGTATGTTTTATCACAGGATCTAGGAGGTGATGTCATTTTTCTCATCACTACTCCTGCGTCCAACTTTTGCGAAAGAAATATCGAGGGATCTTGGATTCAATCTTTGGCCGGTGAGGCGGTAGTAGAGACTATGTGTCCCAATGGAATTTTTCTCTTGACTATGGGTGTTGTGACTTGTGATTGTCCGTAGGTGGTAGACGATCTCGAGCGAGTCCAGAATATGCGCATGCCTCATATACGAGTACACGTGCTCTCGCTAGAGTCCCTGTGACGTATTTTCTTTCCCCTGTATCCCCCTATAGCGCCACGGTACCTAGGGATATCTAGGCCTTAGGCCTTCTTGGTGACTCAAGTATAAAGAAATCTGTATGTCTCATAAAATAATCACTAACCAAACTCCTGCCTAGATGTATAACAAGATCTGTTACAGAACATAGCAAGGTACCGACCTCTTACAGAAGCTCATCTATTAATTCATTTAAGAAAACTATGGCGTGTTTACTGTTAGCATATGGCTGTAGTATTTCAGAAGTTTCGTAATTCATATATCTCTTTTTCTGCTTGTAAGATATCATGGTGAAGTCGAGTCAAAAGAAATGAGAATTTTATTTTATTTCGGTTAAATGAGTGACCTGATCTTGCTATAAGTTATATCCATATCGTACCCTTGTCGAGAGAATTATAAGAAGTTGTATGCATGCTTACCCTGAAAATAAGATCCATATACTATATTATATTACTATTTAACAACAATCATGAATCATGTAGCATTTACCTATTCAGAAAGCTTGTAGTCATAAACATATGATTCCTTCCACCACCTGGCCTGCATAAGTAACTCAAAGTTCGTCAAAAATATCTTGAGCCACCTCTATGAAGCCCACATAAGATGTTGTATTACAGCCCATTGTCTAAAGTTCCCATACATCCAAGTCAACAGTGTGTAGCTTTATCCTTTTGCAGACAAGATAGAAAACATACCCCAGGGTGCTAACACATGTTGTCTCGAGAGGGATGGCAAAAATGCGTGCTAAAATTAGGCGAGACAGACAGATATGCAGGCAGGCGATAATGAAAGAAACATGAGCTTGTGACAGTCTCACGTTGCGTTTTATCGTTACTCAATATTCAAGAAGGAAGTTAATGTTTCAAGATTATACTAGCTCAAGAGTAGTTACATCCAGAGAAGGCATTTCGTTGTATGTCCTTACAATCAGCCGGTCGGCAAGAGGAGCTCGTGCTGGTGTTGTCGACTGTCAACATTAACACATTCCACAGCTTTGACTTGTGTCTTTGCAGCCATGCTTCTGTAGCCAGCCTCCTCATGTTTTTTTTCACTTTCACGGAGAACAAGAGAACAGCACGAGAAACGAAATTACATCAGTTTCATATTTTTTGCCGGCAACCTTAGGATGTGCAACAGCCGTGTGTTTCAAACATTTTATCGAAAAAACTGCGCCTTTGCATATAAAGCTTATATGCACGACAGTAAGACTTCCAAAGTTTTTCTCCTGATATTTATCGAGGCAATGATCCGGCTTTTCTATCAAGCTTAACAGTCATGTAATTATGTTATACTTCGTTTGACTGATATACAACAATAGTATCTTATGCGATTTGATGAAACTTCCGAGATATTTGTTTTTGTTTGAACAATAAAGGACAGGCACTTATACATTATAGTTAATTCTTCTTCTTACACAATATAATTTTTTCGCGGCTCCAACCTACCGCAATTAAAATGATTCGTAAATGTTTATCTATAATTTTCCTATCTACAAAATATTTAATGCTACACTTTGAGTTACCTTGAAGATAAAACACGAGACAGAAATCTTTTCTCGGATTGCCTTGATGAAAATAGATCTCATGGCAATAATCATATACTTATGCGTTTTTCCATATTTGCAAGCTGATATCGGGAATAGGCTCATGAGGGGTACTACATAAAATATACAATAACAAAAGTCCAGTCCGCGCCTGTTAAAAGTGACCATTAAAGGAATGTCTGCTACGTCATAGGTGACGTTTTATAGGAAAACCTACGTAATGTCAAAAAACCTACATAATGTGATGAAAAAGCGATATCACTTTTTAATACGGGTACCAATCTGATCACCATACTTGTCACACGATAAGTTCAAAATGATTTTCGGAGTAGGCGAAGGTTTGAACTTTAATCTAGATACGCGGAAACTAAATACTGCCTTTCTTATGGTATTCCTTGCTTTAAAACATTTTTTTATATTTGTCCGCCCGGCGACCTCTTGATCTGTGTTAAGGGGTATCCAACAACCGTTATTAGGAAAAAAATCGAGAGGTTTTCTCTTTATCTATGTAAAATCCAAGAGTAAAGGAACATAAAATTATTGAAAGGCAACAAACAGTATCTAGCAAACTTTGAGATAAAGCAGAAACATAACATCCGGGACAACCATTATCTCTTCCGATAAATTTGGCATTGCCACTTTGTGAACCCATATTTGCTATGATTAGCGAAGGCCGATTAGTTTAAAGTAAATACTTTTAAGGCCAAATGGATTTTGGTGAAGGAACTTCTAGATAAGGGAAATGGGAAATGCTCACCACAAAAACATTTGGATGGCTTTCTTGGAAAAATAACTTATCGGATATTTTGCATTACGGCACTACAGCCAACGTAGATAGTAGAATAGAAAGATACAGGGAGGGCTCTTTTTGTTTCGATAAATCTAAATAGATGGGCCACTTCTGCTTATGAGGGTAAGAAATCGATACTAGGCGCTATTTGACTTACATATGCAAAAAGGTGTAACATTATATTTTGTTCAAAGACATATTTTTTGATCGAAGAGAATTGAACAAGAAGATTCCATTAAATGAGAAAGATCTCGTAAATGTAGAAGTCTTAACCATAATACACTCGACTGTGCACGGAAAGACACTAATCGCCAAAAGGCCGACAATCCCGATATATCGGCCTCATATCGGTATCGGCTAAGATCATGTCGACTTCTAATCATAACCCCAGATGGTGAGATTATGAGTACATGGTAATTATATCAAAGGTCTTTAGAATTGTTTCTTTTTTTAGCAGCATCAGCAGCTTGCCACCCCCACTGCCTCGGCTGCCTCTACAAAGGCTGCCATCCTGCCTCCGCCACCATGTCAGTTCTGTCACAACAGCAGCAGCAACTGCAGCTGCAGCAACAACAGTACTGCCTACGTTGGAACAACCATCGTACTAACCTGCTCGCTTGCTTCGAAGACCTTCTACACAACGAGGACTTCACCGACGTGACGCTTGTTTGCGACGGTAAGGGAATTCGTAAAGTACTTCAAACACAAAAATAAAGATGATTCAAAACTTATCTCAAATCATAGCCTAAGTAAATTGAGTTACAGCATTGAAAACATCTTTCAAATATCTCAAACGCTACTACATCCGATCGATGTGCTACGAGTTATTTGCGAACATTTAGAGTTTTAGGCTTTTTGAGCCATGCGGTTATGTGTATAACGTTCAAATTGAACATGATACGATCATTTAGTGATAATGGAGTGGCTGTGCCATTTCTATGTTGGTTAGTAGCATCATTTAGTAGATACTAAATCCCATTGTAAAAGATATGGAAGTAGAACTGTGGCATGCAAGTACCTTGGCAGTCATCTTGCACTGAAATGAAACAGAAAGTGGTCCTGGCGTTCATGAAGATATCATTTCTTATATTTTTATTATTTATACAACGACAGATCACATTACAGTGAAAAGTTTCACACGCTTTCAAGTATAAAAAAAAGATCAGCGTTACCTCATAGACTCAAACTTTTCATAACCCTCCCTTTCTTCTTTTTCTTCTATAGACTTAGTTGACAGTTCTGTGTTCAGGTTGCTCAATATTGGAGACGTTTCGACCTGCACGGTTGACCAATGATCTATACTAAGTGACATATAAATCCGAACACCCAGTTCAAATGGTTTTATTTTAATAAAATTTTGTATAAGAACTTAATGAAGAATAATAAGTAAATGATAAAAATTTCAAAATGATTGCACTGCTTTAAAGCCCTTTGACCATTAATAATGTGTGGATGCACCCTGATGTGCTACGCATTCTCCAACGCGCCTAAGCATGCTTCTGATCAGGTGGTCAATGGCCTCCTGTGGTATCTCATTCCAGGCAACCACCAACTCCTCTCGAAGTGATTCTAGAGTCTGAGGAGGACGTTGCAAATTGAGCAATCTCCTACCCATCATATCCCACACGTGCTCAATTGGGGATAGGTCGGGAGATCTTGGTGACCATGGTAACAATGTGACTTCATTATGTTGAAAGAAGTCCATTGTGACTCTTGCAACATGTGGTCGGGTATTATCTTGTTGGAAAGTTGGATCTGTCAGGGTGTCAAGATAGGGTAAAAGATGGGGTTCTAGAACTTCGTGGATATAACGCTGCGCGTTCATGTTACCTCTGATGAAGATTAAAGGTGACCTGGAACCATAAGCTATAGCACCCCAAACCATAACTCCAACAGTGTGATGAACATGTCTTTCAACAAAAAACTGTGGATTCCTCCTTTCACCACGTCGCCTTCTAACCCTGGCACGACCATCGTGCATGCCTAAACAAAATCGAGACTCGTCACTAAAGACAATACTGTTCCATTCCTGATCCCAGAGTGACCGTTGTCTGCACCACTCAAGGCGATTACGTCGGTGTTCTCGAGTTAAAGGGAGGACCCAGTGTGGCCAGTATGAAAACAAGCCAAAACTTCTCATTCGTCGGTAAACACTTCGCATGCCAATAGGTCTTCCGTGTTCTGCAAACCATTCATTTGCAATGGACCTGCTAGTGGAGAAACGGTCCCTTAAGGCCAATAATCTTAGGCGGCGATCTTCACGGTCTGTTGTTCTACGGCGGCGTCCAGTGCCCCTTGCTCTTTGCTTACGGCCTTCTCGAAGCCATGCCTGACAACACCTAACCACAGTGTCTACACTTCTTTGCACTCTAACTGCAATTGCCCGAAAAGAAAGTCCAGCTTCCCGAAGTCCCACTATACGGCCCCTATCAAACTCACTAAGTTGACGAAATCGTACAGGTATCCGTACTCTAGGCATCGTAACCAATCGTAAAGGATGTCAAGAACCAAAATCCGCCAACGTTGATTCTTTACTGCGGCTGAAATATTCATTTTTAGAGCGTTAGTGAATTAAAAAAAAACAGTATAAAAACCGGAATGTCCAACTGATAAGGCTGAAAATTTTTTCACTTGTTATTTACAGTAAGATTATACATTCACCAACTTTTGTTAAAATAAAACCATTTAAACTGGGTGTTCGGATTTATATGTCACTTAGTATATTAATGGATCATTGCATTGCAACCACATTTTGATAATGACTTTATAAATATGTTCTTTCTTTACTTCCCACGCTTGCTGACGAGGTGGCGGTGAAGCTAGGGGCAAAAAATGAAAATCGCTCAAACTTCGTGATTTGTCGTTTCAGAGGCTCCTGATTATTTCCGGGAAATTTTTTGTATGAGTTGGAATTCGGGGGTTGCAGGAGCTGGAGGAAGGTATATCTCTCTTTGTTTGCGGCAGTGTATTTATACGCTTCCAGCCCCAGTAATTTTATGCACCTATCAGTGCAAATCTTACACATCAAAGATTTCGCCGTGCATTTGATCTTGAAACATGGAGAAATATTTATAGACAAGACACGCGGTCGGTCGGAACAATGCGATGCAACGGCGATTTTCATACGCCGAAGCCTGCCTTGCATCGGACAGCATTGCCGGCAGGGATATTGTAGTATCCTGGTTGGCGCTCATGACTTTTGAGTGGTATGGTCCAGCAGCGTTGCCAAATGGTCGATACTTAGGGCAGGAAAGTAACTAGCGCTAGCATTTCAAGTGGATGGACTAATTGTATATTGGTCTATTTGGCTGACTTGATCCATTTAACTTTTTGTCATACATGTTTGTAGCTAGTTGAAGGAGACTAACTGGAGCCGAATATAATCCGTTATGAACTGATGACAGCGTGATTGGGGAGGTCAGGGTCAACCTACCTAACGCCATTTTCTTTTTCAGGTGGTGCCCCCGTCAAGTGCCATCGCATGGTCTTAGCAGCTTGCTCACCTTATTTCCAGCACCTTTTCACTGACTTGCCATGTAAACATCCTGTTGTCGTGCTCAAAGATGTCAAATATGCAGAAATCAAAGCTATACTGGAGTACATGTATAAAGGAGAGGTAAGTGCGTTTTTGCATTATAACTAATATCAAATCTTGATCTGGGACTTTTAAAAGTCTTATTTTGCTTTACTCATTTTTATGTAATCTAATATGTTGAAATCAAAAGATATTTGTGTGAATTGGTATATCTAATCAAGTGAAACAGGGGGTGAAACAGAAATAAATATTTTAAGCTTGGGAAAAATGTAAGTCAATTTTAGCGGTTTCAACAAAAAAATAAAAAGTTTGGGTCCAAAATGTTTTAGTTTCGACCGAAGGTAAAAGCGTTCCTTATGAATTAATTCTTGACACAGACTCCTTTATGCAAGAGTTGTAAAGTAACTTTATCGCCCGCTTTGCATAAATTAACATATTGTGACGAATAGCGCCATCTGTTGGGCGAGTATCCTACTCGCCAGAGCCTAAATGCCGATCTCTGCTTTTACGCGAACCACGGCGCGCAAGCCGCCTGGCGGCGTCTGTGAGGACCGTGACAGTGGACCGCCTTCTAGATCGTCGCGAAGTGATCTCGAAGAGTCTAGACTTCCGCTTTGGGGCCCGCCAGACTCTTCTCGACAAACGATGCAGACTATATAACCCGACGGCCACGAGAGGGGACCAGAGTACTGAATACGGTAGATTAGCAGAGCGGAGTGAAGTATAGTACAGTAAATGGTGACGAGAATTAGACAGACATAAATAGAGGTGCATATAAATGTTTTATCAAGTTAAATAAATTAGTGCATTTCTTTTTGTGCTTTAATCCACATCCAAAAGAACCCAGAAAAACGCTACAATATGTTGAACAGCGAATGGGATCCTCGGAAACTACTCGTTATTCATTTGTATGTATGACCCTTAACATGCCAGAGCCCGTGGACCTGCGCACCTTTGACTTTAATTACACGCCGCGAGCTTTAGTTGTTTCTTTATCGTCCTAGAGTCATCCATATCTGATAACAGTATCTCAAGTTATTTAATACCCTGAATATAATAAACAATCCAACATATTCTTAACTCTTCAATGATATTATAAACTGTAAGTGGTCTTCAAAAAAGTCATTCAGAGCCACCATGTTTGGACTGAGCCTGAGTACATTGGAAATGTTCATACCATATTATCTTGATGCTATCATGCATTTAGCCAATTTATGTTTGGAGACTGGTACTTCTCCAGAATTGTGGAAATTGGCTACTGTGATACCTCTGCCAAAAACTGACAATCCCCTTGAACTTGTGATTATATATATAACAGCCTACTTCCTATATTATCCAAATTATTTGAAGGAAGTGTTTATGGGCAGATATTCATCTATATAAATAAATGCAACCTGATACCTTCAGTCTTCAAACGTGGTCATAGTACTGTAACTGCACTGCTCGATGTCTGTGACGACTATTTAACATGGCAACATGCGGGATGTTAGATCTGTCTAAAGCTTTTTACTGCATAGATATTAGATTTTTTTGGCGAAACTATCATATTTTGGACTGTCTGCATCATTTCTTGCCTGGTTCACTGGATATCTATCTGATAGACCGCAAATGCTGAAAAAACGTCGTCGAAATGCAATGCTACACAAGGTGTTACAGAGGGTTCAATCCTGTGGCCGCTTCCATTCAACCTATTTGTATATCATTTCAGCGAGTCTATTTCTTGTTCCAAAGTTCACTTCTATGTAGATGGCAACGAGATATACCTTTCCTAGATCAAACTGTCAAAAGATCTAAAAGCTGCAAATCAATATTTCTCTAGCCATGGATTACGTACACCCAAAAAAGTTCCTTTAAATCTAAGTAAAGCGATTTTGACAATAATGTTGTTAATTTATCCATAGGAGGTGAGACACTTAACCATAAGTCGCATATAAGAAATTTAGGTGTGCTCTTTGACTTGTAACATGTAACAAAAATGGTCATATGGCAAAAGCATATAATATAATTTCAGACATGTACGTTGTCAATCTGTCAAAGTCGGGTTAACTAATGCGTTGATACTAAGCAAAGTAGAACATGTTGATTCTATGTTTCTATGTGCTTCACACAGGTTGCAAAAGGTTCAAAATTCATGTGCCCGTTATGTATTAGAAGTTACTCGGCGAGAAAGTATCACACCACATTTGCAGCGTTTTCCATGATTGAGTATGAAAAAAGGTGGATACCTTTGCTGTTAGGTGTATTCGGTTCTTCGTAATAAGCGCCCTGCCTACATAAACGATAAATTGTCAATGCGTAATCAACTGCATAGTGCCACACTCAGAGTTGTCGGTCATACATATATACAGGGTGACTTCGAAGTTGAGTCATTTATTTTAACAGTGAGTAGATTTGATCAAAAGAAATGTTTTTTTCCTTTACCATTTTTCTGGTAAAATTAAAGTAACAAAGTTATAGCCCTTTGGAAGTTTGAGTACCGCCCTGTCTCAATAATGATATTATGTTCTCGTGTTTGGCAACAACAGATATAATCCGCCTTATCCGTTCATCGCATCGGAAACAAAAAAGCGAAAGAATTTGGAACGATCTTTTTACAATTATTTTCTTCAGTTGTATACAGTCAGTATCAGTCGGTAGTCGGTAACGCGTAAGTGAATAATCGTGTCTGTTGCGAGGCTCAAATCAAAAATGGCACATGTTTACGAAAATGCTGAACTTGTGGACATGGTTCTTATTTACGGGGAGTCTTTACAAAATGCTGCCGCGGCATCACGGATCTATGCGGATCGGTTTCCCAATCGAGTGCAACCAACCCCTCGTGCCTTTGTTAATGTAGTGCAAAGAGCTCGTGAATCAGGTGACTTAAGACCTCACAGAGGAGATCATGCCGGTGCTCCAAGACCACACGATCAAATAGAACTAGAAGAACAAATTTTAGAATTAGTGAGTGATGATCCAACAGTAAGCACCCGACAAATTTCAACTCAATTGGCGATTAGTCAGTATAAAACTTGGAAAACTCTACGTGAAAATCAGTTCTATCCGTTTCACATACAAAAAGTGCAGGCCTTACAACCGGAAGATCATGAACAAAGGGTTGACTTTTGCAATTGGCTTTTAAATAAACATCAAAATGATGACAATTTTTTAAATCAAATTTTAGTGAGTGATGAAGCCCTCTTTACTAGAAACGGAATTATTAATTCACGTAATTCTCACGTTTGGGCTATTGAAAATCCCCATGAAATAAGGGAAACCAATTTTCAACAGCGATTTGAACCAATCAACCTGTGGGCGGGAATTGTTAATGGAATTTTAGTGGGGCCTTTTGAATTACCAAATCGCTTAACTGGTGAAAATTATTTTGATTTCTTGCAACACAATTTGCCTGGTTTACTGGAAGATGTGCCTTTAAATATTAGACAAAACATGTGGTTTTTACAAGATGGGGCACCACCCCATTATGCAAGAAATGTGCGTGAATTTTTAAATAGACAATTTAATAATCGTTGGATCGGCCGTGGCGGTTTTGTACCTTGGCCGCCAAGGTCTCCGGACTTAAATCCTTTAGACTTTTGTTTGTGGGGTTGGCTAAAAACTCTTAGTGTATAAAACGCCGGTTAATACACGCGAAGAATTACGTGCTCGAATTGAAGAAATGAGTACAGTGATCAGAAATCAACCAGTGATTTTATTGCGTGCTTGTAAAGAGACATGGCTAAGACGCGCCCAGCTGTGCGTCGAGCAAAACGGAAATCATTTCGAACAGTTTTTGTGACATGCTTTTGGGCGCACAGGTCCGCACTGAAATACTTGTCGGGAGGATACTTTATAAAACAAGGTAACATTTTCTTTTTAATTTTTTTTTATTTTTACACACATATTTTGGTTTATCTTCCTTCTACAATCATTATCTGAAAATTAATGACTCAACTTCAAAGTCACCCTGTATATATATATATATATATATATATATATATATATATATACAGGGTGTTCCATAATTATTGCGACAAAATGATAGGGGTTGTAGAGGGCATCAAAATGAACAATTTTGCCTTATAAACCCCTGTTCGGAAATATGCCGTTTGGGCTGCAGCAAAAAAAAAGATCAGTTTCTTGAAACAGCTTACCTACAATAATTGCTCGAAGTGTCCTCCACCTTGCTCAATACACAGCTGTGCACGATTGTTCAATGATCGGCGAACTCTGTGGCATTACCCCGGTATGTTCTGAACATGTGCGGACGCGGCCATCACTCTTCCCAGTAGCTCTTATTGGTTGGGTACAGTAGTTTCGTACACTAAAGCTTTCAGATGGCCCCAGAGAAAATAATCCAGTGGGGTCAGGTCGGGTAACCGCGCAGGCCAAGGCACAGGGCCACCTCGGCCTATCCACCTATTTGGAAATTTGTCGTCCAAATACTGCCGCACTTGTAAAGAAAAGCGGGCTGGAGCGCCATCGTGTTGAACCCACATGTTGGCTCTTATGTTCAGTGGCACATTTTTCGGTAGCACATGCTGTAAGAATCGACCATAAGCATGCCCATCCAAACGTGGTGGAAGCAAATATGGCCCGATGATATGCTCGTCCACAATGCCGCACCAGATGTTAATTGAAAACTGATGTTGGTCTCTATGGATGGCTATGGCATGAGGGTTTTCATCATCCCAAATGTGACTGTGATGGCTATTAAAATAACCGTCCGTTGTAAAACAGGACTCGTCAGTGAGCAAAACGTAGCGACCAAAGTTTGGTTGCCTCGACTCCTGCTGCAGCCACCAACGACAAAAACGTCGACGCGGCAGATAGTCTTCTGGACCCATGGCTTGGACTTTTAAAAGGTGGAATGGGCGTAGTTGCTGGTGTCATGGAGAACCCGCCAAACAGTAGTTTGAGACGCTCCCATATCATGTGCAATAGCACGCACGCTTGTACGCGGATTGGCCTCTACATGGTGCAGAATCGCTTCCTCAAATTATACTGTGCGCCTTGTGAAGCGCCGCCCTGCTCCCGCGAGGTATCTGATGCTGCCACTGACACGAAGACGTCCATGAATCCTTGCAAAAATGGCGTGATGCAGATGAGGACGTTCTGGAAACCGTTAGGCGTAGATCCGCGAGGCTCGTCTTCCGTTACCACCAGCTTTTCCGTAAATTAAATGCATATCCGCAAGTTTCGCATACGAATAACGCTGCATTTTAACACTAAGGTACTGTTATTTACTATCTAGTTTGACGCACCACTCAGACAAATTAAATAAATCGGTGTGGAGAATTTACGATAACAAAAATGTAAACACAGCAGGCTTTTTTACAAACCGGCGAGACCATGAAATGTGCTAGACGAACATTTTGCAGCTGGTGAATTTTTTGTTTCTCCTATGAGCTCTTAAGGTAAAATTAGCGGTAGTGCTCAAACGGCATATTTACGAACAGGGGTTTATAAGACAAAATTGCATATTTTTATGCCCTCTACAACCCCTATCATTTTGTCGCAATACGTAATTATGGAACACCCTGTATATATATATATATATATATATATATATATAAATATAATATCCCTGTTCACAGAACAAGTAATTTCAGAAAATCTTTCTCTTAGCAAGCAATTATCACTTAGCAGATTTAAAGGAGCTCATATTAATGACGTTTTAACATATTATGTTGATATTTTAGATGCTTTATCCCATAATATCTATTTTAGACTTTAGTATTTTGTGCCAATTATCACTAATTCATGTTCTTACTGTAAAGATACTTCTAAAACAACTGGCCCTGGTTAGAAAGGCAAAACAACTCTAGCGGAATTTTCGCCAGGTTAATAAATACCTACATTTTATTATTATTGTCATTAGTAGGCATAGATCTTTACCTTGAGCTGCGTTCTGCCACTTGCTGTTCTCCCAATTCCACTGAAACAGCATTTCTTCGGTAGATATTGGCAAGCATCCAAATAAAAATTCTTACTCTTTCCTACACTAACAGATGTGTATCTTGTGACTGTTATAATTCCAGTTCTTTGAGCTTTTCATTATGTCACATGTTTGATGTTTCATTTCGCCAGGTAAAGCCCGCCTGGACTAAGCAACATAAATTCTGGATGTTTGCTTTATACTGACACGCTTACTGCTATTTTTCTTTTGGATCTAATTTAAGCCGTTGCTATATAGATTTGTGGTGGGATAATACAAGTTATCACCCATAGCTTCCATATTTATAAGTTTTGGAGCATAACGTACTTCTGATGCGATTATTACCATACTAGTTTAGCTCGTTGCTGTATAAATTTGTGGAGGGATATTCTTAATTCACCACCTTCACCTATTTCACTTCATAAGTTTTTATATAAAACGTAACATAGAGAAAGTTTATTGGTGTCACAACTTTTTGTAAATATGGTGAAAGTCGTATTTGTAAAGATGGTGGGAGTGTCTACTAAAGGACAATGCAATGCTGATTGTGATCTACCAATATAGGATTTTCGCCGGTACCGATTTGTCACTGGACGATGTCTGTTTTTGCACACAGTCGGATGTATTTCGGTACGGTAACTTTCCATTTGCTTGAACCGCTTTGGTTGCATCATGTTTAGTACTCCACAAAAATGTCACAAACAAGGAAAAGTAGCGCTGTCTGGATATACCTATTTCAAAGGAATTTTCTATCAAAAGACGAATTTGATAGTGCCATCTGTGTCCTATGAAAAAAGCGACAGAGGGCAAGGATATTATTTCGATGAAACTGGTGTATTTCATTTCTATAAATGCAAAGCTAATATGACAGGATCATATTTTGAAGAAAATTATTCAAAATTTTGGTGAATGTGCCTACCACCGTATAATCTACAGAATCGGCAGTCATTGAGGTCCCGTATATAATGTGTACGATCGAGATAGAGAGATAGACACATATATTAGAGTGCCGTGTTGTCCCTAGATAATGAAGTGCTACTTTTTTCTTCTAGGTTAATGTAGCTCAAGACCAATTAGCCGCCTTGCTCAAAGTCGCCGAGGATCTCAAAGTCAAAGGCCTGGTGGAGGAAACTCGAGCCAACAACAACAGCAATAGTAACACCAGCGGGGGCAGTGGAGATGGAAGCCCTGCCTCCTCGACTCCCAGGCACCACCATCACGATCAAGACCGTCTCTCCTCCCATTCACCCTTAGGCGCGGTGTCCACCTCCACCGCAGGCCACAACGCTGTTCATAGTAGCAGTAGTGGGGCTGGCAGCCCACCACCCGCTCAACATGCCACCAGCGCCATCTACAAGAACCCCTATAGTATGTACGGTAGTAAGACACAGGTAAGATTTCTATTCCTTTACCTTTTCTTCTCAAACTCCTGTCGTACATTCCAAAAAATGTTACTTGCTTCGTCCTCGCGACTCATCCAAAGGTAGTTCAGAATTTAAAGTATCTTTTTCCAACGACTTGACATTTTATATTACGCGTGCTAGCTCTACGCTCTGATCACCGAGCTACCGAGGCTCCCATACAGCGAGAAAAAACGGAACGGACACGTTTTTCTGACGGCCGCATGATACCTTGACCCCTATTTTTGTTTAGATTCCTCAAAGATAAAGTCCTTTCAAACTGTGTGCCGGCAAAACGTTCATAAAATTAATAGTGAAATTGCGCTACAAATGTGTCAAAAATATACTGAATATTTTAGTCGAAGAATAGACATACATATTTCCACAAAATTGTTTGTATTGTTTAAACACAAAATCGCGAAGAACCTTTTGGAATACTCTTTATATAGGACGCGAAAGAGTGACTCTGTTCCTCCTCCACTCCGATTCCGCCTAGAGTTGAAACATTGTTTCAAGTTCTTCAGAAGCTGTGTTACATTGAACTTTCAAATATTTTAAAGCATCTACATAATTGCTTTCTCTTTCAGGAACACAATCGCATCCCGAACGTCCCTTTATGGGCGGTACCCGGCCTGCCCCTACCCCCTCATCCGTCAGTGCCTGGTACCTCCCCCCATCACCCCACAGCCTCCGTTATGTATGACCCCTCAGATTCGCCCCTAAAACGCAAGAAGCTCAGCGGTCTGCTGATGAGTCGTGACACACCCATCTTGAGAACCGTTTTGGGGGCAGGACAACAGGAGGACACTAGGGGACTGCACCATCCACCGCAAGATAGGCCTGTCAGTCTCGTGTGCCCACCTGACAGCGATGGGAGTGGAGGAGAAGATAGACTTAAGGTAAGTTTCTTTTTGAAAGGTAAGAGTGCTCCGTTATGAAGTCTCAGTTGAACTAAGGGTCAGGGTTGATAAGGGCCTTTTCGGCTCTGAAAATAACTCAAATTTCGAGTTTATTGCTTGTATGAAATTTTGCAGGCGTTTCAGAATATATGTATTTTAAGCTCTCATCAACATTTACCTTCTTGAAGTAGTACTTTATTGTACTTTAACTGTCCGTTTTGGAGATCCACTGAAAATCGGTTTCTCATAAATTATTACACGAAATGTTGAGGTATCAGCTGGTCATTATAGCTGATACCTCATTTAAAGATAACCAAGACAGGACTAGCTATATCGCAGTATTGCCTTTTTTTGCACGCTCTCTCCCTGAAACGATGCGGTATTCCTTGACGATTCAGCTCTTTATGGTCTAAATTCTCTTTTCCAGCATATGAAAAATGAGCCATCCGAAGATGCCCAGTCACCGTACACGGATTTCACACCCATGACAGATGACGAAGAGAAGTCAAAGCTAGCCATCCCTTCTTCATCCCCTCAATCGTTCGGCCAGGAAATGCGAACGGGTACAGGAGTTAATGGAGGGGGTATCGCCACCTATGTTCCCGCACAGAAGCCAGAATGGAAGAGGTACAAGCAATACACCAGGAATGACATCATGTCTGCCATCGAAGCTGTGCGGAATGGGATGTCTGCCCTGCAGGCTGCTAGAAAGTATGGAGTGCCATCAAGGACATTGTACGATAAGGTATGTTAATATATTTTACAGTGCTTTTCAAAAAGCCCCCATTCTACTTATTTTTTGAATTGGTCAAGCTGGCGGGCTGAAATTCGGAGTAATGAAATTTAAGCGTGAATACTACCGGGTATTTCGCATCTGAGCCGGCACAGAGCAGAGACATGGAGGGAAATCCAAAATATTGTAACTTACCTATGCTTTCAGTTATTTCGGTTCTTGTTGAAAACGATAAAGCCTTAATTGCGCTCTAATTGTTGTCAATTATTGCACACTCAAAACGTGTAGCAAATTTTTCTAAGTTCATGAATAATTGAAATGCTCTGTGTTGGTTTCTAAACGGAACACCCTGTATGTTAGCGTAAAAGTAGCAGTTTAGGATCTCAACCTAGCGGCTGGGCGTCATTTCGTAAACCTTTTTGAAGCATCTAAAGAATACTTCATGACCACAGAATATAAAGCCACCATCTTCGGGGGCGTCATTTCGTAAACCTTTTTGAAGCATCTAAAGAATACTTCATGACCACAGAATATAAATCCACCATCTTCGAAAATTGCGAGCTGGCAGGTTATCAAACTTGAGCATTTTTATAGCAACGCTATAGTTGTTATATTGTGATATTGTCGTTATATATATATATATATTTTTCACCTATATATATATATATATCTTCTGCTCTGGGAAAAGTCTACCCAAATGTGTCATAAATATGAGAGTTTCAATTAAAAAAATGTCAAAATCTGTTATTTTTTAAATTGAATATTTCATATTCTATCGCACATTCGAATAGTGCCTTCCAAAACAAATTGATATCACATACTATAACGTTTCGACGATTAGTTATTCAGTTATTTTCACTATACAAATGCCCAACTTTGACAGTTTCCTTGTCTGCCATTTTTAAAGAGTGATTATGCTTATATGGATATAAAGTTCTCAAGGATCTGCAAAACAGGGTATTACAAGACCCCTCATTCCACTTAAAGAAATGGCGTCATCTTGAAATTTTCAATTGTTATTTTTACGTTAAATTATAGCATGTGTACGTTTACTTCCTTAACCCGAATTTCAGCTTGCAACGTTTTATAAAGCAGGTGTAAATAATAAAAATTATACATTTGGGTAGAGTGCATCATGGACATAATCGAAAACCTCTTCATCATGACTGGGCTATAAGTACAGCGGCTCCACAAAGCTCCTTCCTACACTTCACGCAGTTAGGGACGATCATTTAGAGCTTTAGCCAAAGCATCAGGAATTTTGTATACTTAAACCGCCATGAAGGCCTACGGCCTAAACACCCATAGGTACCGTGGGGCTATAGGGGGATACAGGGGGAAGGAGAGGGACTCCACACGGACTCTAGCGAGGGAAGACGTGTGCATGCAACATGCACACATTCTGACCCGCCTTAGAGAGATCAGAAGGGTGGTACCTCCGCATTCGACAGTCAGAGACCGTCTGCTACCTACGGACAATCACAACATCCATAGCCAAGAGAATGCTTGGGTCGGGATTCGAACCCGCACTGCGTATGGCTACTGATTGGGAGTCACCTAACGTCTACCACTACGCCACCGCTACTGCCTGATGAGACATTTATTCAAATATTTCATTTGAAAATTTCTTCAGCTCTCTGTAGATAATCGAAATTAGCCGACTTCTTTAATTCTACCAGTGATTGGTACTGAAACAATCTTTTTGGAGCGAAAGTACCATTCCTTCTGACCGTTGGATGGAACAAATCTTTGGAAATCACTTTTCAGATGTGACTCTGTCTTTAGCCTTAGATTTTTCGCATTTAACACTTACTTATAATCCTGTCAAACACCTCTCAAAGAAAAAAAAAGCAATTTCATTTAGAATATCCTCCTCCATCTGGAGAGCAACGCAACTCAACAGGAACTTTGGGAGCAAAATAAATATACTACCTATGATCTCTGGAAATTATTCCATAGTTTGTATCATGACTATCTGAAAGTCCAACCTCAACTTTAAACATTGTCTTTTCCTCAGTAACTGTTAATATTATTTCCTAAGTACGATTGTCTTCCCTTTCAGGTGAAAAAGCTAGGCATCACGACGAGCCGACCTTTCAAACGAGGCACGAACGGTAGCAGTCCCTGTTTCCCCTACGCTAGTGGCTCCCCCTATGACGGCGGATTGGGTGACGATGGTCCTGTCACCCCTCACCACAACAACAATAACAGTAGTCCGGCGGCATTGGCACTAGAGGGAGCTGCGTTCCTACAGCATGCCTTGGACAGGGGAGCAGTCGGAGCTGAAGAAAGGGAGACTTTGGTAGCCATGGCGGCGGCTGCAGCGATGCACAGTATGGGGAGACCTCCAAGTAGCCCCAGCCCTACGTCTATGAAGTATCGGCCTGCCAGCCTTACGCCTTCACCAGCACCAGGTCAGTATTTGAGGATTGCCTAGTTTTAGCCAACACTCTTCTGTTTTTTGCACATCCGGGGCGTTCTGGAATGTGCGAAAAATTTCAATTAAAGCCCTGTCACATACTGCCTATAAATACTGTTCAGACTTGTCACCGTTCGGTTCAAAAGCACAGTTTGTCAACTTCTCAAATTGGAGCATTTGGAGCTATTTAGGTGTTCTACTATGCCCACCTCGAAGTTCCTACAAACGGTCTTTATACGGCATGGACTCACACGGTGCGTGATGAAAACATCCAAGAAAAGCAGCATCTTGGATACACTCACCGAGAGCTAACATCTACCTGACAAGTTCATTATTGTTAAGGAATTACAACCTATTTATAAGCAGTTGATCGGATTACCTATACAGTTCGCCGTGCCAGGGCGGATACTGATGCACGGCGCATCTTTTAACCTATTCCTTTGCTCTATAGTCAGATTTAATATCATAGTTTTTCGTAGTATCTTAAAACTTTGCTATCATTAGGAAAATTTGGTTATTTAAAAGAACTATAGCGTGTATATCTTAGACTTCGGTCCAACAAATAAGGTCGTCGGTTATATTTTTGATGCGCTTCTCGTCGCTCACATTACGAACCCTCCTTCTCTTCGAGTGTTCTTCCTCACCGGGAAGCTATGGCCCCGTCACCACTAGTCGCCATGTCAGGAAGCTGATGAACATTTCATTAGGTTAATTTGGCTACGGATGCTAGCGAGATGGCTATAGCGACCCTGGGGGGCTCTTCGCAACAAAATTGACGCTGTTTTTGTTTTTTCTAGGAAGCGACCACCATAACAGCCATAGCGAAACAAACGGTAGCTCAGAACGCGACGATCACAATGACCATGATGCAGATGCTGATGATGAAGACCAAGTTGAAGACCTCTCCATCAACAGAAGCCACAAAGAGGAGTCTCCCGCACGTAGAATCATCATGCCACCTATGAGCCAGGTGGCAGCCATCATTAAAAAAGAACACGAAATGATGATGGAGGGTGTGCAAGAACAGGAGTGCCGAAGAGAGGTGAACGTCAAAGATTAAGTTAAAGGAAATTTGGGGTGAAGTGAACCCAAGTTGTCGATACACCTGTAACCCCATCAAGCCGTTTATTATGAAAGAAACACAGCTGAACATAGTTTTAAACCAGTGTTAAGTTTTATTCTATATATTTTATGTGCAAACCTGAGAAACGTAAGAAAAATAGGTCGCGAATGTAAAAGGATCGTGGACTGAGTTCAGTGCAATATCTATATCTGTGGTTGTCTGCCCGTACTCACTTGTTTAGGCTGTAAGGTTTATCGTTAGTTTTAGGAAATCGTTAAAGTCCAAGCGGATTAGGTTCAATTTCTTCTAAATATTTTTCTTTAGGCAATCGAAATTTCAATTGGCACAACTTCGCACATAACAATGTGTAAGCAGATGTGTTGACGCATACATTTTCATCAAATTCTGAACAAGGGCAGAGAATAGCAAAGCTTGCTGCAATTGGATTACAGATTAAAAAAATGTCCTTGTCGTACAGACTCATATCAACATGCCGATTAACGAGGATGCTCTGAAGTCGTTTCTTTAGAAATATCTAGTAAAACCATAATCCGCTTGGTCTAAAGTGTAGATCGGGAAATTGCTGGATAGGAAAGTTGATCTTGGATGTCTTTTATCTACATCGTTTACTTAATATTTTCGTTACAATAATGTAATTTTGCATTTTGCTATAATGGGGTTTTCTACGTAAATTATGTTAGGGTGCATGGACAAATCTTGATAACAATATTTCGCGCCTCGGAAATTTTGGGATTAAAATTGACCATGTGTACCTAATTTTTGAAATATTCTTTCCTATACATCCTAATTTCCTCGTCTACCAGAGTTAGCCTTATACGAAAAATTCGAGTGCCTGCCACGAAGAAATAGCTGCTTGCCGCAGGACCAGCTCACTATTTTTGCTACAAGCATCCTTACGACTAGCTGGGGATGCAACTCATAAGACTGATAGATTATATGACGCGTTTTATTATGAGACTGATAAAGATAGAGCAAATTTTATGGTCCGAACGCAAGCAAAAAATTAATACAACAGACGTTGAGAATCGCAAAACATATTTTAGCTTCCGTTACTTTCCTGCATGTCGAAAGAGGGATGATACCAAAAAACATAATTTAACTTTTAGGATCTACTATGGTTGCCCAAATTATGTGAATCGTTTTTACTTTGAAAGAATATAAGAAGGGTCATGGAACCCCCACTTGTTTCTTGCTGTTAACATTTGGAGGAGTAAGGACAAGCTCATCTACTGTGACTCGGACTCCAAACCTGATCAAGAAACTGTTGCTCGAAATGCCAACAAAAAACCAATGCTATTACTCTTTACTTACACACTTTTAATATATCATTAGTAAAATGCACCTTTAGAGTACAAAAATATGTAAAAAGCTAAGTTATTTATTTCAATTTTAAGTATATTTTCGTATGTTACATTTATTTTGTCGTATTATGATTTCTTCAACAAAAGGTTCTTATATGGAAGTTTAAAAGTCTAATATCGTGTTCTAGCACACTAGACTTTTTGATAAAGAATCACATTCCTGTTCAAGTCGCTTTTGAATACCTACCATAAAAATTCGTGTCCCCACAACTTTATTTCTTCATAGATATAACCAATTAACGCGGAGCTAAAATATTTATGCAATTCTCGAACGTTGTCCACCAGTGTTATCTTTAAAAAGATGTAAATAGTTATCGTAGGGCTGCAAGTCCATAATACTAGATGAGAGGTGAAACTTAATGTTTTCGCATGTATATTATCGGTTGAAAATAAGTTAGAAGTGTTTGGTGTAAGGCATTATAGAGTATCTGGATTGTAAAAATTTTAAATTCATAGTTAAGGTAACAATTCTTTGTGGGTAACAAGCATGGGAAAATATTGCCAAAAATTTGGATTAGTTATGCTGAAGATTTTTAACTTATTAGCACTCTCAAAACATTGTGTCTACCGCTCTATAATTCATAAAGTTTTTGCGGTGTAAAAGTGGTTTAAAAATATAAATATATTCGGATATAGGCTCAACGTTTGGTCTAAATGATAATGTAGGTTATTAACAAAATTAAGAAAATATTCACGTGAATGTCATAATACTTATGTGTTGCGAAAGAAAATATGTTTGAATTACTCTAGACGCCAACTGTCAACGTATACTCAAGTATCAGTTCAAAGATGTGCCGCGTTAGCAGTGGTATACAATGTGTTATTCCGTTTTTGATAGCGGACTATATAGTCACGTCATATTGAGGTGATTTTTGGCGCTAACGTACATTTGTTACTGCATATAATTTTGACAAGTGAAATATTTCTTAAATTTGCGATGTATTAGAGTGTTCCTGGATTTTTGCACTGTTGATACATAGAGTAAATTTTAACTGTAATCAGCTGCTCACTAAGCAAGAGCAATAAGGTGACAAGCATTTATTAGTTCACATAATATAGTAATATACAGTTTTTTAAAGTGTTGCACATGCCATATTTGTCTTAAGAGTGGCCATTTTATAGCCATAGCTGTGATTTTTCCTAGACTGAATACACATAACATTTCTCTTTAATACGCATAGGTTCAATAGCTCACCCATTATGTTCCTCGTTTGAGTTCAAATTTGACAACAATGATAATGTTTCACTGGTTCTACATCACTTCTGTATCTTAACCGCCTTTAAAAAGTATACTCTAACTAACACGACCTTTAGTCCACAAATTGAGCAGAATACCTCGAAACGAATGAAATTCCGTAAGTATATAGTATGGTATATCCTCATAATCAGTCGTTCAATACTTTAGCAGGGTGCAATAGATATGTTTTTGCTGTATTCACACTAGTGAGTATAATGGGATTTTTAGGAAGACTGATGTTTAACCTTTGTTTTCTTAACGAGAAGTTTGTCCAAATGATGCTAAAAACATCAATAGAAGTTGAATTTTCAGCTTCATATGTAAAACCTAAGAAACTGAACAAGCAGTATATGTCGATAGTATCTCCATATGAACAATTAATTTTTAACTAAACGCGGACCAATTTTCTAAGATGTGCCTTTTAATCTATAGAAAAAATATATTTCAACATTCCATTAGAATTATCATTCAAAATCGACAATTCTTTGCGAACTTTTTGAAAAGATTGAAACACTTGTCCGTAAAAGTTGTGTTAGCTACTTTTGCCATTTTGTTTAAGACTGATTACTATTTGTTTATTGTTATCTAAGTATTTTTTAGAGTTTTGTTATGCCTCCTATATCGTAATTAAGTTTAAAGATCTCTTTTTACCTACATACAGCCCAAAGTGCTAAACATCTACCTCACGAATATCATTATTCTAAATATTATTCAATTGTATATAATATTTTTATTATGCATATATATTTTTCCTGTTTTTTTTTTAAATAGAATTTAAGTTAGATGGAGTATGAAATATATGTGTAATCCCATCGGTAAAAAAGAGAATGTTCAATTTTTATTCTCAATAAATGATGCACAAAATGTGTGTTGACTTTCCGCAAATTACTGTTGAAGTAATGTAGTTCTTTTCTATGATTTGATTATGCAATTCGTCTATGTATATGTTATTGTTAGACATAGTTATATTTTGATTGCACTGCACCTATATGTATTGCATATTTTACTATAAGTAATAATAAAATATTATATTCGATCTATAGTGTCTTCTTCCTAACGGAAAAAAATGAAATATGAGAATCCGATGGATCAAAGGGAATGTTTGGAAAAATTCACATGTTTAGCAACTTCGATGTGACAAATGAAAACTGATGCACTCTGGTGTAGTCTTTCTCAAAGTTGACGATAACGCCTTGTGGATGCTGGAGACCTTAGGGGGGGGGGAGGGGCGGTAAATAGCCTAGAGGAAATTGAGGGGCAATGCAATGGTTAATTTGTGTTTTTGTATAACTAGGTATATATAAATTAAAATAATTCCTGTTGAAAATAGTAATGATTCTCAAAGGAATAATAATAATTAACGTCTTTTTATTTGTAATAACCTTAGAGGAGGCGAGATTTAGATACCAAATCTATTCTACCACTTAACCCCTTAACAATACGAGATGTACAAAACCAAAAAAAAATTAAACATTAATATCTGATATAACAACGACAATAATAAAGCATAATCAATGTAGAAGAAAACATAAGATCAGTTAACACTTATTGCTTACAAAAGATTTCGCTGAGGATCAAGTAGAGTTAGTTTCTTTCAATTCTTTCATGAATGTGGGTCATGTATTAGGTAGTTTCTTTAAAACTATATTATATAATTTGATCGCATTGTAAGTGTATCTGTTCGGAAATAGAGATGTGCCTAGGCGTGGTATCAAAAAAGTATCTCTATAATCTATATTAACGTCAAGGATATTTACTCTACGTATGAATGTGCTTTCTAAATATGACGGTGTATTTGAGTCTAGAACCCTGTAAGTCAGACTTAGGTCTATATTATCAGTCAATCCTACAATTGTAGGACGACTTTATTGCCTCCTTGATTGTCAGTCTTTTCTCTCCAGAAAGGATGGGGTATTTCTAGATTTCTACTGGTCCGTGTCTGCGTCGGCGCTCTGCTATTGCAAGGCTATGTTTTGTTTTTGAATTGTTGAAATTTCAGGCTGATAAAACAGATCTGATAAGTCAAAAGCATGATTAATTTGATGCAAATAATAATAATAAATAAATTTATTCACAATTACAACAACAGAAAAAACTGATACAAATGCTGACCCAGTCGAGACAAAAATAATGAACATTATGCTGTGGGAATTACAAGCGAAGTTGAGGAAAAAATATAAATGCTTGGGATTAAATAGACAGTAATACAGAAAAACAGTAACGGATGATATTGCTTTTGCCACATTAATTGTTGGAAGGTTTATTATACTTAATGCCAATTAATATATGCGTACATCATTTCATTTTTCAGTTTGAAGTAGATACTTTTTGTAGTTGACTTTGAATGATTTGGAAGAGAGATAGAATAAAGAAACAGATATTTTTATAATATGATCATATTTTCTAAGATCATTTACGAGCCTGAAACATGAATTCATAATACTTTGAATACGATTTTTTGTTATAATTTCTGAATAGTATTTCACCTTCAATGTCACCAATAGTCCTACTATGCCACACTGGAAAACTTTTGAGATCCTGTTAAAGTTCCTGTTTGATTTAAACTACGGCAGAGGACGGAATATGTTACCTCTTAACTGTCTATCCTCCGACCGGCAGGATTATTACGTAAAAACCCTATAAAATGTCAAAGACCGACAAAATTTCAACTTTCTGACTAGACAGCTGCTAATATACAAATAGTTCATTCCGCTATTGCTCGCTGTGAATACTGTAATCGTCACCCTAGTGTCATCTATGGAGGGATGGCTCAACAATACGCCAGCTGCTTTGTTGGTTGCAGAACGCTGAGATATGTATCTACGAGGAGATGTGAAAGAAAGAAAATCAGTTGAATAACAAGACCGCATCTGGATGATTGAGTTGTGATTGCGTATATTGATCTGCATGTGTATAAAATCAATATGCTGCATGTGGAGTATATTAGCTGTATTAGACGTGTTATTTCGGTTGTCTTTTCTGAAGTGAGGTTATGTTCGAAGTTATAAATTACAAAATTTTCCCTGGTTTGTTTTACGTTTTCAAAAACTCGTAGATGGTAGACGGTCTCTGACTGTCGAACGTGGAGGTACCACCCGGCGGATCTCGTAGGCGAGGCCAGAATGTGTGCATGTGTGGCGTCCCCCTTTCCCCTGTTTCCTCCTATAGCTCCACGGTGCCCCACGGGTGTTTAGGCAGTAGGCCTTCATGGTAGTTGGAGTATAAACTTCAAGAAGCATTACGAGAAATCACCACCATGCCCGCATTGTGTGGTTTTGAGTCACATCACAGAAAAATAGGAATGACGCATCACACACAAAACATTTTCGCAGTGCCCCAAATCTAGGCGCTGACATTGCAAAATAAATTTCTATAAAATATAAAAAATAATGTAAAACATAATAACCTTTTCATGTTACATAAACATTCCTGTCTGTAGCCTATTTTCTCACCAGTAACCAGCGATTCTTTTAATCTCATTTTTGAAATTCTAGGATGTGATTTTCAGGATGAAGCATACATCTCAAGTAAGTCCTATTTGAGACAAGAAACTCAGGGTATTATCATCACAGCAGATTATTAGCATACAAATCCTCACTATGCCTCTATGCCCCAACGTTTCCTTCCAGCTACAGTATACAACTTACAGCTAAGACCTGCAATAAAGTCATCTCTGTCTCTGGAGCAGATATTACATCACATCAGAGCCAAACATTGATAGCTGAAGAGTCATGATGTTTAGGCAATATGAGTATGTACAGATACAGAACGAGTGCACATGAAGTGTGAAAAAAACCTACATAATGTCTTGAAAAGTGTTTCAAGATACGTAATACCCCTACCACTGGTTGACCTGTGTTGAACCACTGATCTGACAGTCAAACGTCCAAATTAAGTTAAGTAATGACAGTTTGATTTTGAATCGTAAATCAGCAGTCGATCAAAATTTCGAAATATATTCTTAGTGATTTTCTTGTGGGTATTAGCTAAAATTTCGTGTATACTTTAGCCATGACAGGTAAGTACGGTTCTTGGTAGATAAACTAACTCCCAAGTTAAACAATCTGTTCCAGGATTAGAAGACGATGATATCAGTGAGATAGAATTGGAAAAAAGCGAGTATGCGAATAAGCGGAATGAGCTGATGCAAAATTCTCAGGTAACTCTGCTTACCTTCTCTGGAACTTCTGCTAACAGATAATAAGCAGTTTCCACCACTGAGCGCACTGCGATTTACATAATCGATTGCCAAGTCCCGCGTAGCCGACAAGAAGCCCATATATGCTTCCTTGCATCTTTGAATGGCAGTCTGCTCCAATGAAAGTGTCACCCACCATCATGAGGGATAATATGCTCACCATGCGTCCAGCTTTAACGTTATACGCAAAAGTTGCATAAAATAGACACAAACTGAATATAATAATAATAATAATAATAATAACAATAATAATAATGATGATAATAATATAATAATATGCTCAAGGTGATAGTGAGTCCGTTATGAAGAACGAAAAATGATGGATTTACGTTCTTCGTAATTACTTGTCCAGCTTTAAGACTTACAGGCAAGTGGTCATTCCTAACTTCCCTGCTTATCTCGTACAGCTCCCTACCTTTCGTGCTTATATTCCTCTTATTCTGCCATTGTTACATCATTCGCTCCTCCATGCCTTTTCTCATAATACTTCTTTCTTAACCCCATTCGTTATCCCAGTCCATCCGATGTTTCTCTTCCCTCTCGCGCTTTTCTATCAGCCATTCTGATTAGTGCACACGCCTCTCTGTCAGCCCATCTTGTCTCGATTTGCTTCCCTCCCGCTCTCATCCTTTGCCATTAACGTCTTGATTTTAACTCTCATCTTCCCTTTCATTCTAAGGCTCCGCAAACACTGGCAGTGCGTGTACGCCTCCAGGTTGTCAGCCTGCATTTCTCTTCCTTACTGCAGCCTCCTGTATATAGCGGAGAGCTCTCCCAGCAAAGATGAGGAAACTCCTCCTACTCTCTCGGAAGTTTGAAGTACATCGCGCCGCCGCCATACACACATCCGCAATAGTATCCCCCACATGTTCCTCCACATACATCTTCCATCCATCACCATTCAGTTGCTTCCCACTCACACTGACGTCCTATGCCGGGTGCGGTTTGTCCGCCGCTCTTACCTTAAAGTCATCATCCATCCTCATTCTCCATCTTTCATGCGCCACCATATTCAGATGTTTCATCCCATTCAGTACTTCCAAGCTTTCAGTCGCCAGCGTCCGGTATACCCTCCCAACCACCAATGCACACCACCTCTGAAGAGCACTTAATTGCCTATTCACTCTGCGATCATTCGACCTTACTCCCCATACCTCGCAAACATACAGTACTGCACTCTTCAGTAAAAGCTTGGAGACTTCCCTCCTTGTACCCCGTTTCCTATGCATCTTCATCCACTTTCGCTCTCACTCTCTTCACATGCTAGTGAATCCAGTTACGCTTCCTGTCCACATACACTCCTAAGTATTGCACTCCTTTTCCCATCTTCACGCGTACCCCTTTCATACCGATCACCGGTTCCCTGACAACAAACATTGCCTTAGTCCCAATCCACATTCTGCTTCCCATCTCAGACATCCTTTATCTATCTTCTTCCACCTCGCCTCAATCACCTTCACAGACTTCTCTCGTACCACGACCATTTGATCATCTGCATACACCCTACATATGCATTCTTCTAGCTTCTCTTCTCTCTGCCAGTCCTCACTCAACCTACGTATTCTTTCTATCCATCCTTCCATTACACATACCCACATGTTTTTGGCTTTGGCCAGACCACACTGTCAGTCTAGATATGGTCATTGCTCAATACACTGCTCTCTGCAATTAAATCCATACCGGTATGCCGGGCGGATAATAATAATAATAATAATAATAGTAATAATAATAATAATAATAATAATAATATTCCACATACACACACTACATTTAAACATGTTAAGACAGTAGATTGTACATGAATTTAGAGAATAATGTAAGTGACTTAGAAAATAAAAAATTGAAAGTACGTACGTATAAGCAGTAGTAGCAGTTTTTCAAATAAATAGAATGGTAAGTCACCATTAATTTATGTACAAAAGTGAGCAAGTATAATTTTACAGTTTCTTTCACAGTCAACCAATTTATTTCAACTTTGCTGATACCTATATGATCATATTTTCTTAGTCCATTGACAAATCGACAGCAAGAACTTTGCGCTTTCTGTGGAGGTATCTTCGTCACACTGTCCAGGAATCTGTAATATAAGACGTCAGATTGCGAGCATGACTAATTATTCGGATAAGGTTCTTTTAACTTTAGTACCAAGAACGTGTTTGATCGCATATAACGTTTTTAATTTTGAATAAGATTTTTGTATAATACTGTTGCTACGAATATGGAACTTCAAATTTTTATCAAACGTGACACCCAGAATATTTAATTTATCTGTGAATTCTAAATTGCCGTTTAATATACTTATGTTAGAACTTATGTGATTATAAGATGTTTTTAGGCAAAATAACATTGAATTACACTTACTGGGATGTTATAGTCAACGCCAAACAAAGTGGCGTGCACGTCATCACGATAAAAATTCCCCGACCTAATGCCTAGGTTTCTATCACAAACAATTGCTCTATTGCAGTTTCATATTAATGTGATATATAAATTGTAAAATGGTCATTACTCTCTTATTATGGTTAATAGTCATATAAACATTGTTATTAAAATATCACATAAGTTGCTTTCTGATAAATTTAGACGCATTATGCGAAATAAAATGTTTTGCAAACGCTCCATTCACTTATCGACATGTAAACGCACTAAACCGATTTCGCAGCGTTGACACATTGTCACCTTGAAACTTATTTAAACTGGGAACTGACATTTGTATTAATTTTGACACTGAATCAATTTGTGGCATTTCAAATCTTTATAAATCCTTTGGCCCCGCATACTGTAAATCAACAACTGTTTGTTTCAAAACAAAATTATTCATTTTACGAGTAGATAAAGGCAATTTTGGTATATAAAGATGCCCAAACAGTTAAATAGTCGGTGTAAGGAACTCGTGGCCTCGTTAATGCACTACTTTGAGCAAGAAAGGGACAACAACGGGCCTTTGTTGCCTTTAAATGCTGTTCAAGAGGTAGGTTACTAATTATATGTAATGTATATTAATAATAGTGAAATTTTATTTCATTTTTTGTAGCGTGTTGCTGCTGCTTTAAAAATTAGTTTAAGGACAGTTAGTCGTATTTCCGAGGGTGTGAAAAGTGATGCAAATTTAGAATCGCCCAAGAAAAAGCGGAGTTATATTAAACGTGTAACCAACACAGCGACATTGGATACAAGTGCCATTCGAGAAGTGATCTATAATATGTATCACAAAAGTAAGATATTATTATAATAACTTATCAGAAATTTGCATTAATTTGTTAACTAAATTATAATGTCATATTACACATGGTTTCAGAAGAACAAGTTACGATACAAACTTTATGGTCTCGATTAAGAGATAGGGCATTATTTGATGGTAGTGCCACGTCTTTAAGGCGGTTGCTTAGAGATCTTGGATTTAAGTGGCTTAAGGACAATCCGCGACGAGGGCTCATGGAACTACCAAGTATAGCTTTGAAAAGGGTGGAATTTCTAAGGCAATACAATCAAGCCAAGGTTGAGGCCTTATACCAGTTTGTCTTCCTCGATGAAACTTGGATATTTCAAAATGGGACCATAGGTCGCTCTTGGCAAAATGGAAACCAAAAAAGCGTGAAAGCTATTAAAACAGATGGTAAAAGGTATGTACTTTTACACAATTTGCACTATAAAATTTAAAACTAATATATTTTAGATACATTATATTACATGCTGGAAATGAAAATGGGTTTATTGAGGGTAGTGAAGCGATATTTTCTTCGAAAACAAAATTGAGCGATTACCATGGAGAGATGAACCAGGACAATTTTTTGAAATGGTTTCAACATCAGTTATTAGAAAAATTGGAGAGTCCATCTATGATTATACTGGATAACGCCCCTTATCACAGCATGATATTGAACAAAGTGCCCAACAATGCATGGACAAAAAAAAATATCCAAGACTGGTTGACAAATCAAAACATACCATTTTTAAACACAATGTTTAAAACAGAGCTATTGAGTATTGTTGCTCGGTACATAATGCTTCTTAATTATATATATTTTGGTCGACAGTTTATATTTCTTTTGTTTATTCCTATTCTTAAAATAACTGCTTTTTTAGAAACAAACCACCTAAAATATACGTGATTGATGAATTGGCGGAACAACATGGGCACAAAGTTCTTCGTCTGCCTCCTTACCATTGTATATTTAACCCTATTGAGTTAATTTGGGGGTTTGGATATGTGGAACGAGGCTCTACAAACGGTTACCCCAGACATGTGGAAAAATAGTGTTCGACATACTGAGCAAGAAATTTTTAAATGGTATGAAAGAGAACGAATTTTTGATCGACCAGACATCGAACCTTTAATAATCAACTTTGAGAGTGATGAAGATTCAGATTCAGACAGCGCTGAAGAAAGAAACTCCGACTAACTTTATTGTACAGAAAAAGCTTACACCAGTAGCTTACCTAATTTTAGAATGCATTTTTCTGTATGAATTCTGTAAAATAAATACCATGCATAAAATTTGGAGGACCCCATTTGGATTTTTATTCAGTACCTTTAAGCTATCAATTAAATATGGTAGTTTCATAGTGTCATCTGATCAATAATTGTCATACTTAATGATTATGCAAGTACAGATCTATAATTTTATTATACTATTATTTTTGTTCTCATTTGAGGTTAATATTGCTTATAAACCTAGATATGTAAATAATAAATTTTATTATTTTACAAAAAGTTTGGCAACAATGTAAATTTTTCAACACACCCACATTGATGACGTGCACGCCACTTTGTTTGGCGTTGACTATAGTAGCATATCTTCATTTATTAAATTTGTTCGAAGGGGATAAGTTTTCCGAATTAAAGTGGTGGGTCAACTGAGCATCATCTGCATAAGCAGATATTAGTGTGACAAAGCAGTCTGAAAACCGGCAATGAAAAATTATGAAAAGACGAGGACCCAGAATTGAGCCCTGGGAAACTCCTGTTTACTTTCAGATATATCACTTCGAATTTTCACTTTTTGAAAACGATCCGATAGGTATGACTTGATCGGTTTGCTTTCTGTCTCTGTCAGCCATGACCAACTAGGGTTTCGCAAGAGAAAAAACCAAGACCAAGACTGCATTTTTTGCAAGATCAATAAAAAGACTTGACCCGCAACACCAGGACCAAGACTAAGAGTGAGCGATCTTGCAAAGACTACTCGCCCAAAATATTGACATCTGATAATTTGTAAATTGAATTTGTTGAATGCTTCTAGAAAGTGAAGATTCAAAAGGTCAAGCGAACATTATGGCTGTTTCTTGGAGGTGTTAACTGAATACCTAGTTGAAAAATTATAGGTTATAAAGATATACGTTTGGTTAGCACCAAGTTGTCCGCACATATTTCAGCAAATTTGAACATACTTTTACGTAATTATTATAATATTCTGTATCGTATACCTACATATATATTAGTATATTTGAGCAGGGGTCATTGTCGTCTAAACAACTACAGGGTGGGGCAAAAGTCACGAAGGGATTTGAAAAATTAATAACTTTTTTAAATTTATTTTGTTTTCATTTTTTTTTTTCAGGACCGTGTAAAATAAATCCTGGAGATTAATTATGGAGCGTTACAACCTCAATCAACGAACCAAACTTATAGAATTTTATTTTGAATATCACCATTCAATAATTCAAACTCAACGAGCATATCGTCGTCATTTCAATTTGCGGAATTCGCCCTCTGAATCAATGATTCGACGCTTAGTGGCACGATTTCAGCAACAAGGCACAGTTATGGATCTCCCACGAAGCGGAAGGCCACGTTCCGCAAGAAATGAAGGGAACATTCAACGCGTTCAGGAGAGTGTTCAGGAGAATCCGGAAACCTCAACCCGAAGACGTTCTGCTGAGCTGCAGATGTCTCAAAGGTCTTTACGCAGAATATTAAGAGGAAATTTACATCTGTTTCCATATAAAGTGCAGCTAGTGCAAGAACTAAAACCAGCAGATTTTCAAGAACGAACTAACTTATGCAGTTCGCTTGCAAAGAATGGCTCGAGAAGATAATGAATTTATTCATTCTCTGATCATGAGCGATGAAGCCCATTTTCATTTGAATGGCTTCGTAAATAAGCAGAACTGCAGAATATGGGGTACCGAGAACCCAAGGGTGGTTCATCAAAGGCAATTACATCCGCTTAAATGTACAGTATGGTGCGCAGTTACGTCTCAACGAATTATTGGACCATTCTTCTTCGAAGACCACGATGGGAATGCTGTATCTGTAGATGGCGACCGATATCGTGATATGATTCAAAATTTCTTAAGACCAGCTCTTGCTGACAATCAAACGATGACTTTCCAACAAGATGGAGCCACTGCGCATACTGCTCGAGCCACTATGCACCTTCTAAGGCAGATTTTTGGCGAACGTTTAATTTCGAGAAATTCAGGATTCAATTGGCCCGCCCGCTCGCCGGACTTAACAGCCCCTGATTATTTCCTTTGGGGATATCTGAAAGGAAAAGTGTATATTAATAAACCCACAACCCTGCAGCAACTAAAAGATAATATTCGAGCAGAAGTAAGTGCTTTGGGGCCAGATATTCTGACTCGGGTAATGGAAAATGCTCTTGCAAGAGCTGCACTTTGCGAGGCTGAAAATGGCGGTCATTTGCGTGATGTAATCTTTCACACTTAAATTGTAAACAAACTCCAAACATTGCATTTTAGTTTCGTGTTAGGGAAAAAAATTAAAATTAAAATTTAAAAAAGTTATTAATTTTTCAAATCCCTTCGCGACTTTTGCCCCACCCTGTAGTTAGGTGAGATAAGCTTCCGCCTTTTGTTGGGTACTTCGACAAAATTTAAGCAACGAGGACTCTTTATACTTTTTTATTCTCTCTAGCTTTCAATGGTCTTTGCCATCATCATCAGGAGCTGCAATTACATTGATAACAGTAGCAACAATAGAGCAAAATAAATTTAAATTAACTTACAGTAGTCTTAAAAACTTACTTTCCCGAAATAAAAGTAGTAGCTTTTTGACTTAAAATTGTTTAGTCTATCTTAAAACATATTAAAAACATTGATATAAGATTACTTTTTAATTATTATGAGATTTTATGATTCATGTTAAAAGGACAAAATCTTCAAAATTTTACATTATTTGTGTTTGTTGAAATTATTGCAAAAAATCATTAAAAAATGCACAACCAGTAAAAGGAAGTTAATCAATGTTTCACTCAAGCAAGTTAGGTGCCAGTACTTTATTTTGGTCCCAGCTGTCACTTAATAGCGTATGCTAAGCTAATTATGAGGCACCCTGCGACATTATAATATTACTATTAACCTAAATACATACAAAAGCTCTTCTTCTAAATTGCAAATCCCATTAATATCATTGTAACCGATTTTCAAAATAATTAACATAGTAATGTTAAAAAATGTAGACCAACAAAACTGCTAACAGTACACATTCTATATCGTTTCTGTCACTATTATTAAGCATTAAAAGTAATATGGAACTACTTTAATCGACTGACAAAATTTTCATAGGCAAGACCAAAACCAAGACAATGTTATAAGACCAAGACCATTCAAGTCTTGTTCTTGGCATTGTGAAGTCTTATGACTAACTACAAGCAACGTTGTTTCATGCCATTTAGGAATCAGCAGTACGATATAGGTTAAATCTGGAGGATGGAGAAGACACAAACGGAAAGCAAAGAAGCAGATTCAGTCCACTGAAAAACTGAGCGTAATACTACTTACGTAAGTACCGCTAGTAGTACCGCTTTATTATATGTGACAGAAATTGAGTTTTTCGGCAGATCATATCTGCTTGTGTGGTTTCTATTTCTTCATTTTTCAGAACTATGGCTGATGATTCCTAAACAACGTTGTCTGCGGTTGACCATGGTTACAGAGATGGAAAGCAGACATATCCTATTCAGCTTGGTTGGTATTCGTGGCATACCTGTTTTACATGCATTTTCTTTGGGTGAAAAACCTAAAAAACGTAAAAAAAGACAAAATGACATCTTGCAGACTACTTAGGTAGTTTTTAGTGTCCAAATAGTTCATTTCACGTTTGCTCGCTATAATCGTTGTTCGCTGACGTTTAAGCTAGATGTACAGCTACAAAACAAGTTCCAAACAAGTGTACAACAGCTTGTGCTAAGTTAACATCTTGTAGAAAAACAAGAAATGTAAAAAAAAAGACGAAGAGTTCACTTTTCAAGACACGTGATACGTGATACCCGTGCCAATTAATGCATTCATATGATCCTAATCTGATACGTCATAGTAAACAAGGAATTTATATTGGGATTCCGCCTTATTTATTTTTTATGTCTGGATTATCATATTAATATTATACAAATGTTTAGGTACCATCCTTGTCAGATGCGACACGCGTACTAGGTAAACCGTTGGCGAATCTTGTGTTCAACCAATGTCAGTCTGCGCTGAGGGTTAATTTTGGATTAGAGTCTCCTTTACAAGGACCTAAAGGAGACATGTGGGTTGCACCAAGTGATCTGTTGATCGGAAAGGTGGCTCTGACTCCTCCACTCACCAGAAAACACATTCAGGCGCTTACACATGAAGGCATCATGGGTAACTAAGAACAAGAAGACCATAATAAAGTTGAATCTGTCATTTCAAAAACCAAAAGCCACACTTTTCTGCCCGTGGTGTTCGCTTTGCCTGGGCTGCCCCAATGTACTATACCTTACAGATATTGAGACATGTTAATAAGTCAATATTTAGGCGCAGTTTTCAATAATAAGCAATAAAAATGATTTATAATTTTTTTTTGCTTAAACAACATACGTTAAGTACAGTCTTTCCGGCTTTGAGCGCTATTCAACATTTTAATTTTTTTAGGATTCAAATATATTTGTATTGAAAAGGTTTTTAAGACTTGTTTATTTGTCATTCACTATTCTTATTATCTCCTGAAAAGTTCAAATTATGCGAATTTTCTGAAGTGACCGATTCAACTGTATCAGAAATATTCCCGAGCATCCGACCAAAACACAACTAAGCATTTTTGCGTTGGACAAACATGATACATGTATATTTTACATCTGATTGTCTTTTAATTCTACATCTTGCTTTAAGCAATTGGCCATGGGATCGAACAGAAATTCATAAACGAAATGGAGGACGAAAAGGCCATAGCGCTAGCTCACCAAAGAAGAATCTTGTTGGAATCTTTTGACGACATAGTCAGGGCTGAAGTTAAAGATGCTGAACAAAGAGAAAAAGCGGCGGCTAGAAGGGAGATTGAAAGGTTAACTCAGGACTTCGAGAATACACTCGTGTTGTCTCTGAATAATTTGGAAGACAATTTAAGGCATGAGTACCAAACTCTGATCCAGACCCAGGAGGAGGAAGAGGCGCAAAGGTTCGTTGCACAATTAATTAACTTGGCTGAGAAATTTCTTGTGTCCAAACAGCAACTGGGAATTGGGAAAGCGTGCGAATACTACGGCTAATGTCGACAAAACCATATCGCCAGCTTCAACAAATTGAGATGGCAGAGAATTCCTAATCAAGACGTGCAAAAGGTTCAATACGAGAGTTGATCTCTATGCTGCCCTGACCACCTTGCAGAATAATTTTTCGGCCGTGTACGAGCGATTCCTCGGATCGTTTTAATTTCTTGGTATTCTATTGACTTGGTCACAGTACATCCGATCTCAACCGACAAGTACGGCCGAACTTTTCGGACATCGGACGAAATCAAAATAATTTGTTTTTTTTTCGGAAGCTTTGGTGCATGTTGATGCGAATAATTTCATAAAAATGGGTGACTGAGAAATTTTAATTAGCCTAGTTTTGGAAAAAGGAGTTTGTGGGATATAAGAAATAAAAACTACCACAATAGAGACATAACACGTAAACTGTGGAATCTAGTTGCCTCAGAAATGCAAACTACAAGTAACATAAGTATTCGATGTTATATTCTTAATACTTATAACTAGTTTGGAATAAAAAATAGTGTACAAGAATATTATTAAGTATTAATCATTACTAAGGTACATAGCTCCTACAATGTTGAAATATTGTTTAAACGTGTCGCGTATTTCATATACTACTCTTGTAGTACGGTTAAAGCGTCTTGATCCTCTGTTTTCATTGATTATATGCTCTTTAACAGAAGTGCTCATTTCTGAAAATGTTGCATCCGATATTCCTTCCTTGTCAATTTCATTTACTGTGCAATAAGCAAACGCATTTCACTATCACATCTACGTGATCTAGGTGAAGTTGTAATTCTGTTTTAAGGCATATCCATTTGCTCACTAAAATTCCAAAATCACATTCCACAGTAAGTCTAATAAGTCGATAATGAAAGTGGTTGAAAGCGCAAGGAAAACGGGAGAAATCGTAATTGTATTACTTAGCACATAACCTCTTTTCAGAAAGATATAAATATAATCCACGGGCGGTATTCTCTCATTTCTGATTTTATACACATACCAATCCACACAATCATCTAGATGTGATCTTGCTACTCTGCTACTCAATCACACATCTTCTCAGAGTCCTTAGACTATCTCGGCATTCTGCAACCAACAAGGCATGATGGGGAACTGACTTGCAGCTTGCAGCAAAATTGTTAGATCTGCCATCTCTCGGCAAGCGGCTACAACTACAGATGTAACCATTTTCCACATAAATGTAAACACATTTTCTGAATTACACTGATCAACAGCCAAAAAATATCCTAAATAAAATCAACAAAATATTACTATATTTAATGTGCTAAAACCGGAATGAAACTTATTTTTTCAATATTAGTTCAAGTTTTAGAGATACGGTAATTATATGTGTTCCTGCTGTGACAGTGTTAATATACTGTAATTCACAAGAATGCACGTGCTACATTTTTATATTCGGCAAGGAAAGATGATGTAATCGGCATGATTGTGTTACGTTATACATACGTGTACATTATATTGTTTTATATTAGCCATTTTTTCCTCAGTTGGCTGACAGCGTTCATGCTGGATGTCTCGAAAGTGTGTAAACAATCCAGATCAGTTTTGTTACGTGTGTGGTGATGTGACTTTTGCGTCTCAGAGAAGGTCTATTACTTCACTAATAACAAAGGCATATCAGCTTTATTTCGGTTGTAAACTAGGTGATCAAGACAAACAGTGGGCACCCCACATCTGCTGTAATACATGGGCTTCAAGTCTGAGGAACTGGTTAAATGGCAAAAAACGGTCTATGCGCTTTGCTGTCCCAATGGTTTGGAGAGAGCCTACAAATCATATTAATGATTGTTACTTTTGCATGGTACCTTGTGTTGGACAAGCCACAGGTATGTCCAAGAAAAAAAAATCGGTTATTAACTACCCAAACATACCATCTGCGATGAGACCTGTGCCTCACAGTGACGAAAATTCTATTCCAAAACCCCCAGAATCCTACACTTGCGAATCAGAAAACGAATCAGATCATAGCGATCGAGTGATTCGTCAGGAAGAAGATATGCCATCAACGTCAAGAGATCCTGATTTTTTTCCGAGCACGTCATGCCACCAACCGCACAAAATAACACAGTCAGAATTAAATGATCTTGTAAGAGATTTAGAACTTCCAAATGTAAGGCAGAGTTACTTGGATCAAGACTGCAGCAGTGGAACTTGTTAGAAGACGATGTTTCGGTATGTGTTTTTCGTAAACGCCACAAAGACTTAGAACCATCTTTCAATATGGAGAATAACTTGGTTTTCTGCAGTAACATTAACGGCTTACTGGCGGCTTTAAATATAAACTATAACCCAGAAGAATGGAGATTGTTTATAAACAGTTCAACATTGAGTTTAAAGGCAGTGTTATTGCATATTGGAAATATTTCACCATCTCTTCCTGTAGGGTATACAGTTCACATGAATGAATCATATGACAATATGAAGTACCTATTGACATGCATAAAATACGATGAGCACCAATGGCATATTTGTGGCGATTTGAAAGTTGTTGCACTTTTACTTGGGCTGCAGCTAGGCTACACAAAGTTTTGCTGTTTTTTGTGTGAATGGGACAGTCGGGCAAAGGCACTTCATTACACCAGACAAAACTGGCCTGTTCGTCAGTTCCTAGAGCCAGGTCAAAAAAATGTACAGCATATGCCATTAGTAGATTCGAAAAAATTTTTATTACCACCACTGCACATCAAGTTGGGCCTAATGAAAAACTTTGTCAAGGCATTAGATAGAGATGGGTCAGCTTTTCAATACCTGCGTCAGAAATTTCCAAGACTAAGTGAGGCAAAGGTTAAAGAAGGTATTTTTGTTGGGCCACAGATTCGAAATATTTTGAAAGATACACAGTTTGAAAACACTTTAACAGGTATTGAAAAAACTGCTTGGAATGCTTTCCGTCTGGTGGTCACTAATTTCTTGGGGAATAGAAAAGCTGACAACTATAAAACCCTTGTCAAAAATATGCTGTCATCGTATCAAAAGATGGGCTGTAATATGTCTCTTAAGATACATTTCCTACACTCACACCTGGACTTTTTTCCTGACAATTGCGGAGCCGTAAGTGATGAGCACGGCGAACGTTTTCATCAGGATATTTCAACAATGGAAAAAAGGTACCAGGGAAAGTGGAATCCTTCCATGCTTGCAGACTACTGTTAGACTCTTGGTAGAGATGCTCCAGAAACGATCCATAAAAGAACAGCAAAAAGACAGCGCATATAGTGATTCTTATAAGTATATGAATCTTGTTACTTTTTTTAATATATCCTTAAAAATAAAAAGTTTTTTTTCTAAACCGCAACTAATTTTTTTATTTCATTGTCATTTTTGGATTCAGCGCCCCAAAATTAACAAAGAAGTGCACTTTTCCCACAAGATATAATTAAAAAACTAAAATTTGTTGTCCAGTGTTATTAACGCAATAGAACGGAAAATGAAAAATGTTTCTTCCAAATGAACGATATAAAACCTGTTTGACAGATACAGCGCTTCAATGCTGATCAATACATATAATAACGCAGTTAACGGCGCCGGAAACACAGTCCAAAACTGTATCGGTGTGTATGTCCCTGATTCTGGCTGAAACGAGCGCGTTGACAGCTCAGGTTATATTGGTACTGTGATGCCTTGCATGCGTGTAAAATCTACTCGTCTGACAAATGTTCACCAGAGTGATCTTACTGGCCCTATACTGTGCTCATACTGTATCCCATCGTCCAAAAAGTTATCCGGGATTAAGTGAGATACTACCACCTCTGAGAAGAAAAAACATAGCTGTGACAAATTCTCATATCGAATCATTTTTTGACGCTTAGGTTGACTATCTTCACGTAGAACACGTTAAGCAATGCCAAAACATTAAGAAAAAAAAATAAAACATCCCAATTGAATGTAGCTATACTCATATTGCTTAGAAGTCAGCGGTGGAGCATGTGGATCAACTCTCGTGAATAACGTATTCTAAGATCTCTTCAGTTCTGTCTTGGGTGCTCGCAGGGTCATATAATTTTTATATCTCTTAAAGGTGGATGAAAAGAATGGAAGAGGAGGTACAAAAAACGGTCGAGGAAATGACTGCACAATATCTGGAAAAGATGGCCATTCAAGAAGAGGTGCTGTCCAAGTATTTCAAACACGAGCTATCGTAAGCATATTCGATTGCCAGGTTCTGATCAAAACAGAACGCATTCAGCAGATTTTTCATTTTCTACTAATGAATAAATGCTTGATTCACATAGATCATGGAGTCACTATAACCATGCCGCTCTTGTCAATCAATCAAGAGCTGAATTGCTTTACATACTTCCGGAATAGACCTCAGATTGCTTGGTACGAATCAGGTGGTTACAATGAGTCCGTTTATATGTTCCATGTTCTTCCACAGAAAAGCCGAGATTCATCGTCAGTACGATTTAGGGAAGCAAGATGCCAAGTTCAGGTACCGTCTGAGGCAATTGAAGCATAATCTCGAGTGTAAGAATCTAGCCAACATGATGTACATAATATGCATGGAAAGACGCAAATGTTATGAAGAGAAGTTGAGGATAGAGAAGTATTATGTGGCTGAGATTTCTAAGCTCAAAGGCACTATCGAGAGCAAGAAGTCGGTGATCAAGAAGTTGAACAAAGAAATGGTTGTTAAGAAACAGGAGGTCTGTTTTTATGTAATAGCTTCTACCCTCATCCGGACTTTCTCCAACCTAACGAATTCGGATAGGTTAGGAGTCAAGCCTATAAGTTTACAATGCAGTATTTTTTGCAAAAATTACGTACATTTGCATATTTTTGAGTTGGTTTGTCTACCAAACTGTCAAACCAATACATCCTACAGTGATCTACGAGTATCTATGCGAAATCCTGGCAAACATTGAAAAAATGGAGTATCGAAAATTAATTAATTATTACCCAGACCAAAGTTAATACCAAACAATAAGTTGACCATGAAATCAAAACTGTGCTTACACCACCTTTACCATGGCAGACTATTAAACTTGCAGTTCATGGTGTATCATTTGATACTACTTTTTAACGAAAAAATTGTAGCGGCTGTGTATCATACGTTAAATTTTAAGTAGAAAATATTTGAATATCTGAATATGGATCAGATTAAAGATAGTTCAAACTTTTAATTGATGTTTTAGAAAGCTCTCATCATTGTTGTTAATTATTAAGCTACTGCCATATTATGTCAGGTGGTCGAAAATTATACATTGAGTGACCTTAAAATACTTGTTAAATGCCTTCCTAGAGACCAAGTGATCCCTGATTTGGACACAAATACCGCTAAAACTTACATTCACACGATTGGACTCGAGCGCTAGACTTATTGTGAATTTGTCCTTGAAATGCCTTTCAAATGCTCTCATACTGACTAATTGACACTTCGAACTTCGTGACCAGACAAGCCTAAGCGACACGCGGTTAAGCTGAATTGGAAACATATATACGAGCCAAAGGTTCCCTTTAAATGCCCTCATAGCTGAAAATTGTAAAAATGTCATATGAATTGTATTTTTGGTCAGTTTTTCTATGTTGTGCATCGACGTATACTCTTTTCTTTGGATTCATTATCCAAAACAATTCCAGCTTAATTCATAATTTTGTGAGATTAAAATACAAAAAGTTGCCTTCATCAAACAGCAACAATGGCGAAAAATAGGCCACTTTGCTTGAACTACGCCTAGCTGCCTATGTTGTGTGATTCGAACAGATTCTTGGCTAGAGGCAAATATCTAGAAGAACATTACATGTAGTTATTGCCATTATATTATTGTTCCTATATTGCTCCGAAACATAGAAGTGTTTTATTTCATTTAATATAAAAGATCTTTTGAGAAGCAGTGAGGTTCCTTAACTAAAATGAAATAGGGGAGGAGTGACTGTGACTGTGCTACGCGTCCTCCCCTACTGTCGTTGCTAGGCAACGTGGTGACGACGCTTATATGGCGCACACTTTCTAACACGCTTCTCTTGCGTTTCTATTTTACATTCATACACATGAAAATCTTATACCGGGTTTACATGCAGCCCACTTCCACGGCAGTGAGCAGGGAATTGGGCAGGGGAGTGGGCAGCGCGAGTATGTAAATACGCAGCTCGCATTGCCGATGCTCATGCCGCTTTTTTGGAGGGAAGTCAAAGGACCAGCAGCACGAGTGGCAACACGAGCGGCAGCAACCGTTTACATGCTGCCCGCTGTAGGCTCTACCAACAGTCAGTCCTGTCCTTACCATGTGGACACGGGATATCTTAACCTAATTTATTACTTTCTTGGTAAATTATTCGTTTTAAAATACACTTGGACCGTGATTGAGTGGAGCAATGATCAAGTATTGAATTTTTTAGAGCTATATTCGGCTGAAAGATTATTATGGCAGGATTGAAAAACATCTCAATTCAACAGCTAAGTCGAAAAAAAATCGCTAATGGCAACATTTCTGCCGCTAATAAAAAAGAAAAACGCTTCGATTAGATGCAGGAGCGGGTGCAGATGAGGTTCGTCAGCCCATTTGGTTTGCATTTGATGTAATGGAACGTTTTTTGGAAGCAGTTTATGGAAGGTTAGAAGGGTGGCTGCATGTAAACAGTCACTTGCTCCAAATGCTGCCGTGGAATTATTTACGGCAGGATAGTAGGCAGCGCGAGTGGCAGCGGCAGTGGCTGCATGTAAACCCGGTATAAAACGGAAAGCGAATTTAGCCAGGACCCAACTAGCAAAGTAGTGCTATAAGCTTTTGATAAAAGAACTGTCCAGCCATAAAAGCTCTCTATTGTTGTTGCCCGAACACGAAAATGCTGGCTTAATGTTGTGTGGAATGCAAATTTGCTTTCTGCAGCATAGGTGTTTAAAATATTCTTATAGCATAGTTATACAACACCTTATAGGACAAATTTTGAACGGTTGCATAAACGTTTATACAACTATTTTATACGGCATATTTGCGCGGTAGTGAAAACAGTTGTGTTTAACTAACAAATTTCGACCAACGGAAACACTTATACAACTATCGTTTCACTGTTAAAGGCTGTACATCTGCAACAGTATTATAACTTTTATAGTACAAAATAGCTGTGCTCGGCAAACATTTGTTGCTTAATATGCTGGTATACAACTTCACCATAACCTAACTTTCTGCTGTCATCTTTTTAGTTAAAATGCCATAACCAATATTTTAAGACATGCATATTGGTTTAAAAGGTTTTATCAACTGTTCAAACAGGAGATACAGATCTGGTAGAAATTCTGTTTAAATCATTCGACTCTGTCAAATTGTTGTTGCAGACAACACCAAAATATTCTAACAAGCCAAAGACAACATGGACGATGCCATGATTATACATAGCCACTCGCCATATTGGGCAAAAACATATTCCTCTATTGAAAATTAATTAATTATGTTTCAGTTCGACATGACAGATATAAAGTGATAAACATTAGTGTAATTGTGGCTAAATATAGGATTTGTGGAAGATTTAACGCAGATAAGTTCAGTTTTTCATCTTAAAAATCTAAACATACTTTTGATCATTATTAAAATATGAATCAAATACGAAGCCCGTACAAATTGCGTATCTACTTTGCACGATAATCACAATAAAATATGCTGCGCAAGTAATTCAATAGCCCTATATCGCCATGTAGAAGTTTATCATATTATACCTGAGTATGAAATTCACAATGGCCGATATGTAAGTAAACAAGATGACTGTAATGCGTTAGTTATTGCCTATACAATACATAAGAAATAGTTTGGTTGCAATAAAGCAGAATCATGTAACAGAATAGTTGTATAGTTGACAAAAACTGAATCTTGCACCGACGCAAATGTTCTATAGCGGCTGCAAGTGGTTTACACTTTTGTTGAATAACTGTTACCTGCAGCCCTTAGGCCCGTATGGTCAGTCGTCCCTACAATTGTAGGGCGCGTTTATGGCCTCCTTGATTGTCATACTCCTTTCTCTCCTTCAAAAATTTCTAGATTACTCTTGTCCCGTGTCAGCGTCAGCGCTCTCCTATTGTGAAGATATGTTTTCTTTTTAAATTGTAGGAAATTTCAGGCTGATAGCACATGACATAACTCAAAATCAAGCACAATTTGATGCAAATAGATGTTTGCGACATAACCTCAAAATAGAGCGCTGACACGGAGAAGTAGAAAACTATGACAATCAAGGAGGCCATAAAGGCGCCCTACAATTGTAGGGACGACTGACGATACGGGCCTTATACAAGCTCTTAAATGACTGAAGTGTCCTATTAGGTGTGCCCATTTCGCTTGTATAGATGTTCTAAAGCGTTCTGCCAATGTTCTTATAGCATACAATGCTGTGCAAGGAAAACTGTATAATCGTTCTTGCACCTCTAATAGAAGTGATAATTGTTAGTTGGGGACTGTATATCGGCACTAACCAATACTTAGGTTAAACTGCTTTTTGCAGTACAAAAAACCTTCAGCATTTTTAGCAATTGACTGGAGCACTAGAACTCTGTGAAAACGCACGCACTTTCCTTCTTTCTTTGGAGAAAAATCAGAATTCTATGCGAATTTTCAAACTGGCGGTTTAAACATGTTGCACTTGCATCCTGGATCAAAACAAATCGCATGCTAGCTTCTTCTGTCGAGTTCGAATTCATTGGTTTATACAGAGTGAAGGAATGGTACAGCCGAAACTACATATGAAAATTTGCCCACAACGGTAATCAAACCTGAATCATTAAAAAATTAAGGCATATTGGGCCAAATTATCTTATCAAATTTTGTAGATGGATAAGTCGCCTCCAGAGTACCGTCACCTCTTAAACGTCCTATTTCGAAAAGAATTTTTACAGACGAAAAAATTTTGAAAAAATTTCCGATGCTACATTGTTATATGTATACCACATAACCGTGATCTTTTTATAGATCTGTGAAACTCTAGAAAAAGCATTTTTCAGTTTTTTTCAAATTTCTTGTTGAGCGATGAGTAATTCCTGGCTAAAAACGTCGATTGCGATTATATTGAGTATGGAACCTGAAAGAATGGACAAAAACATTTGTGTTTGTCGAGTTTTGAGCTAGCCAACTCATGATATCCTACGTTTAGAGTGTCAAAAATTGTAGAATTCCGGTGAAAATGCGGTTTTTATGATATTAGGCGATTTTCATTGCGATAATTCATGATATTGTTAGAGGATCTAAAAAGAATGCAAGAAATCAGTGACATACAGTGGATTTTTAGGCTTGCGAAATTTACCAAACCAGAAACCGCAAACAATTGTTTATCTGAAATATTTATACGTCCCACAAATCTATAAAAAATCACCCTTATGAATGATATAACAATGTAACGTCGATAGTTTTTTCCATTTTTTCGACCAAAATTGCTCCCGTAGGATAGTCCTCAAAAACACCTTTGTGAGGTTATAGGCCCCTAAGGGCAAACTATCGATCTGACAATTTTGCTGAGGTGATTTCATCCAATATACCTTCATTTGGGCTGATTGAAATTTAGATATCTTTGGGCGCATTTTTCATATGTAGTTTCGCCCATAGCCTTTCAGAACTTTAACGTCGCGTTTCATTGACATGCCTCCAAAACCAAAAGCCCATGATTTGGCCGTTGACGTATTTTAAATCGCCCATTTCTGCGTTACAGGCGAGCCTTCGCGAAACATGCATTCTGGAAATCATTAAACAGTTCCAGAAGTTCATAAACTTCGCTCTACGGGCCGCACCAACTCAAGCTGAGTTTTTACTTTCGGTAGAAAAAATGATGGTGTTCGAACTAGTGGACGCCATGTTGAAATCGAAGCTCTGTACTACACAACCACCTTGCTACACCCTACAACCTTGGATGACCCCAGAAAGGTATGTGACAAGGAAAGTTTTTCTGACACAGGAACTACGTAGGCAAGGTGAAAAGTTCTCGACCAGACATAGGGATGGCGCTCCAATCAGCAAAATATATAATTTCTGCACGTGTGCGGATGTCATTTGTTCGTATGACAAGTTTCAACTTCCTTCCTCTCGAATAGCTTGCCAACACTAATTTTTGTAGAGAACCTTCTTGCGTGGTTATCATCAAGATGAGCAAACTTTGACTATCGTGAGAAGGGAAGTATAGTATGTCAATTCAAAGACCACTCTCCACCACTGCCCCCACGTAACCTCTCCCGCCCCCTTAGACCATGCCAATTCAAATACCTCCCCCCACCACTGACCCCCCCATGCTGTTATCTATGACAGATTTCCATAAAATATGAAAATAGAACTTGTTTCTTTGTTGCCAACAATATGAAACTACATACCTTTTTTGAAATTCGTGTATGTTGTTCTTATGAATGACGAATGATATTAAAATAGATTACAGCAGGGGCCAGGCCACCCTGTTGTAAGCATGCTGTCATCAAATTCTTCGTAAAGAAATCCTTCCGAAGCTAACAAAAGTTAACGGGGTCTCTAGCCTTTCGATTTCAAGTGTTAAAAGGTACGCATTTGAACTTGAACGTTTTATGCGGTGTTCCGTTGCCATGGGTCAACACTAAAAGTTAGAAACAAAACAGCAGTTGGAGCATTCAGTAGAAGCCAGTGGTCTAACGTCAAAGAAGAAAAGTCATTCTGCATGAAAAATCATGACCAGTGTCTTCGGGTGCGTAAGGAGTTGAATTGATTACCTTGAATAAGGTAGAGAAATTGCGGGCAATATCAATAATCCAAAGGTGTGATGTTTACAATGGAAAAACTGTATAATTTGGTTATCCTCTCTATTCTTCACTTGCTATCCCGTACTTCCATCTGTTTCCAGATTTGGAAGAAAATCCTTTTAGAAGGTGCGTTGGTTCCAATGAACCAGTTAAGAGGGCCGTAGATGAATATTTTGATAGTCATTCGTACTTCCAGTAGGAAAACTTCTTAGACGGCTTCAAAATATGGCATAGGGAGGTGTTAGTACTCGCATATTAATACGCTACCAACCCCGGCAAGTTTGCGCACCTATTTGACATTGCACACTGGAAACAGAATGATAGAGAAATACACATCTCTGCGCTTTTAACCCATACCAAAAAATGTTTGAAAGTAATCAGGAACCTGTGAAACAAAATGTGAACTACCTTAATTTTTTTTTTTTTAGTTTTTTGCCCTTCACCGAATTTCAAATTACAAAGATTTCTCGTCCTTGGCATAATAATTGCCATGAGTGAAAATTTTAGCAAAATCCGAACAATAGTTTCCAAGGATTAGCGGACAGACAGACCATCAGACAGACGGAAATGAGCGACATAGTTTTTCGTGATGTGGTTGTCATATAACATCAAAAAACATAATTTCACATTTTTGAAATTTACCGCGATTACAATACCTCTCCAGAGGCGTAGGAAGTATGAAGTAAAAGTTACGCTTAAAGATCTTGCCTTCGTTAAGAATTAGTACCTTGTGTAGGTACCTTTCTGAAGCTGACATCCCTGGATTGAGCATTGAGGATTTCCATGATTGCCTGAATGAACTTCCATCTCCAAGAAAACCCAACGAGGGGGAGGACTCTTTGCCGTCGTTTACGTACAAGGATCGGCTTTATGTCAGGGAGGATTTCAGGGACATTATTTTGAACGGTAAGACCATTAACATTTTGAATTGACCTGAAAAATGGAGATCAAGCAGTAGGTGGTTTTATTATAGATGCGCACTCAATGAGGAGAGGAAAAGAAGGAAAAGGCTTCTCTGAAGTAACGGATCTAATGAATATGGTCAATCTCTTGCAAAATGTCTATCAAACTAAAGAAAAATTATACGATTTGTATAAGTTGGGCCCCTGACTGCTACATTTTACGAAATTGAAATGTTTGGATTTTGGGTTACTTTATAATAGTGTCCTTAATTCTCTTTTCACTACTAACCCGAGAAATCACCATTATTGACCGCAATGCATTAATAAGAAATAGTATTTCATTCGCTGGGCAAATGATGAAAAGAAAAAAAATCTAGGTAAATAATAATGGCATTTGAAATTGTATCCTCTCAGTTCGGTGGTGGCGGTTTGACAACTGACATTTATATAATAATAATGTGCCTTTATTCAACTTTGCATACACAAAATAAAACAAATGAATAATATCTTGAAAACCGCAAAAGTGCAAAACTGAAAAGGTGAAGTGTTACAATTGGGGTATTTGTCAACTCCACTTTAAAAAAAATTGAATCCATATCATGAGCATATTTAAGGGAAAACCCAGTAATAAAGATAAACATAAGTATCAATGATAGCCATAATAACATCTGTAAGATGTACCTAGTGCCTAAAAGAGTAAGGAACTAACAATAAAAAAAATTGTAGTGAGTTTCAGCTCATCCATTTAACAACGGGAACTTTCACAATAAAACGTAGAATTAAGAGCCTTTTGAGACTGGTGCAGCTATAAACATCCTAACGGCAAATCATAATATGTTTTGGAAGGTAACGAAAAAGTATTTTGTATCAACAATTAGTAGAATAAAAGGGAAAGAGAGACAAGTAGAAAAGTAGTGGACGTAAACATAGTCGGCATATAGGATCCTTCACACTTCAGACAGATACAAATTCTTTAGCTTTCTCTTAAAGTTCAATAAAGAAAAGCCATAAAAATCATTTGGGTGAGAATTATATAGTTTGGCTGCGTTATAAGATAAGCTGCGCTTAAAGGTTGATGTTGCGTGAGTTGGTATAACGATCATGTGCAATTGATATTTTGTATAACATATTAAAATCGTCGTTAATCAAAGAGTAGGAGTTCAAAATGTGATCAATTTAAAAAGTGGAGTACAATTGAAAATCATCCGCATACTGATGTATTTTACAATATTTCACGTACCTATAAAGGAAATAGTAAAGGGCCTAGTATGTACCATTGTGGTACACTCATTGTAAACATTCTTTGGTCAGAAGCTGAAGAGTTTTTGAAAAAGCAGTACATAAAGTAACTCCAGAAAAATGGCGTGAATGCATGGAACACTTTTTCACAGAAGAACAGAAGGTGTGGGATCAGTGTTGCCGAACCTACCGATTTTGCGGTATTTCTACCGAAATGAGACGTCATTTACCGAAATACCGAATACGTCCGTTCTTAAAAATAATTCATATTTTTCCACATTTTTCACCGAAAAAGAGCTGAGACCAAAAAAAGCTAACAAAATAATTCTATATAGTCTATGTTTTTTTATTCCCGAAATCATCAATCATACATATGCGTACACTCAAGCAATCGGGCATACGAGGAACGCCTATAATTATATATGCACATTCCTTGCACCACCTTCCTGTATTGGTTTTTGTGCATACAACCAGACACCGGATAAGCACACACAAAAACAAAGCTCGTCTGTTTTTAATCAAATACTATATATTAAATTTATGCCCTACTGAGCGAGGGCCGTGGCAAATGCTTGTTCCGGAAGTTGTTGTATCCAGTATACACTTCTTCCCGTCCAAGTGATTGTGCACGCGTTAAGGAATACCTCAGTACCGATTGCCGGGTGGCGGTACAAGTCCGCCAACGGGCCACTTTAGGTCTATTTAACATCACTAACATGTAAAAAGAAGGTGGTAGACAAGGACCAGTCGACCGAGGCAGCACCACCCGCTAGCTTTTCCCAGGGTGTCTTATAAATGTCCGCATGTTTCCACACCTAAGCTATGCAGTCGGTTCTACCAAAACAAAGAAATTAATGATGATGGATCCCTCGAGCACTAAAAACTCCGGACGTAAACTCACTCCACTCTCGGAATGTCCGGGTGGAGGGTGGGCTCGAGGGAACAACATCGAAGATAAAATTTGTTTTTCGAACATCTGCGGGATCAACAGCAACATTGATGCTGTTCATCACTACCTGCAATCCAATCGTCCCGCCGTGCTTTTCTTGGCGGAGACAAAAATCTCAGAGACTGCACCGATTAACCATCTCAACTTCCCAAACTACGAGGTGCACTCCAATCTGAGAAAGAACGGGGGAGTTGTGGCTTTTGTCCGCAGCAGTCTTTCCTGCTCCAGGGATCTTTCCTTGGAATCAGACCGGAAGGACATTCTGTGGCTTCGCCTCAACTCCAAAACATCACCCAAATTTATTTGCTGCCTTTATCGCTCTCCCTCGAATCATAACTGGGATGACCTACTCGAATACCTCGCCGTCCAGATCGACTTCCTGAACATCAATCACCCCGCTTCAGAGGTAGTTCTTCTCGGTGATTTCAATGCCCATAATGAGCTTTGCTTGGGCTCAAATAAGACCGATGCAGCAGGTCGTGCAGTCGAAGCGTTCGCTCTTACTCAAGGGCTGACCCAGCTGGTGACGAGCCCTACTTTTTTCCCCCGCGTCTCATCACACGCCAGTAGCCTGCTGGATCTCTTTCTGACCACGCATCCTGCCCCTTACAGCACTGCTGTCCTGTCCCCCCTGGGTAACTCAGATCACGGTGTTGTGGAGGTTAGGTTTCGGCCAGAAGCCGCTGTGGCAGCAGAAACTCGCACAGGCCGCAAAACTTGGCATTACGGACATGCCGACTGGGAGGGGCTCAGAGACTTCTTCTCTAGCTTTCCTTGGAGAGATGTCTGTTTCACTGACGCGGATGCGTCGACTGTCTGTTCTTCAATAACCGAAATTATCCACGTCGGAATGGAGGAATACATCCCTCACACAGTGAAAGTTCCTAAACCAGGGTCCAACGGCTGGTTCAACAAATCGTGTGACACTGCTCGCCAGCAGAAGATCAAGGCCCACAGAACCTACTTACAAAACCCCACTGTAGAGAACAGACAAGCCGACGTCGAGTCCAGAAACAAATATAACGAAGCGGTTCGCAATGCCAAAAACCAGCATGATATAAAAGTTAGGCACAGGGTAATGTCGCAGCGCAATGGCAGTCGGTCTTTCTGGACGCTGGCCAAGCAGATTGAAAAGAACTTCTCACACAGTAGCCTTCCACCACTTACGTGTCAAGACGGAACTATTGTATTCGACTCAAAGGCCAAGGCGGAAGTGCTAGCCAAGATCTTTGCTGCCAACTCCACCATGGACGTCCCCACCAACGCCCAAGTGCCGTCAATTCAAAGGGTTCCCCACACTATGCGGGAGGTAACATTCAGGCATAAGACCATAAGACGAGTGCTCTTGTCGCTCGACATCAACAAAGCTTCTGGTCCGGACTTGATTCCTGCCATTGTACTGAAGAGATGTGCAGCGGAGCTTGCTCCAGTTCTTTCGCGTCTCTTCCAGATATCTTATGAATCCGGCACCTTCCCAGAAAACTGGAAATTTGCTCATGTACAGCCCATCCCAAAAAAAGGATCTAAGACCGACCCTTACAACTACAGGCCTGTAGCTCTGCTTTCTGTTATAAGTAAAGTGATGGAGAGGTGCATAAATCGCGAGCTTCTGGACTACCTCGAACGTCACAGCTTGATTAGCGACAGGCAGTATGGTTTCCGGCACCAACGATCCACAGGGGATCTCCTAGCCTACGTCACCCAATTGTGGAGTAAACTCATCCAGTCTTATGGTGAGGCTCATGTCGTTGCTCTTGACATCACGAAAGCGTTCGATCAGCTGTGGCACGCTGCCCTCTTAAGCAAACTTCCATCCTACGGCCTCCCAGAAAAGCTTTGCAGATGGGTGGCTGACTTTATCTCTGGCCGCAAGATATCCGTCGTAATTGACGGATTCTCCTCTTCATCCCACAACGTCAACGCGGGTGTTCCCCAGGGATCGGTCTTGGCTCCAACACTGTTTCTCTTACATATCAACGACCTCCTTTCCTGCACGATCAACCCAATCCACAGCTTCGCTGATGACAGCACTCTACATGCAGGAATTCAGAGTGACAAGCCGATCTCTGCCGCTGAGCTGGAAAAAAGAAGACTAGCGACGACTTCTTCTCTGACAAGAGACCTGGAGGCTATCACTGCTTGGGGACGCAACAATCTTGTACAGTTCAATGCTTCCAAAACACAGTACTGTACTTTGACGAACAAAAAGCGTCCTAGCGCTCATACAGTTTCGATGGACGGTCGAGTTCTACCAAAGAGCCATTCATTTCGGCTGGTCGGAGTCCAGATCACCGAGGACCTGATCTGGCACGAACACATCTCTTCAATAGCTGCAGCTGCTGGGAAAAAGCTAGGCTATTTGTTTAGGGCTAAGAAGTACTTTTCTCCGCATGACCTTCTCACTCTATACAAGGCCCAGATAAGGCCCAGCCTCGAGTATTGCTCACACATTTGGGGTGCTGCCGCCCCGACTACATTGTCCATGCTCGATGCTGTCCAGAGGAGGGCGGTCCGACTTATCGATGACTCTTCTCTAACAGACAGTCTCGGGACTCTTTCGCACCGGCGGGTCGTCGGCGATCTAGCTCTTTTCTATCGCTACACCAACGGGCTTTGCTCCTCGGAGCTCTCTTCCATGATGCCGCCGCGCGATGTGCCTGCCAGACAGACCCGCCTGACTTCGGCGTCCCATCCTAACCGTGTCAAGCTTCGTACATCCAGAACTGGCCGATATGACCGCTCTTTTGTCTCGAGGGTGTCTAGATTGTGGAACAATCTACGGGAAGAAGCTTTTCCCAGTTCTACTAACCTTAGGCAGTTCAAAAATCGTATTAACAAAATTTCTTTGGGATCATCATAGCAGCCGCGGTGTTCCGGCATTTAGGCTTCTGCCTGCGCGGCTGTTTCGATATAAAAAAAAAAAATAATTAAGACTCGGGTGGTGAGGCTTCAGGTTCAGTTTGCTCATTGTATCAGTTGTAATAAAGAAGTTAATATTTGTTGAGATGCTCCAAAAAACCTGCGTTATGTGCGGAATACAAAAATATACTTTTTTCATAGAAGGCGCTGCGTGACGCAAACGTCATTGATCTACAACTGATTTTGCGATGGCTCTGATTGTTTTTCTCTACCTATTTTGTACTTTAATCTACCGATTTTTAATGACACTGTCTACCGATTTGGTATTTTTTGGTTCGGCAGCACTTTGTGGTATCTCGATCAAGTTAATGATACAGGGGCACATGGTCGCCTGTACTCTGAACGATACAGCCTTTGCTTATATCAATAAATTAATCACGACAGTTGATTAGAGCCAGTTGACTATGCATACGAATTCGAGCCTATATGTTTACATTGCATTGTTTGTCGTCAAAACTGCTTAGTTTTAGTGCATACTTTTGACTTATTTGTCCACCAACGCCGGCCAAAGTGACAGCGTTGTATCAACATAATAATAATACTTACCCGTGGAAACATCTACCACCATAACGCTTGTGCTGCTCCTTGCAAATTATGTAAAAAGTAGTATGTTTTAAAATCGTCAACACCACAATTATCTGCAAACGCTAGCTTTTTTAAGAATATCGCTAAAACTACGAATTTAATGACAGCACCCATTACATACTATGAGAATCAGGAGACAACCAAATCGTCGACTCCTTCTACCTAGTCTGAATTCGTTGATCGTGATAGATCCTTTTCGAATACCGAATGCTACAGATTCACCTCCCACATGCGGCTGCAATTAACGAACGATTGGAACTTGTAGATCAATTAGATGGTATTACCGAACGCGACTAATACTCGTATGCTACAAACCCTTAAAAGGATACCACCAACGTCCTATTGCTTTGACAGATTTTGTCTTACATTACAAAGAAGTTATTTTTTGACTAATGTCATAATCATTATCTATTGTAACCATTCTCATATCCTGGTGCATTTCAGGTATTGAACTGAAGCCCAGCGACGAACTTTGGAGTAAAGACGTGGAAATCCTGATGAGCGAGTTGAGACAGGTTGTAAAACCCAGCGAATCGCAACGCCTTACAGGAAAGGGTTCTAAAGAGTACGTACTACTACTTTTGATCAACCATTAATTTTCCTGTGTTTCCTTAAAAACTCATACTTATCATTACATGAAAAATTTTCATGTAATAAAAGCTTCAAATAATTTTCCTTATCGTCCAATCCACAATGAAGATACTACTTCGTACCTACTACTGGTACTATACTAGTTCATATAACTTCTGAGACTTATCCTATCATTTTCTCTCTAGTCGATTTGTGCTCCATTGACTAATGAATAAAAACAATCATTAGAACAATTTGTCTCTGCTAACATTTTAAACTTTTTTGAAGTATACAATATAATGATGAGATCGGTTCCTAAATTCATTTTTACATATTTTGTACTTTTGAAAAAACTACCCAGGGCAGTCGAAACGTTTGTAAAGTAGAATTGTGGATGTGTGGTTTTATTTGTTGGCCACCAACGATTACTCATCGTCTTTCTATTGCAATCCATCATACTTCCCTTATAGGGCTTGTGATGGGGAATCAGCTTCGGCCAGCGTGAAACCGCTGATCAATCAGAGCTAGCACGAAAAGACTGAATGTGACTTGTTGATGAAAAATTGCTGGCTGGTCTGATGTACGGCGGGAGACTGTCGCATGCAGTCCCATTTTGATGACGGTCTGATGATGTCATCCACCAAAAGGCCTTCACACTGGATATTGGGAAGCAGCTAATAGGCCACTTGAGGTCGTTGTATTTGTGTTTGCTGGGAATCCATTGATGTCCTATAGATAATCATAACGTATAATTAATATTATCACTGATAACTCGCCCACAACCTCAAATTTAGCCCCAAACCATAATGCACAGGTTTGTACGGCTTGGTCCTCTTGAATAGTATTACAGCATTGTGGTTGTACAACAGCTCAACAGTTTCTGGATGGGGGTGTCAAGTCAAGTCAAGAGGGAAGTCAGCTGCTGGGTCAGACCTGGGTAACAGCGAACGCTTCAACCGCACAACCTGCTGCATCGGTCTTTGAGCTCAACTAAAGCTCATTATGGGGATTGAAATCACCTAGGAGAACTACCTCTGGAACGGGGTGTTCAGGAAGTCGATCATGACCGCGAGGTATTCAAGTCGGTCATCCCAGTAATTGTCTGAGGGACAGCGATACAGGCAACAAATACATTTGGGGGATGTTTTGGAGTTGAGGCGAGGCCACAGAATGTCCTTCCGGTCTGAGGCCAAAGAAACATCTCTTGAGCAGGAAAGACTGCTGCGGTCAAAAGCCACAACTCCCCTGCTCTTTCACATATTGGAGTGCACCTCGTAATTTGGGAAGCTTAGATGATTCATCGGCGCATACTCCGAGATTTGTGTCTCCGTCAAGGAAGGCGGGACGATTGGATTGCATGTAGTGATGAACAGCATCAATGTTGCTATTAATCCCGCAGATGTTCGTGAAACAAATTTATCATCGATACTGTTCCCTGGAGTTCACTCTACACCCGGGCATTCTGAGAGTGGTATCATCATCATCATCAGATTTCTTGTAGAGAAGGGAAAGGGAAGATAACCAACAGCGCAGCTAAGGTGTGGAAACATACTGACATTCCAAAGGCACCCTGGAAAAAGCTAGCGAATGTACAGCCTCGGTCGACTGGTCCTTGTCTACCACCTTCTTTTTGCATGTTAATGATCTAAAATAGACCTAAAGTGGCCCGCTGCTGGACTGATACCGCCTCCCGGCAATCGGTACTGAGATATTCCGTAACGCGTGTGCAATCACTTGAACGGGAAGAAGTTGTATACTGAATAATACTTCCGGAACAAGCATTTGCCACGGCCCCGCTCAGTAAGGGTAAAACTCATCTTGTGGCTTAACTCTGAAAGTCCTATTTGAGATACATCACCTTATAGCGGTACTCCTTTGACAATGCAACGTTTATTTAAATAATAACTTAATCGATGATAGCATGTTGTGTTCTAAATCCGAACTGGTAATCTGGGACAATTGTTCCCTTCTATAGCTGGCTTAAGTCTCTTCAACGGCAGTTTCAGGCACCAGCGATCAACGGGAGACCTTCTGCTTACGTCACACAATTGTGGAGTAAGTTCATCTAGTCACATTGTCAGGTTCATTTTGACATTACGAAAGCTTTCGATTAGCTATGGCATGCTGCCTTTTCACGAAAGCTTCCATCCTATGGCCTCCCAGAGAAGCTTTGCAGATAGGTGGCTGGCTTTCTCTCCAGCCGCAAGATATCCCTAGCAACTGACAGTCTCTGGTCCACAATATCAACGCGAGTGTTCTCCGGGATCGGTTTTGGCTCCAGCATCGTTGCTAATACATATCAAAGACTCTCCTCTCCTGCAAGATCAATCCCATCCACAGCTTTGCCGATAGCAGTACTCTACGTGCAGCTAATCAATGTGTCAAGCCGACTTCTAGGGTTGAGTTAGAGAGAAGAGGACTAGTAGTGATTTTCTCTCTGAACAAAACTAACTAAAAGGAAGCGCTCTAGTAATTGTCAGGTTTCGATATAGGCGTATATGTTTCTGCTAACATTGGTGCTTTTTCTAAAATATTTTACTTCATAATAATCCTCCTCTGCAGTAGCGGCAGCAGTAGGCGATCCTCCATTCTGAGACGCAGTCACTTCGACTCAAGGGCCAACGTCATGATCGAAGACAAACAGTCGATGGCTGAGACTCAACCAACTGGCCCCGATGCAGAAGACCCAGCGTTTGTTGCAAAGACAATTCCATGTCAAAAGGCTTCGCTGACATTCAAGAAACCGGTCACGAACAAAATCGACTTCCAGAAAATTGGTTCTGTGGAACGAGAGCCTTACCTCCTAAGCACCAGGAGCTCGCTAGAGCTGATACTCGAAAAGGTTAGAGATTGAAGGTTGTAGAAAGGATCATCCAACAATTTCGACTGGTGAAATTCGCTCGTGCACTCATTCCAGTGAGGTAGCAAGAAACCGTTCACAAGCGTTCAGTTGGGTGTGTTTGTTTAATCACTTTTTAATGTAATACCGGACACAGAAATGGAATGTAGATTAACAGATGGAATTTTACATTGGAATACTGTATATTTTCATTTTTAGGACGGCTTAAATATTACATAGTCATACAATGACACTTTCATGACAGCCCACTAATTTCTAACCGCGTTTTATGCGACCATTTTTTACAAGAAACGGTATGGACACGGGGCAGCCCATTTATCTTTTATTATAACCGAATAAGGTGAACAAACAATGAGAATGACAAGTGACAACGTTCTTATTGCCAAAGTTTTAAGCATGAGGAGAAAAGTGCACTTTTGAAGTTCCAGAAGGATTAGGTAATTTACAATAATTACGAGGACTGAAATTATTACAGAGTAGTACAAAGTATATTCTGTTATTATTCACGGACGCATCCCAGTCGTGCGACATGCAGAGTCAATATGTAAAAAACCTATATAATGTCAACATATGCCATAGGTAGCAGCTAGTGTGCCGCTAGTTCATTCCGGGCCTACTGCAAATGAGCATGGGGTGAATGTCAGCTAGTTCATAGGTGACATTTTATATAAAACTTACTTATTGTCAGAAAACCTACATAGTGTCATAACAAATCGATATAATGTCACTTTTAAAGTTATGTAATAGTGATGGTCACCAAAAAATGTTCGACAACGAAGTCTGATAGTGAAAACCATTTGTCGAGCATTGGAGTGACACTGTGACATGACTCAAGTAACGTACATGAATGGGCACTCACTGATGTAATAAAAGAAACGAACTCCTACAAATCTTGACATTTGCTTTGAAACACACGTGAAGAATATACACCCATTTCAGCCGTAAAACTTGAACTAAACAGAAATAGTACGTCCTTATCTCATTACAGGGATCCGTCAGACAGTTTACCAAAGACCATGAGGAAGAATCCGAACGTATTAGAATCGATAAAGATATTACTCGCCACTCTCCTCCATTTACGTCGATCACATCTCAGACCAACAATTCTCTGGTGTATAAAAACAAAGGTAAAAGCTGAAAAATATTTTATGATTCTTACACTTGTACCTAATAGCAAATCTACCTCCATCTAACAATTCCATACTTTTCTTCTAATTCGTTTTTATTTCCTACGTCATTGCGAGAGAGCATTTTAATCGCCAAAAATATCGGGTATTGTTTTTTGGATGACATGTCGGACTGCCTTTCTTTCTGTTCGCTAAAAATTTCACAAAAGGTCACTACTATGCTAAAGACGAAAAAGCTTTGTAGTTTTTGTTAATTCGAGTGAATGCGAGCTAGGGGTAAATTCGCGAAAAAAACAAACATCGCGCAAAGCTTGTTTTTTGACGTTTCATAGGCTCCTGGTCATTTTCAGCAAAAAAAATTGTTGGAGTTAAAAGTTGGGGGTTGTAAGTGCTAGGAGATGATATTTATATGCTATCAACTCCCGGTAATTCTACGCACCTATTAGCCATATTTCACATATCATAGGTTTCCCCATAAATTTAGAATGTTAAAATGTTTTCGATACGGGCCTCCTGCAATCTAGCTCACCGCCCGGCGTACCGGTATGATTGACAGTTCTTCTCGAACTGCAACGGTGCCACGGTGGGAGATGCAACATCTGATAAGTTGGGAAGGGGCAACGTGACCGGCAGGGGTATTATGTGGAAATCCTAAAAAAACGTCAAAAAAAAATTCGACAAAATGTCATCTTGCAGACTAGGTAGTTTCTGGTGTGCAAATAGTTCCATCTATGGAGGAATGACTGAACGACACGACACGCTCAAGCATGCATTGTTTGTTGCAGAAAGCCAAGTAGTGTATCTCTGAGAAGATGTGAAAAAAAGTTGGTTGAGTAGCAAGGTCGCATCTGGATGATTATGTGTACAAAATCAGTGATACGAGTATTCGCTATGTGAGAAAATTATTAGTGAATATGCTATCAATGAAATATATCTACTAGCTGTGCCCAACGGGTTATTTATTCTTAAGACAGGTTATGTTCAAAGTTATAAATTACGATTTTTTCCGGTTTTTTTTGTGTCTTCAAAATCTTTGAGGAGAATTACGGGAAATCACCACCGCACCCGCGTTGTGTGTTGTTACTATTAGCAGTAAGTAAGTAAGTATAAAATATAGCAGTCTACATAAAGTTAATTACTCCACCAACCAGGAATTTTCTTTCCTTATCTCTCCCATTTTCGAAATCCAGTAAATTTGCATATGTAATTTCCAGAATGAATAAGAAAAAGTGGATGCGCAACTAATTTCGAGATTTCAATACATCTCAAGAAAGTGTATTTGAGACAAGAAACCAATTGAAATTATCATCAACACACATTGTTAGCACAACAAACGCTCACTATGCACGTATGCAGTGCCGCTTCCTTCCAGCTATAGTATACAACTTGCAGCTTACACCTCTGAAGCACATTTTGCATCACATCAAAGCCAAACATTGATAGCTATATCATAATGGCGTTTAGACATCACGTACAGCTAAAAAATAGTTCACAAACAAGTGTAGAACAGCTAGTGCTAAGTTGAGACCAAGTAGAAAAACCTACGTGGTCACAACAAACCTACAAAATGTAAAAAAGAAATAACTGCCAGTAGGGTAGGAAAGAATGTCTATGGTCTAATTGTAAGGCAATATTTGACTGAACTGATCCATTTGATGAGAGGGTTTAACTTGTGCTGAGCTTAACCCTTTATGTACTAATGACGGCATTGCGTAGGAAGTGCAAAGTCAACCTACTTGACGCCCTTTTTTTACCCTTGATTTGTACGCAAGCTTGCAAAGGTTCCGTGGTCGCACTATTTCTCATTATCATATTGTTATAGTTTTATTATATTATTGCACTTGTTAAAATTATGTTCACTTCGATGTGCTCCGCATTCAACACGAGGCTCAGTTGTATTTTTCTTTTCGCCATTTCAGAAGATGATCCAACTGCCTCCAGTGAAATTGTACCAGTGGACATGCTGGAGATAAAAGATAGTTTGGTACGCCACGAGGTGACGTTACTGAAGAAAAAGGAGGAATGGAAAATTGAGCCAAAAGATTCAATAGAAGTACAAAGATATTCTCATGTTAGTCTCTACGTATGGAATTAGCTATTAAAATTGTCACTCATTCCCGTTGGCTTGATGTTTCATTTTTCATGAAACATTATTCTTAGTGTAGCGAGCACCAACCAAGATTATTCAAAACGAAACGACTTTAGTTAATCCATATACGAATGTAGTGGAACAATATAGCCTCAGTATTGAAATTACCATCCTATCAATTATAGAACCCCTGACTGCTAATTCTATGGATTTTCAGCAATACTAATTATATAAGTCTCATCAGGAAAATCACAACTGAAAATGAGGAGGTCGAAGCGCATCACCGACACTGCGGCTCCCGAGCACTCATGAATGGGTCCAAGTCCAGACCAGATCGCGATTTAAATGAAGTTTGTTTTTATTAAGGTGTTTAATTGTTTTAAATGTACCCTTTTACATAAACTAAATTACCGAAACTATTCAAACAATTTAATAAAACTGTTACATGGTTTGATATTTTCAAACAAATTAACTTAATAGTAAATTACTTTCAATTGAAAGGTTCCAGAAAACTCGGTTCAATCAAACTTAATAACTTAGTTACTTACAGTAGTTACAAAATTCATTACGAGTAATAAAAATTTTCCTGAAAATTTTGTCAATTGACCACGTTTTCTCAGTGTGGTTTTTAATTCTCTTAGTTGGTGCTCGTCAAACCTAAGGATGAAGCCTCGCTCATAGACCCTAATTCTTTTGTTTCCATTAGGTAGAGTTGCGCAAAAAATCTTCCAAACTTACTTCAGCGAGAAATTCAGTCGAGATGATACGGGAGTCCAAGATGAAGTTAAGGGAGCCTATTCCATGTCCTCAAAAAATTTGCAGAGATAAGGACAAGTCTGATAAGAGGTTTGCCTTTTTGCATAATAACATACTAGGAGTATATTATTAAAAGTACTTTTTACGACACTGGCAAGGAAGTATTCTAATCGCGAAAAATTTCGTGAATCAGAATCTTCATTCTCAAGATCTGATGTTTTTTCGATGATGTTTACACCACGAAAAATCGTGTCACTCATTTCTGTCGGACTGTCTGACTGCTAATCACAAAAGCACGTCTCGGACGAAACAGCTTTGTAGTTTTTGACAATCGGTCTAGGGACAAAAGACGGCAAAAATAAAAATTACAAACTTCGTTTTTTGAGCTTTTAGAGGTTCCTAATCATTTTCAGAAACATTTCTGCAGGGATTAAAATCTGGGATTGGGGAGTTTTACGGAGTCGTGGAGGGTATATATATCTCAATTTTTTAATGTTAGAATATTGAAAATTTTCCAATACCGGTAATTCTGCCTACCTATTATTGGACAACGAATCTGTAATTTAAATGTTCGAGTCTACCTTCTTCTCGAATGCTGTAACTTTTGCCAAATATAATCGTTTATGAACTGATGACAACGTTGCGAGGGAAGTGTGGAATCAAAACCTACTTCTCGTAATTTTTTCATAAGCTTTCGAGTAAGCAATCAAACTTTTTCACAGATCTGTGTCCAGCTGGTCGCTGAAAGAGTCTATCTGCATGCGTTGCGGTCTACATCAAGCTAGTTCCATGGAGTCATCAGTGTCACGCAGTTGCAGGTCACCAAAGGAAATGAGCAGGAGGGAGTCCAATGGGCAAGACCAGAAGGACATATCTGCCGAACGTGGCTCTTCTGTTGTCAAACTCTCATCTGTCAAGGTATATTAATACGTATGCGCAGATTTTTTATAACTTAGCAAGCGCGAATTTAGCGTGGGCGCGGGAGGGGCTCTCCCCCTAGACGCACAAGCCTACTGGTACTTTCAATAATAATTGCTGCGCTTTGGTGCATAAAGTACCTAGCTAACCGTGCCCCTTCGCCGACCCCCCTCCCACCCTGCACTTAACCCACTACGGCTCTTCAATTGTCACAAGAGGATTCGCTATCATAACCGCTACCGCTAAATGACATGATGCTTCAGCCAAAATTGACGTTTGAGGTTGCAGGCATATATTTTGATAAACTTCAGATTCTCACTATATACAGATCTCCTGCAGGTGACTGCAATAGATTTATAAATAAGCTATGTATTACATTAGACCAGCTTGACTATGAGAAGCATGTAGTGGTAACTGGAGATTTTAATGTTAAATTTGATAGTAATGATGAGCGGGCAAACCAAGTTATTGATGTGTTTAGCTGTTATGGACTGCAACATATCATTAAGAGGGTCTCATTGCTTAGATAACATTTTTACGAACAGCCAAGACAGCTGTTTTCTTAAAACGAATATCTTTAATACTTACTTGTCGGATCACCTGGAGATCGAGTTTTGTTGTTTCCAACCTAGTCAAAAAAAACAGCTTCAAAAGGATTAGTTATCGGCCAATTACTGATACTGGTCTTGTTCTACAGCAGCTTGGAAAGTACTGCCTGGCAGTTTGTCAATGATGCAAATCTAAACGTGGAGTTGAAGTTTAAGCTGTTCATACGTGTTACGACCGATGCTGTGGATAAAGGTCTACCAGAGAAAACACGCGTTTTCCAAAATAAACAGAAAAAAGTCCAATGGTTTGACAATGAGTTACGTGGCATGCGCGATCACTTAAATTTCTTGATAGAATTGCACAAAATCGATTCATCAACTGTAACCAAATTCGAAATAAATTGCCTGAAATCCAGGAACAGAGCTTAAATAGTAAAACGTAAGCAAGATGCACACGATGTGTATATAAACTCATCGAATAATAAATGAAAAGCGATGTGGAGCATTATAAAAACTAAAGCAGCTCCTGTCGATAAAAAAATTACCACAACACTAAGCGCTAACCAGTTTAATTCATTTTTCATCACCGTCGTTAATAACCTTTTAGAAAGCTTACCGTCACATTGCCCTTCACCAAGCTATATGGATAATCATAGCAGAAAAAATCAATTTTCTTTTCGTTATGTTAGATACAATGAAGTTAGGGATGCGGTTAATTCTATTAAAAACTCTAAAAGCACCGATATATATAAACTTAATAGTAAAATTGTAAAATCGATGTTAAACGTAATTATTTACCCGCATACAAGCTTATCAATATGTGTTTAAAATCAAATATTTTCCCCGCAGCTCTAAAAATATCCAGGGTAATTCCTATATATAAAGACAGGTCTGTTGACGAACCACCGTCCTATATCAAAATCTTTGAAATTATACTCAGAACTAACTGAGCAATTATCTCGAAGCCAACAGTTCCCTAAATTCTCAACAATGTGGCTTTAGAACAGCCTTATCAACCATTATTGCAATAAACAGATTTGAAAATAAGCAATATATAGAGGCAATTTTCTTCGATCTGAGCAAGGTCTTCGATTGTGTACAGCATGATATACTTCTTTCAAAGCTAACAGCTCGTCGAATACAATCGCTGCACATCGCCAGTCAGCACATCAGTTTTACATGGCGTGCCCCAAGGATCTGTCCTTGGCCGTTTGCTATTCTTACTCTATATAAACGACCTACCAAATTGTCTTCTTAATAGTATGAACAGTAAGCTCATTCTTCATGCTGATGACACCACTCTGATCTCAGCCCACGATTCATTTACAAACATCAACAGCGAAGCGACAGCCAGTATATCTAGCATTCAGAATTGGTTTATAGCTAACAAATTAACATTAAACTCAAACAAATCTCAATAATTGACAATCACACTTCGAAATAATAATCAGAATGGTGAACACGCAAAGGTTGTGAAGTTTTTTGGTGCGTATATCGACTCCTCCTTGAACTGGGATGAACATGTCAGTAATGTTACCAAATTATGCTTAACAAGCATAATTTATTTGATTCGCAATTTAAAACCCTCAGTTTCACTAAACGTCCTGTTCACCAGTTACCATGGGTGCTTCCATAGCAAAATGACATACGCCCTCCTGGCGTGGGGCCACTTTAAACACATGTACAGAGCATTTGTCCTACAGAGAAGATGTATCCGATATATATAGCAAATCCAAAATATAGAGATCCCTGCAGATCTGAGTTTATCAAACTAAAGATCATGACTTTGCCTAGAGCATATATATTGAGCTGCCTCTTGCATGTTAAGTCAAATCCTGACCTTTATACAAGCCACCATGAAACTCATTCATATAATACCCGGCACCGAGACAACTTGTACCCAAAACAACATAGACTTGTTAAAACAAGGAATGGAGCTAACTACCATGGCATAAAATTTTATATTTTACCTACCTAAGGAACTAAGATCACTAGCATACAATGAATTCAGTAATGCCGTGAAAAAATTGGTCTTGTCTCCTCGGATACTCAATAGTTATATTTCAAGCTAACTTTCCTTTTTTTTTGCTTCTTATTCGAACCATGTATAAAATATTTATTAGTTTTATCTCTTATGCCATTTATTTATTAATTTATTTTTTTGTCATCCTTTTAACCATATTGATGTGTGTGTAATCTGTAGTGTTTGTTATTATATGTATTGTTTGTCATTTATTTTCTTCTTGTAACTGAGCGCTTCTATTATATTGACTTGTTTAAGCACGTTCTGTGTAATAGCATCAATAAACCATTATTATTATTAAACTCTCGCTCTCACTCTCTTCACATACTCGATCCTGAAAAGTTGCTGTTTTTGAGATATGCCCTTATGCAAGTCGAGCGACGATCTAGGGACCATCAGTTGGATTTCGATGAGCCACCCATAAATTACTTTACATCCTGTATAGAGAAATTGTTGTTACAAGTAAAATGGGCTTGTTGCATTTCAAATTAATGCTATAAAATAACTAAAAATTCACTCATAATATCTATTATTTAGATTATCAGCTCAGCTGACTATGACAGACAGCTGGGAGTATCCTTTGATTCGAAAGACGCTGTGCTAGAAAATAAGATAGAAGTCGAGCACTTGGAGAGAATGTATAAAGCGAAAAAGTCTTCAAAAACAGGTCAGTATTATACTGGTACCACCGACATCAATTAGTAGTCAGATGTTATTACTAGATCCAAGAAAGGTTTAATAAAACCCCATCTTTTGCTATCAGCTTGCTCAAAAAATACAGAACATGAGTTGAATGTTTTTAGATGTTACCTGACATGTACATAACGAAAAACCAAATCACTCACTTCGGTGTACCTGTCTATCTCTTGGTCTGTCCGTTAATCCTTAAACATCTTATAACTCGGTCTTTGATGAAACTGTCGTAAAAGATTACTGTTATGTAAAGGACGCAAGAGCCATGCAGAGTCTGATTATTTATCGATCCAATGTCGGGAGAGCTAAAGGGTTACAAACAAACGAAAATAGAAATCGCCCAAACTTCGTTGTTTGAAGTGTCAGAGTTCATAGCTGAGTACAACTAATACCAAGGCTCGCAATTCAATGTGGGCTTGCTGCCACCGTTGGATCTAGTGATCCGCGGTGAAGCGAGAGTAGTGTGTGACTAATCTCTCAGTGTATGCAATATGTGCAATTTACTTAAAAAACATAGTATCTCACCTAGTTTGCTGCACATGTATCCTGTTCCCCTCAGAAGTGTTGAAAGTAGACCTAATTCCCGCTTTGGAGACACTTGACATCCACGTCTTAACACTAAACCACCAATAAGAGACAATCGGGAACCCTATAGTGAACACCACTATTAAGAAAAATAGCTTAACCTGCAGGATCTGCCACCGTTGGATCTAGTGATCCGCGGTGAAGCGAGAGTAGTCGCTGTGGAGTCAGAGCAGCTGGGCTTTCTTGAATCCTGTCACGGGTCAGAGAAGTGGATTGCAAGACAACAGCATCCCATCCCATGGGAACGCATTGTAGGGCCCAGCGCTAAGGATGGACGTTTCTGCTTATCTTTGGATAGAGCCAATCTAAGATTGCTGGTGCGACTGTTGTCTGGCCATAACACGTTAAGCACCTTGTGTAGCCTTTGATGCATTTGTTCAGGATGTAAAGATACAGAGCATATAAAAAACTCAGTGAAATTAACCAAAACCATTTTCCCCATAGGCGAACTCCAGGGTGCTTTATTCATGGAATTTCAACATTATGTTATGTATATTTCGAAAGTCCCTCTGGCAGATACAATATCCGTCATACCGTTTGAGGATTAATTTACCTAACTGAAGAAAACAGCATAGAATCTAGCCATTAGCATCATATTTGTATTTATTGAATTTAAATATTAAATTAAATCTCCAAGCGTTTTTTCAGGTACAAAGAAGCGACCAATAAAAGGCAAATTCGTCGAAAAACTACCAACAGCAGAAGTGGTGGGCCAACAGAATACCAAGCACCACTTGCAGGATACTACAGAGTTCACTGCGGAACGGATTCATTCATTCATTGAACTCATTAAAGATCATCCGAATCTCTTGAGAACATTTACAGCTGTTACCAGATAAAATATGTGATTCTATTTCACACTGAAATAAACATTAACAATATTTTATTCTCATTTTTGGGTTGTAGTTCATATTGCCAAATATATATCCACAAAAGTAATTTTATGTTGGGCAAATACTTGAGGATTGAAGTTCCAAACAGTATTGAATATTCACCTTGATTAGGTAACCAGTGCCTATAAAATTTGTGTAACCTCCAAGTAAATCTTGTGATGGCGCTTTTTTGTGAGGGGGTAAATGGCATACAGATCAGTCTGAATTATAAATGATTTGACTGATTTTCATTAAAAAACCGATTTAGTAATCTACAAATCAAACCTTTTCATCTGATACCCCATACAGCCATATTTGTTTATTGTGGGTTGCTAACTCCCACATTAATCCCACCATACATTTTAAGCAGATGAACCTGATGTTCAGCAAAAATAGCTAATCAAAAACCATCTCAACAGACAAGACATCCACTGAAAATAAATCTCACTCTGATCAGTTCATCCATCAGAGATGCCACAGACACACACACACATATTAAATTTTCTTTTTGTGTTACAGGTCAATAAAGATAAATGACAAATCTTAACAGTATCCAAACTGGTTATTAACAATGAAAAACCACTACAAATCAACATAGTATATTCAAAGCTCAATAAAACTTAAACTACTTCATTTCTTAGGTGGTAATCCCATTTTTTCTCTAATAAGAAACTCTGGTAACCTCCTCCCATTCCAAAATCTGGGTACAACAATTTCATTTAACTTATCAATCCTTTCCTGCACATATTTCTCTGCCGAAAACTGTTCAGCTTCTTTGATTTGATGTATGAGTACAGCCTGGAAAGCCTTTTCCTTCTTCAACTCTCGCTTTTGTCTCAGCTACAACAATTATACAAAAGTTATGAGGTATGCACATCCACAACTGAATTTAAATGCAGAGCATATTTTGAGGGTGCATTACCACAGAAGTGAACAGAAGTAAAATTCCTTTGGTGTATATCACACAATCAGTATTTATTATGACCACATAGTATTTACCCTGAAATGTGATATTTATTGAATGTGTAGCCAAAACAACAGTATTTACTGTTGGTTGGTTTATACAGATTACATGGAAATAATGTTTGTGTGACATTTGCCTTTGAGGGACAAATCGCAATTTATTGTTTCTTGGAGGTCACCAAGGTGGCCAAAATGTTAGTAAAAACTCTAGCATTACATAAGTGGTTTCATTTAACCATCAGAAAGCATGGCGAGTGAGTATGAAGACAACAGGACTACTGTCAGATACTGCCGACAGCTGCTTTGTTTTGTATTGCTCTAGTGTATGGGTAGGCACTCATTTGATCAAACTTGAAGAGGTTTATCGAATAGGTTATGCATCTGGTCTCATTTCACCTAAATCTGAATTAACATGAACTTACTTTGGCCCACACAAACTTCATTCTTTTCCTCAACTTCCTTAGCTTATGTTTCTTCATTTTCTTCCTCCTGATCACGATTATTCTAATAGCCTCTTTTGGTATGTTATTACTTGGCACTGCAGGTGCCTCAATAGATTTAGAAAAATTATCACAAGGGTCATTTAATTCAGGGGGAACCCATGTTAAGCCATTTGGTAGATCGATCCTGTTAATTTTTTGTATAACCGGTACTTTGATCTTGTCATTTTGTTGCCAAATCCATGGATTTTTCTCTTGCTGTGCTTGCACTACCAGTGGAATTACATTATTTTTAGAAATTAGATCAATGTGCAGATATCTATTGGCATTGAAAAGTATCCCTGAAATGCACTCGTTAAATATAATGCACTCTACACAATAGAGTTATATATTCATACCTCTAGCAGTACTGGACCGTAATATTCTAGTTATATTATTCATTTTTCTTGAAGAAGTCCAAGATAAATCATTAAAAGATTAAAATTTCAAATTAACCTATAATCTCATAGAACAAAGAACATTATTTGACACTTTGACAGATGTGATACGAAAAAGAAAAATATGGTGTATTTTTTAATTCACCGGTTGAGCAACCGGTGCCACCGGTGGACCAGACATCTGTCCTTTTAATTCAACCGGTTGCTGCCATCACCATACAAAGCTGTCAACAGTGTCAACCATAAGCATCAGTGGTGGAATCAACCGGTGAATTAAAGAATCCACCTATTATAATCAAATTCAAGCGGATAACCAAATGAAAATGGTATTTACCATTTTGGATTGGTATTTACCGATCCGTTCAAGCGAGTGTGGTTATCAGTTTGGTTATAAGATCCGTGACGTCATGAATGAGCTGTTATATGTCATAGTTATCACCGCAAAATTGTGGTATTTACCCAACTCAGGAGTAGTTTTATATTTGTGGTTATTATTTGACATGTGACAAGTTAGAGTTTTGCCGGGTATTGGATATTTTTATTGTACTTCAGCTTCATTTTTGGGAAACTTGATACAGGCTGACTTCAGTTTTAACATAAGAGAGCACCTTATTAGTTATAATCATTACTGTTGTTGGAGACACTTTAAATCTAGTTCCCACGCTTACCAAAGTATCCTGTATAGCCATATACCACAAGAATATTAAAATATGGCCATATAAACTCACTGTATGATGTCCACCTGTATACAGTTTTGTTAATATCTTTTTTTCATCGCTTTTTCATCATTTAAAATATTGTCTTTGACACGCGAAAAAGTTTTGAGAATTGAATGTTATCATAGATACAAAGCCATGGTTCCATCAGTAAAAAAAATTTTATAAAAAAAAAAGATTTCTCCCATTAATATTATGAAAGGTTTCTTTTTTAAACTTTCCATATCCCGTTGTAGCCGAAATAGCACCGATTATTAAGTGATAATAAAAATAATCAGAAATTATATACGCTCTTTTCTAAAATAAACAACTTGAAAGAAACCGCGGTTAAAACCAACGCGTTCAAGCGATTCGAGTAACTGACGTCATCATTCCGTGTGTCATCTTGAACCATATTATAACCGCGGTACATAATACGGAAATTTTGGTTATTCGCTTGGATTTGATTAATATATCAGACAGCAAATGTAAGGATGGGTCAATTTTGGCGAAGTAAGATCGACTATCATACCTTCAATCGTCATTATCGATGTTACTAATTTCGGATTATTATTAATCAAATTCAAGCGGATAACCAAATGGAAATGGTATTTACCATTTTGGGTTGGTATTTACGGATCCGTTCAAGCGAGTGTAGTTATCAGTTTGGTTATAAGATCCGTGACGACACGAATCAGCTGTTATATGTCATAGTTATCACCGCAAAATTGTGGTATTTACCCAACTCAAGAGTAGTTTTATATTTCTGGTTATTATTTGAATTGTGACAAGTTAGAATTCTGCCGGGTATTGGATATTGTTATTGTACTTTTGCTTCATTTTTGCGAAAATTGATACAGGCTGACTTCAGTTTTACCATAAAGTGGAGCACCTTATTAGTTATACTCATTACGGTTGTTGGGGACACTTTAAATGTAGTTCCTATGCTTAACAAAGTATCCTGTGTAGCCATATACCAGAAGAATATTAAAATATGGCCATATAAACTCACTAGATGATATCCACCTGTATACGGTTTTGCTAATTTCTTTTTTCATCATTTCTGCTGAATCAATAAATGTTTTCTTTGACATGCGGAAAAATTTAGAGAATTGAAAGTTATCATAGCTACAAAGCCATGGTTCCATCATTAAAAAAAAAATCTGGAAAAATTGATATGAAATGAATATTATGAAAGGTTTCTTATTTAAACTTTCCATATACAGTTGTAGACGAAAAAGCACCGACTATTAAGTGATAACAAAAATAATCAGAGATTATATACGCGCTTTTCTAAAATAAACAACTTGCAACAAAACCGCGGTTAAAACCAATGCGTTCAAGCGATTCGTGTAACTGACGTCATCAACCCGTGTGTCATCTTGAACCATATTATAACCGCAGCACATAACACAGAAATTTTGGTTATTCGCTTGGATTTGATTATTGTAAGTACTGAAAGATCGTCATGGGTTTGAGTAAAGATAACATGGCCACGCAAGACAACTGTTGAAATGTATTCTACTAGACTCTAGAAGACTATCCGTAGAGAAAGTTTTGCCTAAATCGATGCACAACACTTAAAAAAATGTAAATGAAAATTAGAGAATTGCGGCTTTGAGGTAATAATGAAGTTGTCGATACCCCGGGATAGACATCCGTCTTGACGGATGACGTTGTCATTCTTGTCATCTGGATTGCGGCGTTGCTAATTCACCGGACGATTTTGCTACCTCTGCTAGAATGTTATAAAAAAAAAGAAGTTTTGAATAAAATATTGAGGAATACCAATGGAGATATATAAAATTTGAGGCGTAGCAATGTTTGCCAAAAGACTAAAAAAAAGCTGTCATTTACATTTTGAGTCGCATCGCGTTTATGCGGCGGAACGTTAAGGTCTCTGAACATATTTTGAATAAACAGTTTTATAGGATAAAATACTTTTTGAATACTTCCAACAATTGGAAAAAAACAGTGTTTTATTATATAAATATATTTATTAACTATTGATCTAAAATTACATGATCATTAATAGGAGAAGTACGATTTTCATTTTACTCTACTATTTATTAGTGTCCGTCTTATACGCAGAGATATTAGTTATACTCACTCTGTTGTTGGGAACACTTTTAATCTAGTTCCTATGTTTAACAAAGTATCCTGTGTAGCCATACACCACAAGAATATTAAAATATGGCCATTTAACTCACTGGATGATGTCCACCTGTATATGGTTTTGCTAATATCTTTTTTCATCATTTCTGCTAAATCAATAAATGTTTTCTTTGACATGTGGAAAACTTTATAGAATTGAAAGTTATTATAGCTACAAAACCATGGTTCCATCAAAAAATTTTTTCTGAAAAAAACAACATTTCTCCCATGAATATTATGAAAGGTTTCTTATTTAAACTTTCCATACACCGTTGTAGACAAAAAAGCACCGATTATTAAGTGATAATAAAAGTAATCATAGATTATATACGCACTTTTCTAAAATAAACAACTTGCAACAAGACCGCGTTAAAACCAACGCGTTCAAGCGATTCGTGTAACTGACGTCATCAACCCGTGTGTCATCTTGAACCATATTATAACCGCGGCACATAACACAGACATTTTGGTTATTCGCTTGGATTTGATTATAGTATTTTGTTCGAGGCTTTGCTAATAGTTTTGAAATTTTTCAGAAGTGAACGTAGTAAGTACATAAGAATACTTACAAGAACGTTAGATCAGTGCACGTTTCTGTGAATTTCCTTTTATAATAATCCATTACAGGGTGGCCGAGATCGGACTAGGTTAAATTCAGTAATCACACAATCTTACATCAAGCATTTGTTTGCAACGCCTACTTAAAATGAAAAAATAGAAAAAAAATTGTTAATAACTTAAAAAAAAATGTAACGTGATACATCGTTGAAGTCGTAGAAAAAGATGCTATTAGATACAGGGTCGTACTTTTTTAATGTTGTGGACTTCGCCCACATTTAAAAACACCATCATGTAGTTCCATTAGTTTTTTGACATTTCTTAAAATGAAGTCACAGCCACGCCCCCGTGTCCACCTCCCACTCCGCGCGTCCGCCTCCGTCAAAGTAAATATCGAGTCGCTTCGTGATGCTATCAGATAAGAAAACGCAGTCGCGCGGAGTGGGAGCTGGAAAGGGGCGTGGCTGTACTACCCGGCCGTATTGTATCGCCGCAGCGAGGTACAGCACTCACACACTTCAGTCTCTCGGCAAACGTCCGTGCAGCGGAATGTCCACGCGTTCACCGTTGCGTGCAGAGCTCTATTCGGTTAAGCTATTTTTTTTATAGTGGTGTTCACTATAGGGTTCTTGACTGTCTCTCAGTGGTACTTTGGTGTTTTAGTATTGTGACGTGGGTGTCAAGTGTCTGCAAAGTGGAAATTAGATCTACTTCCAACTCTTCTGAGGAAAACAAGATACATATGCAGCAAACGAGGTGAGCCTTACATACTCATCTACTTTTGCATGTTAGGGTTGACATCATATGTTTTTTAAATAAATTTCGCACATTACATACACTGAGAGATTAGTCATATACTGGGGTATTTGGGAAAAACTAAAATTTGACCAAATCGTTTTTATTTTTGTCTGACTTTATTTTAAGAAATGTCAATGAACTAATAGCACTACATGATGGTATTTATAAATGTGCCCGAAGTGCACAACATTTAAGAAAGTACGACCCTGTATCTAATAGCACCTTCTTCCACGACTTCAATGATGTATTACGTTACATTTGTTTTTTTAAGTTATAAACAAACAAGGTTGTCTTCCTATTTCTTCATTTTATTTAAGTAGGCGTTGCAAATAAATGCTTTTTTTATATCGAAGCAGAAGCCCAAATGCCGGAACACCACGGCTGCTATGATGATCCCAAAGAAATTTTATTAATACGATTTTTGAACTGCCTAAGGTTAATAGAACTGGGAAAAGCCCCCTCTTGTAGATTATTCCACAATCTCGACACCCTCGGGATAAGGGAGCGGTTGTATCGGCCGGTTCTGGATGTACGAAGTTCGACACGGTTAGGATGGGACGCCAAAGTTAGGCGGGTCTGTCTGGCAGGCACATCGCGCGACGGCATCATGGAAGAGAGCTCCGAGGAGCAAAGCCCGTTGGTGTAACGGTAGAAAAGAGCCAGATCGCCGACAGCCCGCCGATGCGTAAGAGTCCCGAGACTGTCTGTTAGAGAAGAGTCATCGATCAGTCGGACCGCCCTCCTCTGGACAGCATCGAGCATGGATAATGTAGTCGGGGCGGCGGCACCCCAAACGTGCAAGCAATACTCCAGGCTAGGCCTTATCTGAGTGAGAAGGTCATGCGGAGAAAAGTACTTCTTAGCCCTAAACAAATAGCCTAGCTTTTTTCCAGCAGCTGCAGCTATTGACGAGATGTGTTCGTGCCAGATCAGGTCCTCGGTGATCTAGACTCCGACCAGCCGAAATGAATGGCTCTTTGGCAGAACTCGACCATCCATCGAAACCGGGTGAGCGCAGGGACGCTTCTTGTTCGTCAGAGTACAGTACTGCGTTTTGGAAGCATTGAACTGTACAAGATTGTTGCGTCCCCAAGCAGTGATAGCCTCCAGGTCTCTTGTCTGATTCTTATCTTGTCCACCATGTAATACATTATTATGAAAAGGAATTCACAGTGACGTGCACTAATTTAACATTCTTGTAAGTATTTTTATGTTCTTACATTCATTTCTGAAAAATCTCAAAACTATTAGCACGTCTCAAATTTTATATATCTCCATTGGTATTCCTCAATATTTCATTGAAAACTTCTTCTTTTATAATTCTACCAAAATAGCAGAGGTAGCAAAATCTTCCCATGAGCTGGCAACACCCCATTCTAAGTGGCAAGAATGACAAGGTTATCTGTCAAGATGGATGTCTATCCCGGAGTACCAAAGGCTATTTAGCGACAATTTTTCATTTGTATTTTTTTAAGTGGTGTGCAACGATTTTGGCAAAAATTTCGCTACGGATAGTCTTCTCGACTGTAGTAGGATACATTTTAACAGTTTCTTGCGTGGTCATGTTATCTTTACTTGGACCGTGGAGACTGATTGTCTAAAGATTAAAAATGAAGTCGATTTTCACAGGTCGATATTATTTATTCGATTCCTACTTCATTTCATCAGTTTTTTCCCCTCTACCCTACCATTTGTCAAAGGCACGGCAAATTTTATTCCGTGCGGCAAACGTAAACTAGAACTAGCCGTTCCGAGGTTATCTAGGGTGACATTTTTGAAAAATTTGCGCGGTTTGCTTTGCTTGTTTTGTACTTGTTTAGTGCTAAAAAAATGCCTCAAATAAAAGTTGAACGAATAATTAGCTGCAGCAGTGAGGATCCTGCCTATCCATCTGAAAATATATTGTCCACAGACGCTTGCAAAATATGGAGATGCAAAACACCACGAGAAAGGACGGAGAAAAGCGTATTTGTTATTTTACAGCTGGAAAAAGCAAGTGTTATTACAGGAATAGACATAGGAAATGATCATTCAGCATATGTAGAAGTTCTAGTGTCCAGAACGGGCATGGACGATGAATACAAATCTTTACTTGTACCTTCTTCACTAATGAATCCTATGGAATCAAGGCAGAGCCAAAATACAAACAGGGTCCGAATGTTCACCAAAGATGATTTCTCAAAACCAGAACGTGACGAAAAGTGGGATAGAGTCAAGATTGTTTGTCTTCAGCTCTTCAATCAGCATGTGCCATTTGGTTTGTCTTTTGTAAAATTGCATACTTCAGATAGTGCTGTCTCCACAGATAACAGACCAAGAGATGCAGCATTGGTGATAAGACCAAAGTCACCAGATGTTTACAAACCAGGGTATTTGTTCAGCAAGAGGAAAGAACTGGATGTGGATGAGAAACTATCAGGTAAGGGAAATAAAGCTTTCAAGAAAAGTAGGCGTTTTCAAAATAAGTCTTGAATATGCTGAATAAAGCCTTACCATACTAAAGTATAATTAGAGGTTTATTGAAAGCCTAGAACTAGGAATTCTCTCTATTCCTATCATGCTATATCAATAGTACAAATATGTGAAATCAAAACTTCACTCTGTTGAGCTGCTGTCTTGTGCGCTTTTGATCTGTCATCTCCATACATGCAGCCACAATTGTCTCAGGTCAAGAGTGCCACCTATTCAGTTTTTGATGGAATTTTCTACTTTTTGAGCCTGCTACTATACCTCTCAACAGGACATTTTCTCACTGTTTAGCATTATGTTATTCGAAAAAACAATCAAATTTGACCATCATAATAGCAACTCAAAAGTTGCTCTTCATTTTTGACAAAGCGATACTTTGTCAGCTGGCTTTGCCATTTTCCCATGATATCATAGAACTGTGCAATTCAAAAATAATTTTACAATGTATGAAGAACTAGTATTAGCCAGGAAGTCAATATCAACTTTCTGAATTCTCTGTATGTATTGTCATATTAGACAAACCAAATATAATCTGATTACTGTACTTAGACCAATATAAAGATTGGACTGTTAGATCCATCATTGATATAATATATTCTACCTTAAGATAGCCTAGCATGTATTTTGGCTTCCAATGGTATGCCAATCTTTTCAAACTAGGCTTCTAATTAGTGATGACAGGAGAAACATAGCTGAGACAAATTCTCATCACCCTAGGGTAACTCAGTTCATCTCGTATAATTTCTTGGATGCCAAAATACACTATGTGGTTGGCTATTTTCAGGTACAATATGAGGCTTAAAGAATGCCATTCAATAACAACCTTATTTCTTTTCCAAGGTGCTGCTGCAATCAGAGATTCTATGAGAAACTCAAACACATCCTCTCCTGTTTGCAAACCAAAATTGAAAAATAATGGAACACCTGTCAGAATGAAAGGTGATGGGAAAACTCCTGAAGACAGTCCAAAACCTAGAAATAGAAATGAGCTGCTGTATAGCAAAGATGAAGAGGAACCAAATGAAAGAATTGACAAACTGATAGAAAAGAAAATGGAGGAAATAAAAAACAAGGAAGAGGCAGAAATAAAAAAAGAGGAGGCAGAAAAGAAAAAGAAAGAGGATGTACATAAGGAAAAGGATATAAAAAAAGGTAGTGAAAAGAAAGACAGCCATGAAGCTACAAGCAAGGACAAAACAAAAAATGATTCAGGTTGGTAGTTACTTTTGCTTTTCATCTTGTTGAGCTTATACTATTTCTGTACATTTAACCCACATATCATTGACAAGTCAAAAAAAAAAAATGAAAAAATGAATGCCAAAAACATTAAAAATTACTCTTTAAAAAAAATTAAAACCTACACATGGCAAAGACAAGTTAAAAAACAGATAAAAACTCCTGTACAGAAGATAAGGAATATGGATAAAAATTTGTTTTTGAAATATGCCAGATTAACCAATCAATTGAAATCATTCAGGTAGTTCGAAGAACCACCATAACAGTACAACTGCCAGCATCAGCAAAAAGAATGGTGACAGTGTAAAAGAAAGAGATAAACATGGTGCTGCTGTGGCGAGCAAACGAAAGAGTGAGGATACTGATGACAGAACTAAAAAGAAAAAAGCCAAAAGTACTTTACCTAAAAAGCCATTCCACAAATTGTTGGAAGGTGTAGTGTTTGTTATAAGTGGCATTCAAAACCCTGATAGGTAAGTGTCTACTCTTTATATTGAACATAAGGATGAAGTGTTGCTTCATCTGTAAACACAAAACACATATGTGGCTAAACTTCGCCTCGCAGTGTGGAGGGATTAATAAAGACATTATTATTATTATTATTATTATATCCTGATTTTTTTAACTTTTACAGATCTGAGTTACGTGCTAAGGCACTGGAAATGGGTGCAAAGTACAAATCTGATTGGGACAACAACAGTACTCATCTAATATGTGCTTTTGTAAACACACCCAAATTTAATCAAGTGAAAGGTAAAGGTAAAATTGTCAAAAGAAACTGGATTGAAGAGTGCCATAGTCAGAGGAAGAGACTGCCTTGGAGGAGGTAAATACATCTCATTTATATTTAGTATATTTTATATTACTGTCAATACTCTTAATGTACCTAATTTTCTCAACTATTATTTCAATGCATCAAACATTGTAACTCCTGTAAATGTATTGATGCTATCTTATCCTTCTGTACCTCATGTTCATCTGTTCAGATTTTTGTTTTCAAATTCTTTTATACAACTTTTGGTTCAGAATTGTTTTACTTCCACATCTACTGGCTAGGAAGTATTGCAATCGCAAAAAAAAAATTGAAAATGGATCTTATATGACATATACAACACCAAAAACCATGCCACTAATTTCCATTCATCTTTTGGTCTGTCTGTCTAGCCGCTAATCCTTGGTGCGTCTATAGCTTGAAAAGGACCAGTCAGATTTTGATGGCATTTTGACAAAAGGTGACTACTATGCCAAGGACGAAAAAGCTTTGCGGAGAATCGGACAAAAAACGAAAAAAATAAAAATTGGTTAAACTTCGTTTCATGACGTTTAAGATCCTGATCATTTTTGAAAAAAATTTTAGGGGTAAAATATTGGGGTGTGGGGGTTTTAGGGAATTCAATTTTTTTCATTTTAGCAAATTTATATGCTTTCAACCTCGGTAATTCTCCGCACCTATTAGACATATTGGACAAATCATAGACTTCCCCGTAAATTTGATCTTGAAACTTGGAAGGAGAAATGCTTTCGATAAGCGTCCCTGCTTCTGCTGCCTGGGATCACCGGCAAGCGTGGCGGTCTTAGTAAATGTTCTGGCCGTACAACCGCGTCTGACGCGTTGTGCGGCGACGTATCGGGGGAGGCGACGTTGCCAGATGGACTCTAAATACCGGTAGGGCAGGGAAAGAATGTCTATGCACTAGTTGTGTGGGCATGTTTGACTAACTTGATCCGGTTAATTTCTCTGTTATGCATGCTCGTTACTAACTTTTTTCGCAGAGGTTTTAAGTTGTGCTAAACATAATCCTTTATGAACTGATGACGGCATTGCGTGGGAAGTGCAAAGTCAACCAACTTGACGTCATTCTATCATTTAGAAGAGTTTTTAAAAATAATGCTGTTAAACCTGAAATCCCCTATATGTTCATTTTGTAAAGCAAAGTGGCCTTGTATGTGTTATGAAACTGTATGCTTGTAGGTTTGCCCTGGATAAAAATGATAAGGGTGATGAGAGTGAAGAGGAAATATTGGAAGACACTTCTTCAACATTGGAGAGTGATGACAGTTCAGATGGAGATGCCCGAGATTGGTCCAAGGCTGTGGATGTCAGTTTTAATAAAGATGAAAAAACTAATTCAAATATTTATGATGTTGATACTGACGAAGAAAACATTGTACTGGTGAAATGATAATTTTTCTTGTGATAAATGTTTAAAAAGCACTTTGTCGTTTTTACAATATAAGGGATATGCCAGGACATGTAGTGAAGCACACAAGTCGATATCTTTTGCTACACAGAAATCTAAGTTGCTTCAGAAAATGGTCTCGGGATGGAAGGTTAGTCCCTTGTGAAGTTTGTTGTGGAATAGAGTGCGATCTACTGAAATATGATTTTTCATGACCGAACATGAATTAACTCGAACTTTGTATTAACATCCTCTAATTTTTTCTCGTGCGTCAATCTAAAATTTTAACATAGTGAATAGTGTAATCAAGTTATATTTTCTCTCAGTGTGAGGAAATGGTTTTTTGACCAAGTTTGGGACATTTCTTGTTGGATAGATAAGCTGTCCAAGCGAAAAACTTCTATTTACAGGGCCGAAAATAGTACTTGACTCTATTTTGTTAGCTGACACGATGCCGCGTGCTATTATATAACAATAATCGTCTTTATTTATAATGATTACATTATAAAAGGGCTATTCTTCCACTTGTTACCCAAATATCAAAAAAGTGTAACACTGACCAAAATTTTATGAATTTATTTAAATTTGAAATTGAATCTTCAAGCACATACTGTGGGATGTCTTTTAAGTTTTGCATATGGAAATAAAACTGCCTTGTTTTTTGGGCTGTGTGGGAGCTTGCATTGTCTTGGTGGAGGATGATCCTTCTTTCGGGGTTGATTTTTCGAAGCTCGGTGATGACTTTTGGCAAACAAATGGTGGTATATCAATCCGAAGTAACAGTTCTTTGCTCATTAAGAGGAATTGTTACAATATGACTCGCTTTTGACACAGATGTCGCGACCATCTTTTTCGAAACACTTCGAGAACGGATGACTATTGTTGGCTTTTCTTCACCTTGGAACACCCAAACAGCCGATTGTCGTTTATTTTCTGGTTCATAACAGTAAATCCACGATTCATCACCACTACAATGCTGTACCCATTTTTTGAGTTTCCGGAATTGAAACGGTCAAGCGTTTTTTGACACCAATTAACCCTGGCTGCTTTCTGCTCTTCAGTCAACAGGTGGGGTATCCAACGAGAAACTAATTTTCTTACTCCTAATTCTTCATGTAAAATTTTTTTAATTGAGGTCTTTGAGATCTTCAAGGATGCCTCAATCTCGCGATATGTCACATGTCTATCTTCAATGATGAGTTTGCGCACAGCATCGACGTTTTCCTGGGTGACTGCCGTTTTTGGTGCACCCACCCTAGGATCGTCGCTAAGACTCATCCGCCCACGTTTGAATTCTCAATATTAACGGGAAATTGTCGGCTGATGTGGCTCTTCGTTACCGAAAACAGACCTCAGCAATGCATTCTTTTTGCGATAATTGTCTCTGAAAGTTGTAATAAATTATGGCGCGAAAATGTTCTCGGTTAGGTTCCATTTTTCTAATGACTTTGAACTGAAGTTTACTAAAGAGTGCGGTTAAGATTCAGTACTGACGTTCAATCCGCGCGGCCTACTATGTTTCTATATGCAAAACTTAAAAGACACCCCTCTTACACACAAAGATACTTCGATTTCATTGTCTTCACGCAGGTGAAAATGTGAGAGGAGGATGCAGTGAGTCACTTTTAACTATGTAGTAACACAAACTGATAATCAACAGTTTCTAAAAATTTGACTAAAGTGCTCACGGCATCTTAGTCTTTCAGCAAAAATTATTCCAACGTTTGTAACAATCACTAAGCTTTATAGGAAGGTGAAACATTATTTTACGTTTTTAACCTGAAAAGGATAATTCTACTTTTTCCAGCATTATGTTTTAGACCGTAATGTGTTACATGATCTGAAATGGCATTTCAATCAATATTAATTTGAGAAGCTGAATATTCAAAATTTTGGGGGCCAAAAGATGTATACATCTACAGCTCTCTACGTGTAGGAATTAAGAGTAACAAGCCGATCTCTGCCGCTGAGCTGGAAAAAAGAAGACTAGCGACGACTTCCTCTCTGACGAGAGACGTAGAGGTTACCACTGCTTGGGGCGCAAAAATCTTGTCCAGTTTAATGCTTCCAACACACAGTACTGTACCTTGACGAACACAAAGCCTCGTGGAGCTCATCCGGTTTCGATGGATGGCCGAGTTCTGCCAAAGAGCCATTCATAACGGCTGGTCCAGATCAACTGACTTGGCACGAACACATCTCGTCAATAGCGGCAGCTGCTATTTGTTTAGGGCTATGAAGTACTTTTCTCCGCCTGACCTTCTCACTCTATACAAGGCCCAGATCAGGCCTAGCCTCGAGTATTGCTCACACTTTTGGGGTGCTGCCACCCCGACTACTATATTGATTCTCAATGCTGTACAGAGGAGGGCTGTCCGACTGATCGATGACTCTTCACTAACAGACAGTCTCTCGGGACCCTTTTGCACCGGCGCCGGCGGGGCGTCGGCGATCTAGCTCTCTCAGACCCGCCTGACTTTTGCCTCCCATCCTAACCGTGTCGAACTTCGTACATCCAGAACTGGCCGATACGACCGCTCGTTTGTCCCGAGGGCGTCGAGATTGTGGAACAATCTACAAGAGGAAGCTTTTCCCAGTTCTACTAACATTAGGCAGTTCAAAAATCGAATTAACAAAGTTTCTTTGGGATCATCATAGCAGCCGCGGTGTCCCGGCATTTAGGCTTCTGCCTGCGTGACTGTTTCGGTATTAAAAAATTTGTGATGACATTACAGCTTTCAACTACTTTGGTTATCTCCGATGTATACATATATGGTGAATAGCAAATGGCCTAGAAGAGGCGCTTGCGGTACTCCAGATGGAATATCTCTTAGTCTAGAAGAATGATTTCCTAAAATCACCCTCTGAGATCTACCAGTAATATAGTGTAGAAAGAAATTTACACTTGATTCGCATAGTTATGAATATTTTAGCTTTGCTATTAAAAGGTAATGCTTAATTTTATCAAATGCTTTAGAAAAGTCGAGGAGAAACAGGGCACTAGTTGTTTTTATAAGGTTAGGATATAAATGAAAGACATTTGAATCAATATACATTTAAGAGACAACCAGTTTTTAGTTACACTTATATTCTATACAGTACATTGTACATTACAAATCATTTGTCAAGTAAAAAATGTATCATAACTTAAAATTGATATGTCCAAAACACTATGCTTAGATTAATAAAATGAAAATAACGGAAGCATTACAAATTAAAGGCATCATAAGTTTTCAATGGGCTCATGCTGAAAACTTGATGATAATCATTAAGAACATTGTCAACATATTTACATTTTTTCTACAAAATTAATTTAAATTCATAACATAGTAAGAATCGTCAAAATAGGTTATTGTTGCTGTAGTATACTTCAGTATAGTAATCTTCAAATTCAACTTCTCAATTCGACTGATGTTGCTAGTTCAGGGTGTTCAATATGCGATATTAGAAGCAGAATTTGAGGTGCCATGCAATAGAAGGTTTGGTTTTGTAATCGGGCAAAAATACCAGTCTTTTATTTATTCGGCCAAACAATTACGTAAAAGAGGTGTTTTTATAATGATTTAATGAGTGACATTGAAAACAAAGCATCCGGGTTCTCAAACACATGAGGATGACACCATTTCAATCGATTTGACTTTGTAACATTCTTATATCGCTTCTTCCGAAAAACATATGCCAAGCATAGACGTAGTGTGCATCTCTGTGACGGAACTTAGGTCTGAGACGTATTTTACATACGACACAAGTTTTGTTCAAGAAATATATCTCCAATGCCCTATATCTTCAAAGTGACGTCATGAAATACAGATTTTTTCATGTTTCCCCGATTACAAGTCCGAACAATCCATCTCTGAATTCGTGTTCTACAATCACCTTATTTTTCATTCAGTTGACAGTCTAATAGTTCTGTAGCCCTTACGACTACAGAAAATGTTTTTAAGCCACATATACAATTGGACTGTCCAGTTCCTAATGTTTACCCTGTTAGTTCCAAAATCCAGTTCTGTTGTTCTGTTGTCTTAGACCTAGGGTCAAATTGGTCCTTCGTGTCAGCAAATTTTTCTGTCAACATGCTTCCAAGTAAGGAGAGAGTAGGTCCAGCCTTGTAGTCCATAGATGAGAACGTCTTGTTCATGTATACGAAATACTTTCCACGCCTTAAGTCTGGATCATTTCGCGTCTTTCGTTCAATCATTGCTGTGAAGCTGTTTATATTAAACTTGATCTTCTTGCTGTGGAAGTGGAAGCATTATTAGTATAAGTTATACACATATATCTGAAGGGATGAATTTCAGTTTTGCTATACTATGTTATTTTTAAGGATAGTCATAACGTCGCAAGACATTGGCGTTTATATCGACTGGCTACTCAGATTGTTATATTATATCATCTGTCCGACGTTTCTTTAATATAAAGAATAATTTGTTCATAGTGCAAGAGGCGACCTGAAATGTTTACGAACTTGATTGACTGACTGTGTAGTCTACCTAGTCTACTGACTGAAGTTCTGATTTAAATATTCAGATAAGTTAAGATATCTGCATAGGGTCTCTTTTCGAATATACCATGGGTATCGGTTATAATTCGCCCACTACCTACTTTTCAGGACCTGCACAAGGGTGGGTTTGTAAATCACTCATTAATGGAATGTAGACTGACAGATTAAATTTTACTCTGGAATGCTGTGTAACTTAATTTTTAGAACACATAAATTATTACAAAGTCTTATAACGACACTTGATGACGGCATACTAATTTCAAACTACGTTTTCTGACACCATTTTTCTACTACATGAAACGCTATGGATACTAGATAGACCATTTATCGTGAAAAATACGAGGGGGTACTCAAAAAAAAACCGGAATTACTTTTTAAAAGCTATTTTTTTTAACTTCTTCACAAAGTAACCAATGCTTCCACTGCTTGAAAGATTTTTTGAAGTCTTTCTTAGAAATGTCTGACAGCTCCTCCCTCGTTTTTTTCTTGATCTCTTCAATGTTGTCAAAACGGCGTCCTTTCATGCCCCTCTTCATCCGTGGAAATAAGAAAAAATCGCACGGAGTCAGGTCAGGTGAATAAGGTGCGTGAGGCAACCATGTCATTTTTAGCCAGAAACTGTCGAACAGAGATTGCAATGTGCATGTGTGGTGGAAAGACCAGTTTCCTGACTGCCACAAATCTTTTTTGCCGAACACAGTATTGCAATCGTCTTAAAACCTCCAAATAGCACAAGCTCTCGAATTTTTTCAACATTTTCGTCGATTCGGTCAGTTGATGAACGTCCAGAGCGAGGTGTGTCATCAATCGACATGTCGCCATTTTTAAATAGAGCAAACCACTCGTACATCTGCGTTTTTCCCATAGCAACATCTTTGTAAGCTATTTTCGACATTAAAACAGTTTCAGCAGCATTTTTACCAATTATAAAGCAAAATTTCACAGCTGCACGTTGCTCACTGAAGCTCGCCATCGTAAAAAACGAAACAAGTACTAAACAGCTCTAGCAGAAATAATGACTAGAGAGGAACGAAACAAGATCGACAACTCAGTTGGCACTGAACTGGTAATGAGTTGCGCTGTACGCCTCTAGGGGCAGAAATGTGTACGACACAAACTCCGCCCACTGCAATGCTATTCCGGTTATTTTTGGGTACCTCCTCGTATATATTCACCCAATTTTGAGTACTTTTTGGTAAACAGACGAAGTAAACAAACTCTGAACCATTAGAATGACAAGTGACAACAGTCTTATTCCCAAGGTTTTAAGCACGGGACGAAAAGTGCACTTTTGACGTTCCAGAAGGATTCCTTTGTTCTATTTCCCAACTCATGGAACAGTTACGTCAAACAATTACGAACGCTGAAATTGTTACAGAGTAGTACAAAGTACACTCTGTAATAATTTACGAACCCAGCCCAGTTCGAATGTGCGTCTTGGCGAGAAATACCAAACTGTACATGCATATGTAATGGTGGTTCTGATAATAGTTCCATAAAGCCGAATTTTATCTTGGAAGATCATCTTCAATATACCTACTTTAATAATGGTCCGTCCAAAAAATGAGGAATTCCTGAATTGACGCCACAGATTAACATAATATGCGGTATCTACATCGAGGACTTTAGACTCAAAGATTACATCCCGCTTCTAATCGTCTGAGATTCCATGTCTCATTAAAATTATTATGTATTGACGGGCATAGATTCATCAGGTTATAGATACAACTCATTCGAATATGATGTAAAATGAATGCGTAAGAATGATACTGGTACGACAAAAAAGTACCATTAGAAGTATTGGGTCAACGTCTGGACGTACTCACATCATTCGAATGCTCAAATTTATATACCGGGTGTTTCGAATTCGACTATTTTCAGGATCATGGAAACGGTAAGAGACACGAAATCGGTTAAATGGACATAAAGTACGGGCGTTTTTGGTAAGTAAGAAAACGGCACATGGAAAATTTTGCATTTCCGAGTATTTCCGAAGATAAACGGAAGAAACCGAATATTCCCAAAATAATTTCTGTTTTCACCTGTCTTTATGTAATATGGGATTTAAAAATAAAAAGTACATCAACATTGCCACAGCAAGACGGCATAATTAGAATTTCAATATATTAAAAATTTTTGTCGAGTGTAAGATAAAAGTTGATAACTGAAGACAAGAGACGAAACGTCTAATCAACCTTGTCGAGGAGAAAAAGTCACAATGTTAGTGTCCTTTTTATTTTGAAATCGCTTCCCAAATAAAGTCAGGATAAAATTAAAACCATTTTTCGGTTCAGTTCGTCTATTTCCGGAAATACTCGGAGAATTGGGAAACTTGCTAAGTGTAAGTTTCTTAGTTATCTCATTGCGCAACTTTGCCCCCATTTGAGAGTGAAACCCCGATCAATGGGGTGAGTTTTTTGCGTGTCATCGGCCGATAGCTCTGTTATTATAAGATATACTAAATGACATAGAAAACTCAACACCGACTAGGAGTGCTGTAATTTCGAGCATACTTTTATAAGTTCTAGGTCTACTAATAAATAGAAAGTGATTAAAATTTTAACTCGAGATTTCGCAAAATAGCTGAGATATCCCACCTTTATGCTCATAATGTGTTGAACCTTCTCTGTTCGCTACACATTCGTTAAGTCATCCCAGCATTTGTTGGATTAGGTGATTGATGTCTTCTTGATGTATTGTATCCCAGGCCATCTGAATTTGGTTTCGTAGAGCCTCCAAACTTGCATGTGCGATAGGGGAAAAGCTCTGGAGATCGAGGAGGCCACTAAAGCAAATTTACTCCAGACGCTTCTAAAAAGTCTAAACTAACTTGTGCGACATGAGGTCGTGCATTGTCCTGCTAAGAAAGTAGATCTTGAATTGTTTCTAAAAAGGGAAGCAGATGTGGTTGTAAAACATAGTTGATATAGCGTTGGGCAGTCATGCTACGTAACACCCAGACTGCGATGAATGTGCCGTTCGATGGAATGGAATTCACCACGTCTCCTCCTTCCTCTTGCACGGCTATCATGTATGCCCAAACAGAATCTGGACTCATCGCTCAACACGACTGAGTTAAATTCCATATTTCAATCGTTGCCGATGATGCTGTGGGGTCAGAGGTAGTAAAACATGGGTACGATATGAAAACAGTTCAAAAGACCTTATTCGACGATAAACTGTCTTTATTGCAATTGCTCTCCCAAAAGCATCACACCACTGGTTCGCAACTGCCCTTGTTGTGGAAAATGATCTTTAAGTGCTAGTTGTCTCAAAAATAACGACCCTGTCGCTCTGTAGTCTTTGACTCGTCGATTTCGGCCTTCTTGGAACCAAGCTCGACAACATCTCATACAATAACTTCGTTTCGATACACCCGATAAGCGACTTCTCTAAAAGAAAATCCGGCTTCACGTAACCCGATTATCCGACCCTTCTCAAACTTTGAAAGTTGAGTGAAATGAGCGCGTCTCCGAACTCTAGGTATAAGAATGCAATGAAACAAATGGAACCAACACAGAAAAAATCACTGAATATTAAGCGAACATGTTCATGTTCAGCATGAGATAGCGCGAAGCGCCATCTATCGCGCCAGAATCGAACCATTGTAGATCGCACACAGTTGCTATTGATCGGAACTGTCATGGATTACCGTGCCGCTAGATGGCTGATGAGTCTGGCTGAATGCAGAAGTGGTCTGCTAGCCACTTTGTTTTAACATTCGGATCCTTATATGACAAAAAAGTATGTTTACAAGTTTTTATCAAAATTCAATAAATATAATTCTGGGTGTTGAATTTTATATGTCGCTTAGTATACTTATATATATATATAAAAAATTAAAGCTTCCGCCTTTTGTTGGGTACTTCGACAAAATTTAAGCAAAGAGGACTCTTTATACTTTTTTTAATTCTCTCTAGCTTTCAATGGACTTTGCAATCATCAAGTGGCTTCACGATGTAATGCTCTAATTTTTTAAATAATTTTTAATCTGTTTTTAACTTGTTCTTGTCATATTTTATATAAGTTTGACTATTGTACAATCTATCCAGCTCTCACCATGTTACTGGACGTTTCCCTCATCCTATACGTAAACAACAATTAGCAACATCCTCACATACTACTCTCCTGATGATGATGGCAAAGTCCATTGAAAGCTAGAGAGAATTAAAAAAAGTATAAAGAGTCCTCTTTGCTTAAATTTTGTCGAAGTACCCAACAAAAGGCGGAAGCTTTAATTTTTCACCTAACTGGTCTAGACGACAATGACCACGTCTCAAATATATATATATATATATATATATATATATATATATATATATATATATATATATTGACATAAATTATAGGCAAATACACGCTCATTACTTAATATGCCGTTCTCCACACTGTGATTCCTATTTGCCAACCTACACACATATTTTTTTATTGAAACAACCTGCATTTTTCACTGCATTACGAAAAGTCTATTCTAAGTAAGAAGTTTAATATACACACATCATAAGTGATACGCCTTTGCAGATGGCATTTATTTATTTATTTATTTATAGCATAACAAAATTTCCGTCAAAATGAACCTGATATCCTATAGTTTTTCTTCGTACAAGGTCTTTTAAAATTTTCTACAACACAGTCGGTTTTTAAACAACAAAATTATTTTTTCTAAGAAAATTAAAATGTATATTTTCACGGTTTTGGGCTATCCGTATGAGCTTTAATTTGGCATGTATTTTTTGTTGGGTTGAATTACTTAATTTTTGAGTGATATCCAGTTTTCTAGAAATCACAATTCAGAATAAAGAAATACAACATTATCATTATAACATGAATGGTGGAAACGGATGATTTTCAATGGATACGTATAAGGCTTCACTGGAGTTACCTCCCATCTAGTAAAAATCCTCCGTTTCCAGGAATAATGAAGTATTTATTTATTTTGAATTATAATATCTGGTGAACCTGAAATAATTTGAAAAATTTAATAATTAATAAATTGTATCCCAAAATAAATAGTTTTCCGAAATGACGCCCTCTTAGCTTCCTTCCTTTTGATCCTCTTGATAACCTGAAATCTTAAAAATATATGAAGTGTTCCATTTGAATTTTTTTAAACAAGACCATTTTGCGTTTAAAAACACTCTGATCTTCAAAAGTTGATTGACTTACAAGTTGCGTGATTCAAATTCCTTCCTGTGGAGAGGCCTTTCAGTATATCCTACGTGTCTATGACTCATGTAATAAGTCGCATATGATTTGTGTAAATGACTTTTTTAAGACATCTTTTGTAATGGAGCTATCGACCGATAAGACACTAAGAGCTCACCGTGTATGTGTATATAACCCGCCGAATTCGTATCCGTGAACATTTCATTGTACATATATGGAATTTCGGTCAATGCGGACGTTGCAAAGCAACCTCACGTACGTCTTTACCTATACATACATCAAGTAGGAGTACCACCAAAAGAGATGAGAATTCACGCCATGGTGGTACCTGCACTGGTTGGTACTGAGACCCCGTTCTTTAGTACATTCACCTTGGACACATTGTCTCTACTGTCGCACAGGGTGTAGGTGGTTCTGCTGGTCATGGTGATCGCAGACGTGGATGCCACGTCGCCTTTGCTTACTAGCGGCCCGGCGTCCATTTCGTCGTTGTTGATGCATAGGGAGGCTCCTCGGTGCTGTTTCGATCTAAAACAGCGAGCACCAATATTATTCCTTTATTCGCCAATATGGAGGTGATAAAAAATAATAGGTCAAATGAAAATGTTCTTGTTTTTGCTCACATGTTCCTTGTGTGATAAAAATAGTCAAGCGTCAAGTATGCTCATTCCACGCGCAGTCATTAATTCGTGAATAAGAATTCAATTCGTCATAAATTAGCACTACTGAAGAAAAAGTTAGATAAGAACATGGTATAACTAGAAAAATTCAATGGATCAAGTCTGCCATACATGCCCATAAAATTAGACCATTCCTCCCTACTAGAAGCATCGAACAGCTCAAAAGGTTACTGAACTACACCACCCAGCCATGCTATCCGAGTATACCAGCGCCGGGGGTCAGGCGTGGACAGGAGTTTGTGCACTTAGGCGTTGAGGTTGTGCGTGGTCATACGATCGTGACCCATACGCGATGCGTCTATTGAGAGTATTTCTCTAGGTTTTAAGGGTAAATGTACGGGAAAAATCTATAATGGGTGAAATATGTACTAATAGTTCCGAAGAATTGCCGGGGCTTGAAGCATATAAATATGCTGCCACCAAAAAATTGAGATATACTCTCCCCACCCCCTGAAACCCCCAACCACCAATTTTTAATTAATACCATTTTTGAATGATCTCTCTAAAACATCAAATTACAAAGTTTGAGTGATCTTAATATTTTTCGTTTTCTGCCTGTTGCTCCGTAATCACTGGGTCGATTTCCAAAAAACTGCAAAGCTTTCTCGTGCTTGATATAATAGTAACCCTATTTCAAAATTTCATCAAAATCTATGGGGTACTTTTCAGGTTATAGAGGGGTCGGGGATCAGCGGAAAGATCGACAGATGACAGAAATGCGTGGCGTGTTTTTTTCCTGATGAACTTGTCATGTAACAAGTCAAAAAATATAAAATGTCATTTTCGAAATTACAATACTTTCTCGCCAGTGGCGTGGGAAGTAAAATTGAATAAAAACAAAGTATTTGTAGAAAATTCTGTTTTAAGGTAACACGTAAATTTTCCCGCCGAACCAAACTTACAGTGACGATGACCCTTGCATCAAATATTTTGTCATATATAGGAATGACGCGACTGGTATGTTTCGTTTTGAGTAACTTTTAACTTTTATACGATATAAAACATAGCAGTGACACTTCCTTAGTGTTTTTTCAACATTTTGTACACATATTTTTTATTTTTTCTGTTACGAAAATATCTATAGCAGCTAAAGTCTGAAGTGCGGTTAACCAAATTCTATGTGCTCGGGGGTCACACCAAACAGTCAAAAATGTCGACTATCATAATCTGTGATAGGCTTCCTTTGGTCAAATACGAGTGACTCACGCGTGCCAGAAATACCTTTTCAGTCAGTTGGGCAACTAACAAATGGCAATGAAAATGGTTTTTTTACTGTCTCAGAATTTGTATCAAATCAACAGTTAAAACATCATGTTTACTGTATTCAAGATTATGTGATACAAATACTGACATTTTAATTTTATTTGCTGAAGAAAACCTTGCGAATAAGATTACCTAATTAGTATGAAAGGTTTTTTGTATCGAATTTTGAAGTATGTCGTTAACACCTAGGTTTGACCAAAACAAAGTCTGAAGCTGAGAAGTTTTCCTGATTAGAGCAATCGGTAACCTTGCGATTTGAGCAGATGAATAACAAGGCATGATGAATACCCCACACATAATTTTTTCTAGGTTTTATAACACGTCCCTAGATTGTCCCCATGGGTAGTAGTAAAAAAAGTTCTACATTAGCAAAGCAACTATCGAAGAGTACCATACAATCTCCGATCAAAGCTATTCTTATTGAATAGTTTCCGTACGCTCTGTAACAGTAGGAGGTTTCTATTTTCTTTCAACTTCCGTTTCTTATATATGTCATTACAACTGAACGTCTGTATTCCCAATATTTTCTTTGCGAAGCTCTCATGTAGGGATAGAAATCAATTACTTATTAGTCCAGGAAATGAAGGCGGAGGCCGCGACTGGGGTTCAAACCTCATATTGTATCGCGAAACCAGTGGCATAGCGTTGACGAAGAAAATCTCTAATTGTCAACAATTTCACCACGACATATTCAAATTCAAACTTAGTGAAGCCTGTTAAGTAATAAGGGCCGTGTGTGTTGTGCCTCTTAATTGCCTTTTCAGATGTAAAATTCGTATTTGAGTGTCTCACAATAACAGTGACTTATTTTCTATGCGAATACCATGCCACTAGTCTGGCGACTTGTTTTTCGGGCGCTAGCTACTGTCGCAGTCTCTACGCAAACTGGTACCTCTAGATATGAGTATCAGGAACTTCTTGAGTGGTGATTCTTATTTCCCACGCTTATTGGCGAGGAAGTATTGCAATCGCGAAAAATTTAGAAAATTCGATATATTTTTTTGATGTTATATGAAACGTACATCACAAAAACCATGTCACTCATTTCCGTCGGTCGGTCTGTCTGTCTGTCGGTCAATCTGACTGCTAATCTTATCCTGTCTATAATTTGGAAAGTACCAACTGACTTGTGATGAACTTCGCACACAAAGTGCAGTTTTTGAAAATCGGTCCAACGACGGCGGAGGTATAGGCAAAATACATTTTTTTGCGGGTTGAAAGTTTGGGTTAGGGATTGTACAGAGCGGAAAGGGTATGTCTCAATGTTTGGGCTTAAGTTTCCAACCCCAGTAATTCTACGCACCTATCACACATATCATTGATTTCCGTGAACACTTATAATGGAAGAAATATTTTCAATACACGCGTATACGAATCTGCGTCGCAGACTGGTCGCCGTGCAGCGTTGTCAGATTCTTCCTGAATAAATCTGCGAAGGTAAAAGAAATGATCGAGTCCATTCATATGCAGATTGGATTGATATTTTTTCTAAGAGGAGCTACTTGTACCTTACATGAAGTGATGGCAGCGTTGCGTGGAAAGTGAAGAGTTAACCTACTTCTAGCCATTTTTGTATGGGTCTTCACGTTCAGGTTATCGAATGTAGTGGAAAATGCCCTCAACCGGGCCCCTAGGCGCATTGGCAGTTCATTCTCTGATTTTCCATCTATCAGGTGTAAATAGTAGTGTAGGCATTTATAACGCCGTAATGTTACATGTTTTTTTGATACTGTTGATTTCTTATTCATGTTTATATTATTTTCTGCAATTGATATGCGATTTCACTGATTTAAAAATACCTATCGTGTGTTTTTTTCCAATAAACCTCTTGCAGATAGCCATTAAATACTTACTTGATGACAAAGACTCTACCAAAAATTTCATAGATATTGCTCGTTTCCGAACATTCATTCATTTACTTGCCATTCACCAGTGCCATTATGGTGATTTAGATTGAAATTCGTACAAAACCATTCAGGATTTTTGATATCAATACACCGATAACGTTGACTATTTTTTGTTGTGAACAAGCATCCACACTATATTTACAGCGATTGAGAAATACTCAAATATACAGTGATGCACAAAAGTGTATAGACAAATATGAATATTTACCTAAATACCTTTAGAAAACGAATTCATACTTCATTGCTCCATAAACAAATGCGTTATTAGTAGAAAAACTAAATTCTTTGTTTTTACATTATCTGCAATTATTACAATACAAGTCTGAATATAAGCACTTTTTTATGAGGGACAAAAATATGTAGACAAATTCTTTTCAACATTAGTTTAGTACAGTTTCGTGTCAGAAGAGGATTAGTTTGTGTTCATCAAGTATTGTGGAATAAGTTGAGTGATTTTAAGACCATGCCGCGTGGTCCAGAAATTTCTTTCGATGTGAAAACTAAGATCATTGAGTTATACAAAGATGGTCAACGTCAAGTCGACATTGCCAAAAATTTGAAGCTGAAGCGGAAAGCAGTTTGGGCAATATTGAATAAATATAAACAAAAAGGTATCTTGGAAGCCTCTAAGAGAAGTAGTCGGCGTAGAAAACTAAATGCTAGATCATTTAGATTAATAAAAGTAATTTCGTCCAAAGATCCGTTTAAAATCCCAACTACATTTCAAGTCATCCATACTTTTTAGAACTTGACACACCATACTATTTTAAAGGGCAATGAAACTGCTATAGATACAATTAATTCAGAAACCGGACCCCTCGCAGAGTTATTTCAGAATGAGATGATAAGGTGAAATAAAGCAGGAGCTGGATTGTGGCTCAGAAATTTTAATTATTGATAACTGACAATTATTTTTACTATGAGGCCGGCCCTGGCACTTAATCTTCAAATTAGGAGTATATGTAAGGTTTTTAGAAATCACGTTTTTTAATAGTATATTTCATTTTTATTTCCACAATACTACTGGCTAGTTGATCTCAGATCACTTGTACTAACTTAAATAAAAAGAAAGTTCTCCAACTATGATTGCAAAGTAAATATTGTACACTTTTGAAACACATTTTCAGCCGTCTCTCATATATTATTTTTAATCGATAGCAAAATGAAGGTCTGGTTTTCGGTTTTGGACACTTTTCACTTGAATCACAGTTACGAGGTTAACCGTCATGAAAGCTCTCTTCTTATTAACATTTCGTAGGTACGCCCGCATACTAAAGCGTAAGCTTGCAGTAAATCGTTACTGCGAAAAATCTTTTAACTTTCATGAGCTATTTTTTACGAACTGTAATAGTAAATTGTCAACATTAAATATATTTATATGTAAGTGTTCCAGAAATGACATAAACAGAAAGTTTCAAAAGAAACACTTATTCTAGCGATTTTTACTCCCTACACCAGTGCGGAAAGCATTCTAAATATGCAAATTTTAATTGTATGATCCTGTTTGAATGACCTGATCCATTCAATTTTTTGTCGTACATGTTGAAGTTTTTTTTAAAGGGGCTAACTTGTACAAAACAATCCTTCATGATCTGAGAGCGTTTCATGGGAAGTGCAGAGTCGACCTACTTGACACCATTTTTGCAGTAAAAAAGAGTTGAGAAATTTTTCCAGATCTTAGAGAAACTTGTACCGCACAGTGCGGAAATGAATAGTCTGGTCTTATGAAGGTGCTGAGAGATCAGTTCAGAATAACTTTGGCTAGACAAGCTACCTTCATTGTTTTCTAAAATTGAAGCAACGTCGCGCAATCACTTTTGCTTCAGAACTAAGGTACTTTGTTTCAAAAATAATTCCCTAACATATTTCCCTCCAATAGCGTTTACAACATACGAGTATTTGATGTTCTTTTACATTACAGCGACGTAATTAACAAACTGCAGTATTTCTATCCAATAACGCTTGTTTATCCGTGGTGATAGCGGCATAGCATCCGAAACGCTAGTTAAATACTTTTTTACTCTCTACGCCACTGGGCGAGAAAGTATTGTAATCGCGAAAAATTCCGAAAATGAGGTAATGATTTTTAGATGCTACAGGGTTTGTCCGGAAAGTAATAAGACTGAGTCGATTTAAAAAAAATTATTGAGCCAATCGTTACAATTCTTTAAAAACTTTCAAAATAGGCTCCGTGTGCGTCGATGCAGCGCTGCCAGCGCGATTTCCAAGCATTGAAGGCGTCACGGAAAGCATTCTCCGGAGCAGCCTTGAGAGCCGCGGCGCATGCTGCTTGGATCCCCTCTGTCGTCTCAAAATGCTTGCCTTTCATCGACCTTTTCAGGCGAGGAAACAAAAAAAAAGTCCGGGGGGCCACATCTGGGCTAGGGCGGCTGCGGAAGCGTTGGGATGCCGGACTTGGTCAGGTAGCTGTTCAGAAGAAAGGCGGTGTGAGCCGGGGCGTTGTCGTGGTGCAACTTCCAGTCGGCGATGTCTTGTCGGACCCGACTGACCCTTCGTTTGAGTCTCCTGAGCACTTCCACATTAAACTTGGCGTTGACGGTTTGTCCAGGAGGAACAAATTCATGGTGGACGATGCCTTTGATGTCAAAAAAGACAATGAGCATCGTTTTCACTTTGGATTTGCTCATTCTCCCTTCTTTTGGGCGAGTAGACGCCGTCGTGTGCCACTCAGAAGACTGCCTCTTTATCTCGGGATCATACCCACCTGTGATTACGTTATTCAAAAATTGGGGGTCACTTTCACACATGTTCAAATGTTCTTGGCACACTTCCACTCGCCACAATTTCTGGTCGTCAGTGAGCACTTTTGGGACCATCTTCGCGCACACCTTGCACATGTTCAAATGCTGTGTCACAATGTCATGAACCACAGATTTTGGTAAATTTAACATCTGGGCAATTAAACGAATACCTAGTCGACGGTTTGAGTTCAAAACTTTGCGCAGACGAGTCACATTATCGGTGTTTGTCGAAGTCGAAGGTCTTCCAGCACGGTTTTCATCAGCGACCTCTTCCCGGCCCTCCAAAAAGGCCTGGTGCCACCGAAACACACCATTTCTTGCTAAAGCAACACCTGGGTAAGCCTGCTTAATCATATCAAACGTCTCTGTCGCAGATTTAACGAGTTTCACACAGAATTTAATCGCGTACCTCTGCTCTAACGAACGCTGCATTTTCGGCTTGCACCACTCATAGAAACACGTCGCGCGAAAATGCCTGTCCTGACTCTCCAAGTGCTCGCAGACAACTGACCAGCCGATCATTCGTTAGCTAGGAACGCCCTCTACCGAATCCAGTCGGTGCGCGCCAAGTACAGTCATGGCGGAAGAAAATGAGTCCTTTCCGGACAAACCCTGTATATGACATGTATGTACATCTACGCATTACGCTTAGAGTATAATGTAATGTGTATAAGTACGAAAGCTATTATCATCAGTTATCAAACGTTGTTGACAGATGATATTACGCCAGAGCTCCAAAGAAATGAGGCTACCGTGTACGGACACGCACGTTAATGTAACATGAGGATTTTTTGCCATGAAAACCCAAAATAGTGCATTAATGGTTCTGACCCTTTTTGATGCCATTGCGCTACATGGAAAATTAATCGCACTAGATGTTGATTCGTATTTCACAATAGAGCATGTCTGACTAGAAAATAAATATATGTTTGCAAAGCTATTGATAGGACTCTTGAACACAAAAGTTCTTCAATTCCTGGGCTATTTTCGAAGGTTTCATGCGACAGAAATCAATTATTACGGCTAGCAGAACGCGGGGAACTTTTCTCGCTGACCTGTCTGCGGGCTTGTTCTTTTTGGGGAAGACGCTGTTTTCCAAGTGCAGCGTTGCGTTGACGTCCTTGTGAGCGGCGCAAGTGCAGGCTTTCAGGAAGCTCTTCTTGAAGTTGTCGCTCAGAAAGGCGTACAGGATGGGGTTCACTGCGGAGTTGGAGTAGCTCATGCAGGAAGCCAGCAAGTGGAGAGTGATGGAGAAGCTGTAAAAATCAACGATTTATTGCAGTGGAAAAGGTGGAATTTGTAACTGCGAGAATGAATTAAATATGAACCGGACTTTTCTGCCATAGGTGAATGGAGTGGTCTTGGTATATGTTGGGTGGGGACGCAAGGAAAAGGAGCGCGCCGAAGTATATGAGCTGTTAGTAGCATCATGTCTGAGAAAGAGTTGCACACGTCTGTTGCGCAACGCATTATCATAAAATTTCAGCGTCATTCTTTGATGGGGGAATTAAAAGACTTTCGATCCGATAAATTTGTATTTAGTGTTCCAATAAAGTTACTAAAATAAAAGTCCGGTTCATATTTGATTCACCCTCGTAAATTGACATTGCAAGTACTCGAAGTGTAATTTTTACATGCAGCGACAAGGCTTGCATTTGCCGAGGTTAATTGTATTTTTAATTTCTTTGTATTCTTAGGATTTAGGTATATCTATAGGTATTAAAAAGTGTCGTTTTGCAAATTGCCACCGTTTCGGCGTTTATTTTTCGCCTTTTTCATGTACAAAAAGAATATAAAAATGCATTTATAAAATTTCAAAATCGTAAATGAATCATTGAAATGAAAATATGCAGTAAAATAAAATTGACCAAGAAATTACACAAAGACATAAGCACAGAACAAGAACAATGACAATTGCCGGGTGTACATATTCAAAGTTATATGATTTTAGAAATCTCAACAATTTAAAAATATTTTAAAATAGAAAATTATATACGGTGACGTTTAAATTTGGCTAACGCCGTAACGTGTATGAGAGAGAAGCACGAGAAGCGTGCAATACGTATGTTAGAAAGAGCGCATTGATGGCAACACGGCAAGCCGCAGCTGCATCCGTGGTCTCGTCACTCGGGTTGCTGGGCAAGTCTAGGATCGAATTCCTAAGTAGATACTATTGAAAAATATTCATTGTGGAGTATTCTGAATAACCTTCCAAGTCCTGACTGAGTCACTGTCTCAATAGGGCGTCCAAAACTTGAGGAAAATAAGATCTCATCCTAAACAGGGTCCTTGCGATCTCCACATACCGCAAATCATACACGTACTACTGGACTTAAGAATCTGTTAGTTTGTTCTCTATTAGATTTTTGATGATCGTATCTACCAGTCTGCAAAAAATTGTATTTCTATTTATCAACACGGTTTCACGAAGTTTAGTTTCGGTCAACTATTAGCAACTTAGCGGTTTTTAGCCAGTTTTTATGTGAAACAGTTGACAGCAAGGGTTAAGTTGATGTAATGTATGCCGACTTTTCCAAAGCTTTCGACAAGATCAGTCATGAGATTCTCCTCAAGAAACCTTGTTATCGAGGTTTACAAAATAACTATGTCTTGCTATTAAAATCATATTTATCTAATAGACAACAATACGTATGTGTAAATAATGTGAGATCGGACCTCTTCTATTCTCACTTTATATCAATGATTTGTGTGATTCACTTAGTTGCAATAATCTATTGTTTGCGGATGATTTAAATATATATATATATCAGTATCCAGTGAAGAAGACTGTATCATCTTACAGAAACAAATCACTTTCCTACAGAACTGGTGTGTAAGAAATCATCTGCATTTGAACATTTCTAAATGCAAAGTAGTAACATTTAGTCGCAAGTCCAAGCCTATATCTTATCGGTATACTATTGAGAATTCGACACCAGCAAGAACCGATTGCATTAGAGATTTAGGTGTCTATTTGTGTAATTTAATTTTCATGTAAGCCAAACAACGCTGAGTGCTTGTCGCACATATGGTTTTATTGTTAGCAATTGCAAGAGTTTCAATGACACCTCAGCATTATCGTCTCTGTATTTCAGTCTAGTAAGATCTAAACTGGAATATGGCTCACTCATATGGAGTCCTATATATGGCCAATATATGTATCGTTGCTATTGAAAAAGCACAAAAGAAATTTTTGAAATTCATAGCTTTTAAAATCGATGGTGTGTATCCACCAAGAGGCTGTAGTTATCCTGAGCTGCTACATAGATTTGATTATCAGTCTTTGGAGAGCCGTAGATATCAGTTATCTGTACTTTTCTTGCACAAGCTTTTCCATGGAAAAGTAGATTGTCCTGTATTGTTAGCTCAAGTAGATATTCTGGTTCTTAGAATAACATCTAGACAATACAGGACTTTCCTGTGCAGAAGAGTTCAAACTAACTTACTACTAAAGGCTCCTCAATTTTATGTGCCGAAATGCCAAAAAAATTTCAAGTGCATGTGATTTTTTCACTGCAGTGTCTGTGAATTAAAGAATAAATCTCGCGCCCATCTATGATGAATTTTGGTCAAGTTTTTCATGTTTCTTTTGTTTCTGTTTTTTTCTGTTCTACATTTTGTGCTGTAACTACCATTTAAGCTATACTACTGCTTTTTGCTCTGTAAATGGTGATCACTCTTGGGCAATAAACGCATTATTATTATTATTATTATTATTATAGAACAAAAACTCAACAACAACTCTTTTCTCAACAATAAAATACCGTCCATTGATCATCGAAGACCCAAAGCTACTATTGACTTAATGTGGTCAAATCTGATGGTATTAAGCATTTCTATTTCCAAAGATAGAGGTGTGGGATGCAACAATGGTTGCATGTGAATTTCTTCCAATTTTTGAATCTGGCCTTTATGGAGCATATATGATCACCTTCTAATCATTTTCTTGGAACACCATAAATTCTGTTATTCATTTCGCTCAAGATACTCGCGAATTCGCTATAAGGAGATAATTCAAATAACCTTAAAACGCTCGACCTAGCAGGCAGGGTCACGACGTTTTTTCTGCGTGAAAATTTATGGTTAATTCGCCGTAGGTAGTCACGCTGGTCAGTATTATACGGATCACTATGGGAGCTTGTTGACATTGACGGCGGCACTACGTCACGGAACGGCCATTGTATTCGCCGTACCTACCCCTCGGCGTGCCGGGTCCACGTACGGCGTGATTTTCATCAGTGTTGTATCACAGACTATGGGCGCTTGTTGACGGTGCCGAACGTTTTCACGTTTTTGTCACAGAAAAATGTTTGGAGCAATTTTTCTGCATTCTAATATAATTTTAAGACTTGTCTCCATCTTCCTTAAGTTGATCCTTGACAAGTGTATGAAATGCGCTAAATTTCTCCCGTTTTTCTAAAATTTGTATGTATCCAAAACCGTCTTTTTCTTTTCTCTTCTTTTTTGAGTTTTTTCTACCGGTAGCTTTGTCGTGCCATGTACAAGCTTGCACGTTTTGTTAACCATACGGCTAACACGCCGTACGATGAAGAAATCGTGCCGTGTACAAGAGGCCTTCGTTTTGGGGTTCCATTTCAGCTTTCTCGGCTGATCCGTGAATTAATTTTTTGAGTCCAAGATGAAGGTCTTGTTAGGGGTTGACAAATTAAGTTCTTCAAATAGTTTTAAATCATGGAAACGTGATAAGATTTTCGAAATATTTGTCATCCAATACAATGCATGGGCCACCCAAATCCGAAGCTAAAACCTGACTCAAATCTCATCATGAATTATTTTACGCCTCTAGAATATTCCGCTCTATACGCGCATTAAACATTCAGCCTTCCGGAGTGTTTCGTCGCATCCAAGAAAGCATAAATACATCAAAAATGGAACACCAGGTGTCTTTTGCAACCCTCGATGCGATATCCGCAGCATATTTACAGTGTCTTCACCTGGATCCATACTACCAGGCATACTAGAAGTTTCCTTCTTTCAACAAGAATTGCTTAGCTGCGATTTGAGAGAAGAGATACCGGTATTGAAAAATTGAGCCCACTAAAAATATTTTCGGATGCGGGTAAAATCGGTAAAATCGATATCTTCCGACATCTAAGGTCTACGATTAGGTTTCCGATAAACTGTCAAAAACAAAATATAGTATATTATACAGGGTGTTTCAGAACTATGAGATCAAACTTGTAGGGGTTATTCAGTGTAACAGTAGAAAACATTTGAGTATAGGGACCCATATCCGGAAAAGTGTCACAATGGCACTACGGTCCTAAGACGCGTTAAAACTTAGAAAGACGATGAATTGCCTGAATAGGATTTAATGCATTTAATTTTTGCCTTTTGTACATGATATCATCACAACAATTGTTCAAAATGTCTTCCTCCAACCTGAATACACCATTCCTGTGGAGACATTTAAAGTCTTTGGTTTACGAATCTCCAGTAGAAACAAAGCAAGACTTAATTGGAATTTCAGCAGGATTTGAAATCACTCAAAACGAGTATCAAGTCCGCCGAAATCGTATGCGACGTTTAAATCGGTGTATTCAGGTTGGAGGAAGACATTTTGAACAATTTTTATGATGATATCATGTGCAAAAGGCAAACATTAAATGCATTAAATCCTATTTAGGCAACACATCGTCTTTCTAAATTTTAACGCGTCTTAGGGCCGTAGTGCCGTAGTGACACTTTTCCGGATATGATATATCCGGATGAGATATACTCAAATATTTTCTACTGTTACACTGAATAACCCCTAGAAGTTTGATCCCTTAATTCTGAAATACCCTGCATAATCTCCTTTACCAGCGATGCTAGCGCCACCTAGCGGATGTTGGACTGATATATTTGCTCTTGTGGATATTAATGAGAATAAAATTAAGGAACAACTTGAATTCCAAACAGATAACTAATTCTCTTTGGGTCTGACAAATGATGACAATATAACATTTGCAACTTTGCTAGGCCTCAGTTAGCCCCACATGACACAGCTTTCACTATCAGCCGCGGCAATCGATTCAGCTCCCCCTCTCCCACTATGCACTTCGCTCCCGGCGAGTACACATGGCTTTTGCATGTCTCGACAATAGCCTATGACTCATCAGCACAATCGGCAAGCCGATAGTGGAGATTAAACTTACGTACGTTGTAGGTATAAAGTATTGTAAAAAGCGACACTTAAACATGTTTTCGTATGCTTCATTGTTCTGCTTAGAGCTCTTGTACCATAAATATCCTG